GCCGCCATCGGTGGAGGCCGCAGAATAGCCCTCAAACACAGGTTGAGCGAGCGAACTGGCTGTACCTGTCACCCACCCACTGCCACCCATACCGACGAATCGGCCATTCCACGAGGTGATGGGAAGCCAGACCCACGTATTGATTGTATCGTTTTGGCCGACATGGGTGTATGTGATAGTGAGTTGGCAAACTTCCACAGTGCCGCTTTTAGTGCTGGGGAACGCGTTGACTAAGTCGCTTGGCGATGGCCAAGTAGTTTGAGCGACCACAGAATCGATTGAAAGAACATCGATGTTGGGCAGAGTGAGAGACTCGAAAGTAGCATTTGTGCACGCTTTCGTGGTACTTCTTGGGGGATGTGCCACAGCTAGATCCAAAAGCTGGAGCAGTAGCACTAGTATGCACGAGCGATGATGAGGAATGAGCATCTTGGCTATGTGAGCTGGCTAGCGGAGCAACTGAAAACTCTCAATTGAAAGACATCTGTAAGCTCCTCAGGACAGGGAATATCCTCCTTCATTTTATAGCTTACTCTCTGGAGAGCAAACAATTTTGTATATAGTTTGCCGAACAACACTCATCCAGCTTACGCCATTCTAGTCTCATGGCCTGTCCCGCCACGGCCTTAAATCTGACTGTGCCTTGATATAATATCGCTGGAATGAACTTCCGATACCTTTTCTTCTCTCATTGGACGAAAAGAGACCCTGATGAGCGCCGACCTCTCGGCACCGGTAAATTGACAGTTCATACACTATATCTAGGCACAATGCTTGACCCCATTCTCCCTATTCGGTCTAGCTAAGATATTCTGCCCCGCCATATATTCGCCCAACGGAATATTCCCTCTCAAGCAAAGTTCTTTACTTTGCCGGCATGTGGTGAGCGGAGGAATAGCAGACTAAATAGTTCTGTGGACTAGCTCAAGCAAACAAAGGGGGCTGATCCCTGAGGCAAGCATGCTATGTCAACATGTTTCCTCCTTATCGTTTTACATTCGCATCCTACAGTCCCCGGGGGGATTGAAAAGCTCTTTAGATTAAAATAAAACGATGAAAAGACTCAGCAAGGTAATAAATGCAAGTTCGAGGGGTCAGGTTTCAGTTCTTCCAGTCGTGGTCGAATTCTACTCAACCTGGCGTGCCAAGGAGTGAGCACTAGTGTCGAAATGGAAGCAGCCGAACCCAACTTGTGCTCAGCCAAATTATCCGCCCCCGGGACATTTCCATGTGAGAATGGCGATTGATTTTGATAGGACAGTCAATCTTGACCTAAAAGTTTTCATCTTTGGTAGTAGTTCACCGGCGTCTATCTGCTCTACCTCTCCAAAAACAAGGCTTGGAAGCGAACGTCTCTGGAGCCGGTCATGGTATTGGGGGCCCTCTAGTATTGAGAATTTGATCCAGGGACATGAATCGACTCGCCGTGTCCAACATGCGCCCTCAGGATCCCCGAAGGCTATAAGACCTGGTCATTGACCGAAGAATATCCGACAAAAAATCTCCGACCCTGCTTCTCGGTCAAAACGGCATGATCACCCGAGTCAGACAGCGGTAGCAAGTTTATGTCGAGCTTGTTCTGCAGTTGCACCGGGCTCGCCACACAGTGTATCTTCCCAAACTGACCAGGCCTAGAGGATGTATATCAAGATCCGATTCTCCACTCAAGCTTTTGGCCTGCAGATTGTATCAATACGAGTGACAAGACAGTCGCAGTCGGCGGCACAGGCGCAACGGGTCTTTCGACTTTCACCAGAAATTGCTCACGACGCCGACAAGTTGACCTAGACTATACGCCTCAAGCCACTTACGCCGGAAAGACTTGCAAAGCACAAGGAGTCGTTGAAGTAGACTCGCGAAACCCGTGGTACACGAAGGTATGAGTGTTCACTTTCGATGAAACCGCGAACAAAGTCTACGAGAACACAGCCGAGAAGCGCGAAACCGCCTGAGAGTATTTACCAGGGAAGCGGCTGCATAGTAGGACACAAGACACACAAGCGCATGGCAGATCCTCCGAAAGTTGAGATCCTCGTTCCAACAAAGCCGCCACACCCCTCGGCGGTAAGCAGCCTTCACTTGAATAGGACTAATCAAAAAAGAAGGTCTGGCCTGGTCATCTCTGCTGCATGGAATTAGCTGCTTGTTCTGTTCTGACCTGGGCGAGGCAATTGTTGGTAGAAGAGTGCCAGACTTCTCCTCGCCATGCAACAATTTGCCAATCGAATACAACTTCATGGCTGCATCCATGCAGAGCATCGAGAGCCTGTCTATGACGCATGGCGTTAGCGTTAAATCAAACTTCCGTCAGCTATCACACGCTCACTTCTGGCAACTTTGCGGGTCTCCATCTCAAAGGTGACGACAGCATTGTCAAGGTGACTGTTGGAGACGCCTTAACTTTTTGCAAGCAGTTCGGACAGCTCGGCCATCTGACAAAGATCAAGACAATATCCTTTCAGGTCACTCCAAGGGTGCTTTGGTCTTTGGTGCGCCGCTAAATGGGGAAACGGTTGAGATGACTACTTTACCTACTGTCTTCACGAAACAACCGATGGACTTCAAAATTCTGGAGATGAAATCTTGGTACAGGCGAAAATATCGACTCTAGCCGGATATGGTCTCCGAGTCTTCTAGGAAGACTCGACCGGAAAATAACAGGACCCCTTTTATTTCAGATTGAGGATTCATTCAAAATACTGAATAGCGTCTCCTGCATCTCGTGCATCTCGTGCTTCTATCATTTCTTCGGCTCATTGATTTTAATGTCACCCGAATCCATCGTAATCAATTCAAGTCCCATGAAGTGCATTGACTAATTTATGGCTCCGGTGGAATTCTTTGTTCGTTACAACCTCAAAGAGGCCGCTGGTCTACTCTGTTCGTGAGATAGCTCTGTGGTTTATTAGGAAGGCAAGACCCGAAATGACCCATGGATACGCTTCAGTTATTGAGATTACTCTTTTTAAATTGAAGTTTCATAGTAATAAATAGACATGTCAAACGTAATAATAACTGCCTGCTGGCCTACGCAGGAATTCCTGGACCGCGTGTCTCTAATCCTCAAGCAAAAAGCCCACGTTTTAACTCCACGGACAGAAGGACAATCTAGACTTCAGTCGAGGAGAGAAACTCTGTGTTCTCTGAATGAGATTTCTTTGAAGAGCGTCGTGGTTTCGATGGCCGAGAAAGAACCTTCGATGGGTGAAAAATGCTCATCGCAACCATGGTGAAGAACATGAGCGTTGAATCAAAGACATACATAAACATCTCATGGCTAATGAGATATCCATCGTTGCCTTGGGCGTATTCAATCAATCGGAAAATTGATCGAATGAGAATGAGAATGCTGGCCACATACAGCCCAGTCATGACAAGTTCCCAGGTAGTGGAGCGCGATCGGCTGAGAGACTTCTCAGTGGGGTTTTTGCGAATCCGGTAGTGGAAGATTGATGAAGCTACGATAAAGACACTGAAGAACACTAATTGTACGGCAAGACCGCCAATTGTGATGTGCTCGCCAGTGGTGATCGCGCTGAGAGTTCCGCTCGCCATGATCCCGCCGCCTTGATCCATCATTAGTTTTCATTAAAGATAGTATTTTACGTGAAAGGGATTGCTTACCTGCTGCTTGCATCAGAAACGCGATTACATCTCCTGTGACGAAGATTGCAGTAAGCCATTTTACTGGCACCAAACTCAACCTCTCAGCATCCAGATGCACGATGAGTCGGCCCAGAGTCATGTATATGGATGCCGCATACAGAGGAGGAGCAAGAAGGATCATGATTGTTCCAACTGAGTAGATTGGGATGTTTTCTTTGTCGTTGTGGGCCAGCGCGCGGCAAATGTAACCTATGATTTGAACTATAACACCTGTCAGATATGCTCTGGGCTCTTGTGGTAATCATGTTAAAGGGTTGGAGGCCCGTTGTATTCAGGCCGGTTAAACTCACAGGCTCCTCCGACGACGAAGATGGTAAAGTACCAGGATCGTGTGCGAACGACTTGGTAAAGATGATAGAGAGTCGCAAGGGCAAACACGACAATGAAGATGATTGCAGCCACGAGAGAGGGCGTATAGCGGTAGAGTTTAAAGCTCACCCCATCATTCTCGTTGGTACTCATGTTATATGGACGTCGAGTTTGGATTAACCGACTTCAAAATGGCTCGGTATACTTCGAGAGATCCTCGAGGCGTATGGGGGGATTGGAAAAACTGTTCGAGGATGTGTAAATGAACGGAAGAAATTGAACAAGTTAGACATAAGCGCGACGGCTCGATAATTTAAATGATATATTTCTCTAAGAGCCGTACTCGCATCTGGGGCAAAAGTTAGTTTTTCATTTTTTGCAGGTTGTATCCGCGGGACTAGATGGTCGGGACTGGCAGACCCACCCGTATTCGCATTCTCGGGTTTGCCGATCTTGTTCCCTCTTGAATTGTGGGCTTGGGCGGCACTTTTCTTATCTATTCATAGATTGGAAATGAACAGAATTTTCGAGTCTGCCTAGATAGTCCGACATCTTCAGACCCCTGGAACATCACTGGTCGATCTCCTTTTTTTTAAAAAAAAAATCCATAGAATCAATGTACCTTCGTTACAAGGGACTTTCATATTTTCAATGGTAGAACGGACAGTATTGAATAGTTTCTAGGCGCTCGTTTTCCTTGGCAATCTCTGTTCGAGGCTGTTGACAGTGACAGAAATGACGATGAGCATGCCATGTTGCACCGTTGACATCAGTGAAGGACTAGGATAATTTTTACAACAATCCAACTCAAACTAGTGATCAGGTAATTAATCTATAGAGAGAATCTTCAACGACTTTATCCATAGCTAGACATCAAGACTCCTTTCTCGCCAAGCGCTGCCACGTATGTTTGGATGAATCGTTTTATGTGGCATGCGATGTGTGTATGCCCTACAAGTGCACAAATATGTAGCAAACGGCGGTGGCGATATTATCAGGTACTTCGCTGTTCCTATATATGTGATTTAAGATATACAGGTTAGTGGCAACTTCATGACCTCGTTGGGCCATAGCATGAATGTTGACAGTTGGCTATCATTCAGTGAATCAATAAGCGCATTGACTCTTAGTATCTCGATTTCAAAGGAGCCCCTCATATACCAAGTATCCACCAGAGTGTTTACCAGATAGAAATGAGCGAGGATGACGAGCGAGTGTCCATGAAGGCAGTTACGGTCGCTTCTCTCAAGCGACGCCAAAAAGGCACTAGGGAGCAAAGCCGGCCAGGATAGAATCGCTGCCTCCTCAAAATCCAACTGGATCTCCTTGTCCGTAGGATATTCGGTTGCCGCACACCGCAATACGGATAAAATGCGCGAGTAAACAGAGTCTAGGATGCGCATTGTCTCGAAGTGCGCATCCATGGCCCAGTCTAACGTCGTGGACGATGAAGGTTGAGATGTTGGCGTGCCCGAGTAGCTAGATAAGTCATCCGGGGCGGGTTCAAGCGCATTTAAAGAAGCCTTGATGGAGGCGACTGCTTGATGAGCACCTTCGGCAAATTTCAATAGGCGGGGTGGGCAACGAGAAAGCCGAGATGGTGCATCGAATGATGAATTCTCCCAACACTCATCGCCATGCGATAACATCAATAGCTGCCGGAGCCGGCTGGTTTTCAAGACAGGCCATTGATCACCTACCACGGAAGTTACACCTCGGTTGAGGTATAACCAGTTAAGGCGTAGGACATCATTTGTTAAAGAAGGGTTTGCCATAGCGTTGCTCATCTCTTCTGCCGCCCCAGTAATCGGGTTGAGGTCCTGAACCCCGAGGAATGCAAAGGCAAATGCAATAAGAAGTATGGACCCCGTGAAAACGAGCTCAGCGTTAGAAGCAGAGATGCGGGACACTTCTTCTCTGAAGCCTTCCAACCCTCTTTGATGATGTTCTATGATGATTGCCAAGTCCACTGTATCTGAGTCTTCAACAATATCAACAGTCTCTCTAGCATCAGCCTTCTGTTTGATCATGTGTATTCCCCCCAGTGCTAGGAGCAGATGCATCAGAAATCGACTTTTACTCCCTAATTCAGGGATAATCCGCTGCCAAACATCGGATCTCCTCTGGTGCAACGTCATTCGTCTTGCAGTGTGTAGATGGTAATATTGAAGGAGCTTCAAGTCATTCATCTCTAGATCTCCATGCCGGGGTTGGTGGGATTGGTTCGAGATGATGGCCGGTGCTGTCGCATTTATTGATAAGGGCTTGATGCAACCGAGACCTCTATCAGACGGTTCAAAAGAATCCGGTAAGAGTTTCCCATCGTCTTTCTCTGTATCTGGTCTTGATCTAGGAGGTCTTTTCGAGGGCACGCGTGGGGGAGGGTAGGAGCAGGGTTCGCCTCTGGAAGAACATGTGCCACAAGCGGGTTGAATCTCGTCGCACTTGGGGAAATCAGCATGTGGTCGGTAAAATTAACAGGTCCGGTCGTACCTTCACCCTTCGAAATTTGCAAGGATAGCAACCATTGCGGGACTTGGTGTGGCGGGCGCGATGTCTTCTCACAACACGTTGATTGTCTGCTGTATCGGAAGCTGCCGAAGCTACCATATCTTGGTCCATTTTTCGGATAAGAGAAGTTTCTGATGGTAAAGGAGAATATCCACCATGGTTGACAACATTTGCGCAAAGTTGCAGCCTATGTCTGGTGATTTGGCTAAGTAAAATGCGGCGAGGGACCCTGAGTGTAGGGCGACCCACAGCAACCAGAAACGTCGACACCAAGCGGTTTCCAATTCCGGTCCACTAGGCTGTTGGCAATTTGATGGGAATGTGTTCTACAGACATAAATTTAACCCGTATGGGGTTTGAAACTCTTAGAAGTGCGGCAAGCCAGCCTGAAAATACTTGGAAGATTGCTACCTAGAGGAACTTGAGGCTGTTCAATGCGAGGGAAAAAGGAGAAAATACTGCAAGAGGACAGAATAAAGTTGTATCAGTTCGGGGGTTGCCGCTTTGGGTAATTTAAGGCTCATATAAAGATACTAAAACCTCCCCTACCCGAGTGACCATCCACCAATCTGCCCTTGGGTTTTCAGACTGTCCTGACTATCGCTTGTAGGGTTATCGCAGAGTCTCAAGGCCACGATAATCGCCATTTCCCTGGTCCGCATAGTTCGTCAAACTCGTTGGTTTGTATCGAGATTTCTTTTTATAACAGAGATTGCTTTTTTCGCAGGGGAGCCTTCAGTACTGCTCCGATATGTCCTAGAATTACTCAGTATTCACTTGTGGGGATGTTCTTGGGAAGAAATTGAGTCACTAATCAAAAGTTGAATAGAGGTATGAGTTGAACTTTGGTGCACGGTGTGGAATATCAACATTGCTGATCTGCGCCTTGCAGTGGAAATATCGAGTAAGCGATGACCCCTATGTGATAAAGAATTAAGGATAAAACGAGAACTAGCAATGTATTAGAGAAGAACAGCAAGGAAAGAACTGCAGTTAGCTACCAAATTGACTAACTAGTTAGTTAGCAGCACATCGAGGCCTGAATTAGAGAGCACCAGAAACCTCACTCATGAAATGGAAGTATCCAACTTCAACACAGATAATCCTTTTAAGGGGCTCTTATGGGAAGTCCCACTGTGGATCCAGATGGCCGATCTGTGGCTCTCCCAAAAAGGTTGTTTGGGGGGACCCACCCGTATTCTTATCCCAAATACGAACACGTCCAGATTCGCCTTATGTCTTCAACAATCCTTTTCAACAATCAGTGGACACAATCTTGATGACCATGTTTGAACTACCGTTTTATTTAAATGGCCCCAGGAGGCTCCTCTCCTATCTTTAACTCTGGTATAGGGGTTTCAAGGTTATGGCCATAGACTCAATCAAACTTCTCTTCGCCCTGATTGCGGCTGTCAATGCGGCTTACAGCTTGGCTCCATACGCCCAGACACGCCATAACCCTGCCATACCAGGATGGCACAGCGACCCCAGTTGTATCTTTGTCCCTGACAGAGACAATACCACCTTTTGCGCGTCGTCAACGTTCCTCCTAACGCCCGGAATCCCAATTTACGCCAGTAAAGATCTCACAGCTTGGAGACTAGCCAGCCACGCACTTTCCCGAGAAGCTCAATACCCGGAGTTCAATCTATCCATTCCCCAGACCGATGGAATCTGGGCTCCTACACTCAGATATCACAGGGGGTGTTCTACGTTATTGTCATTTACAAGAAAAACATTTCTGGAAAAAGCACCGGGCTGATATTTAATTCCACAAATCCTTTTAGTGACAACGCTTGGAATGTCCCCGTTCAGTATCAAGCCGAGTCCATTGATCCAGACCTTTTCTGGGACGACGATGGTACATCATGTTGCAACAGCTGGGACCAATCTTCAGACAGTGGACGTTACGACTGGTGGCCTAGGGGAACCAAGGCGAATCTGGAATGGTAGCACTGGCAACTTCCTTGAGGGCCCCCAACTTTACAAAAAGGATGGCTTTTACTATCTCCTGGCAGCTGAGGACGGCTCAGGACTGAATCACTCCGTTACGATAGCCCGGTCAAAGAGTCTCTGGGGCCTTTACCAAGGTTACGAGAAGAATCCTGTCTTGACAAACAGGAATACCTCGGAGTATTTCCAGAACATCGGGCATGCGGATCTGTTTCAAGATGCGAATGGCCATTGGTGGTCTTCTGCTTTAACTTGGCGCTCTGGCCCAGAGGGGCAGACATATCCCATGAGCCGGGAAATGGCCTTGACACCTGTGACCTGGAAACAAGGAGACTGGCCCTCTTTTGCGCCCGTGCGTGGAATTCAGGAAGGATGGTATCTTCCACCCTCAAAAGCTATTCCTGGTGACGGACCTTTTGTCAATGATCCAGATATAGTTGTTTTTGAGCCCAACTCTACCCTCCCTCGTAATTTTGCCTTCTGGCGTTGGCCCAACAAAAAGTCATATACCGTCTCCCCCCCTGGGCATCCTAGGACGCTCAGGCTGACACCATCAATGGCAAGCATTACGTCTGGGTACAACAATTACACAGCCGGATATGACTGTACAGATTTCACTCTCATTATGCGCCGACAGACAGATACACTGTTTCAGTACAGCGTTGACGTTTCCTTCGCGCCAACGGTAGAAAATGAGGAAGTTGGGGTAACAGTGTTTCTCAACCAAGTCCAAAACATCAATCTTGGTATCGCAATACTGCCCGCCAATTCCACCAACAAAACAGACTCGACGCTGAAGCCTCACTTACGTTTTCTGGTATCTGGACTTGTGAGCAATGAGAAGGATATACCAAGTCCTTTCGTTACATCTGTGCCAAGTCCTTGGTCGCAAGATCCTATTCGCTTGATCATCCGTGCAGAGAATGAAACCCATTATTCATTCTTCGCTGCTTCAAGCTCTCGCCCATGGGATCTTCTGAGATTAGGGCAGGCTCCTGCGACAATAGTGAGTGGTGGAGTTGGACCGTTTACGGGTATGCGCTGTTCCCTTTCGTAGCCGTCTTTGTGTGTCATGCTAATTATATACTACTAGGCTCTTTGGTAGGGGTTTATGCGACCACTAATAATGGAAAGGGGTCAACCAAGTCATATATCTCCAGATGGAGATACTTCGGCCTTGCCCAGGAGATTGGGAATGGAGACCTTGTTCACTCTTAGAAAGCTTATTGACCGGGAAGGACTTTTTTCCGTTACTGTACATGTTTATAATACATCTAAACAAAATCCAGGCATAGAATTGATAAACTTTAAACTACAAAGGCCGGACGACTAATGGAGAGAAGCGAGAACATGTTATAATAGCACCAACAGCGGTCCGGGCATCAAGGTCTCTATAAGGCATACGTTAGGGCACCTCTTTGAAGGAAGAAATGCTTGTGAGTGGTGATTTCTTGAACAAAAAGGATCAGAGAGTAAAAATGAAATTTTTTAGTTGCGACTAGCACCGCATAACCTTTAGCGCTAAAAATAAAGCTTAGATCTAATAATATTTATCCAAGGTGCGTGACTATATAGGGCTCTCAAGCATGTTGCATTTTGTGAAAGAGCGCGACAAGGGAGAAAAAGAAAAACAAAAAAAGAGGAGAAAAAGGAAGAGGAGAAAAAGGAAGAGGAGAAAAAAAAAGAGGGAAGCAGACTCGTCTATCTTTGGGGCCAGAAGAAGAAGAGCATATGGCAGATGTGAATATAAAACATTGAGATTATACGCCAAGTTAAACTCCGTATGGTTTGGCAATCTGCTCTCCCGGGTTGCGAGTCAATTCATAATCTGAAACGACATCCAACTGGCGAGTGATTTCATGGGGATGAGCGACATTGAAAACAACCATCGCAATGAAGATGAGCAGTGAATCAAAGATATACAAGTAAACCTCATGATGCAAAAGGTAACCCTGATTACCCTGTATGTATTCAACAAGTCGAAATGCTGAACGGACGAGGATCAAAAGGCTGGTTGCATATAGAATGTTGAGATGTTTGCGCCATTGAATTTCTCCAGAGAAGCAGCGTGGGATAGGGTATTTGCGCAGCTTGAAGTCGAACAGAACAGAGACGACGATGAAGAAGCCAAAAAATATGATTTGGACAAAAAGGCCAGCGATGATAATGCGCTCGCCAGTCTTCACGCCGTCAAGACTTCCGCTACTCTGAATGCCGCCACCTAGATGCAAAGTCAGCATAATTATTTTTACCGCTGGTTGGATTTTTTTCGACAATACTTACCAGCACCTTGTAGTAGAAACGACATCACATCGCCAGTGACAAAAACCTTGGTAAGCCACTTCTTTTTCAGAATCGCATGCGATTCTGCCTGTAGCACCAGAATGATCCGCCCGAGTAGCATGTAAATTGAGGCTGCCAAGAGAGCCGGGGCGAGGAGCAGACATAGCGTCTGCACTATGTATGGGCCTAGCGTCCAATCCGGACTCTGTTTGCTTGACGCGGCACGGCCGATATATCCAACAATCTCAACTGCTCCTGTTAGCCCATGTATCAAAGCGCATGTAGTCAGGTCGCACATACAGAGGCCTCCTATCACGAATGGAATGAAGAACCAAGTTCGAGTTTTGAATAACTGGAAGATGTGGTAGAAGGTGGTGCCCATAAAAAGGAGTGTAAAGAGGACAGCACCGGCCATGCTTGGGTTATAGCGATAGAAAGCAAAGATTGCTTCCTCATCGGAGCGAATCAAAAGCACTTGGTCTTGCATTTTGACTCGATTGGCCTTTGTTATTGTGGTCAAGTTTGGAAAAGATCCTGTTTTCCAGTATGTTGAGTATGGATTTTGAAGGTCAAACCTCTTGAACTTGTCAGAGCAGTTCATGGAGTTGTCTTATAATACTTTACATCAAATTTTTCAAATACAATTGATATAAATAGCCCGGGTTTAAGGGGCATCCAGTTCGTTAATTCGTATGTATTGGAAGGGTCCGAAAACGAGTACGGGTGGGGTCGGCGGCAAAGCCGACTCGAATCATTGAATGCTTCTTTCCGGGTGCCTGATTCTCCATGATGAGGATTCTTATGGGCAAACCGGTGGATTACTTGTACCTATAAATAAAAAAGAAGGGTGGGGGGTACTTCAGGAAGAAGAAAAGCGCAAGCCTGAATACTTGGAGCCGTGGAATCCAGCCATACAACTCTGGTCATGAGTCGAGTTTCTGATATTTTATCCCTTCTTGATGGCGGTTTCCAAGAAACTCTACTCGGTAACTATTCAAGAAAGAAAATCGAACCTTGGAAGAGAAATTCGAAATGTATATATACTCAGGTATAGAATTGAGATGAGGGCCAAAATCTTTCACAGTCTTCGCAGTTCCAAGGTTACTACTTTGGCAAATTAGGACAGCTGCGGCCCATCCGAATCTGACGCCTGGAATCTAGCAGTGAAAACTGATTGCTCTTGACTACAGGCTGATGAGTACGTTTGCGTGGGTGTGAAGTCGACTTCTACTCCGGCTGTTATAACTGCCACCATATCTGTATCTGGTGTCACGACTCCGTCTCCGATCTAGATAGGCATGGTTTCTACGTGTGATACCTTTTACGACGTTCATTCCGGTGACTCGTGCTATGATATTGCTGACACCTATGGTGTCTCGCTGGATTCTTTCTATGCTTGGAACCCAGCGGTCAAGACAGACTGCTCGGGACTTCAGCCAGATGAGTATGTCTGCGTTGGTGTCAAGGTAGCCACTAGAACCGGTGTCACGACGCCGTACCCTGTTCAGGCGGGTATGGTTGCTACGTGTGACGAGTTTTACAAGGTCATCGCAGACGATTCGTGCGTCGATATTGCCAATGCAAACGTAATTCCAGTGTCTTCTTTCTACGCCTGGAACCCGGCCGTGAAGACCGACTGCTCCGGCTTACAAGGGAGTGAGTATGTCTGTGTCGGCGTATCTTCCTCATTATGGGAGCCGTAGCTAGAATGAAGCGCCAGTATACGATTAGACATGTCTTGATAGGAATTTGATAGGACTTTTTTGAATAGACGAATGGGTATTAATGACCTTCCAAGGTTCCAAGATTAAAACTCAATGCAAGACATTCAAACCTTCGGCTCGGGATCAGCTGGGTAGCATTCCTAACAAATAATTCCCAGTTTCTTAAGATCCAGGAAATTGACGTTGGGCCGAATGTACTCCGCCTCAAAAAGGTCATGATTCGTCCCGTATCCGTCTTTGGGGCTGCGTGTATCTGACCCAATCAGGGGATTTTCTCCAGAGCCATAGAGAAAGCTTGCCACCTCGTCTGAGAGCTTGATGAACCTCCCCGGCCATTTACGATGGCCATCCATCGCGACCGTGACGGTCGGTTTTAGTGGTTGATCTCTCTTGGTCCAATCCAGTTCCTCTCGCATCCTCTCTAGTAGACCAGTCAAACACAATTCATCAGAGGGGAACTCGATAAATTCCAAGTTAAGAGATCGTAATGAGGATGGTGCCAATTTGAGTATGTCTATCAACTGCGACGTATCAACGCTGAAACGAGAGAGCGCTAAGTGAGACAGATTCGGCCACTCCTTAATAGGCAGAACCTCCTTCAGGGGAATAGGTAGATCCCTCATTGAAGAATGAGATCCATTATTGAATGTAGTCGATAAATAGACATATGTCAATTCCTTGGCAAGACTCATAGCTTGACGGAATAATCCGCTTTGGAATCCTGTCCAGTAACCACTACTACCAGTAAGTAAAGACAGATGAAGACGCCGGAAGCCTGGACGTTTCATAATGGCCGTAAATTGATTGTATTCCTCGCACGGCCGGTCGAAAATCAAAAAGTTTAGTCCGGTATGGAGTTGCTTAGAGTCGAAGCTTAGCTCGGAAACATTATGCTTAGCCTGTGATAAAAGGCGAAGAACAATTCGAGCCCCTCTCCATAGCTCCTTGTAGTCCTCGGTTGCCTCTGACCACGGTAGCGGCTCGACAACCTGAGAATCAACGGGATCATAGTGCCATCCTCGCGGAATTGGATAATTGAATCCGTATGGAAATTCTCGGATCATAGGTGTTTCGTATAGCGGAGCAAATAGCCAGCCGTGAGCCGCAGGCGTAATGGTCACTCTTTTAAGCCGTGGGAATCGCTCTAGGCTGTAAAGAAAGGCTTTTTTATCGTCTTCGGATCCGATCACAGACGTCTGATCATCATATAGTTGTCGATAATACTTCCAGCAGGCTTTCAACGGCATTTGGGCATCCATCTGGTGCTGACGTGCAACATGGTCGGGTCGGTCCACGTCGCGGTATTTCCGATGCTTCATCCTATAGCGGTTCTCATTGCATTCCTCCGTGAACCAGATAGGACATCCCTCATTAGGGTTGATTTCCATGCATTCGGGGTCGATGCTTAGGTGAAGGGATTCCCATATTAACGGCGCCAATGTAAACCGTGCGTCGTCCCAGATAATCTCCCTGATTTCGTTACGAAACTTTGGATGATCTGCTACAGCCCGAAAAACTTGGATATTCAACGAGTTGGCCGAAAGAAACACGCGTGAGGAGGAGGAGAATGGTGAAATCTCGCCGAGGGCTTTGCACGTCAAGCGCAAGGACTTGACATCTTTGTTTGGCAGAAAGGATACAATGGATGAAATTATTTCAGGGGGGAAACTCAGGAACCACGGGCTTCGTGTTGCCATCCCGGACGAGGGGACTGGTGAAGCCCTTGGAGGTATGTCAATGGGTTGAAAGGTGCGAAGTTGCAAAGATGTCAAGATGTGGGTGAACCCTTCACTCAAATAAAACCAAGTGCCCCAGGGCAAAGCGGCTCAGTGTCAATTTCCTGATTTGAACATGTAGTTCGTAAACAGCGGACCTGTGAATTATCTGTTCGAGGTAGTTTTGCCGTTTTGGATTTAGTGCCCGAAAAAGCTCTCGCTGGTAGACTTGGGGGGTGCCTGATTCTCGATGATGAGGAGCCTTATGGCCAAACCAGTGGAGTTTTTGTCTCTATAAAAAACCGAAAGGTTGGGAGGACTTCAGACCAATTAAACAGAGCAAGCCTGAATTTGATAGTAGAGTAGGGTAGCGCGAACTACGTACTCTCTCTATATAGATCAGAAGGCTATATGCTAATCATGTTTCTTATAGCAGGTCTTGCCGATATTTCCTGCCTCCTCATACCTCTTTGGTCACTTTGTCAACGATGCGGTCAAATGAGATTTCTGCTCCTACTGCGGCTTTGAAATGGCTTCTATGTGTGAGTGCGACGGAAATTTTACCCCAACTGTTGGATGCAAAAAATGACCCAAATCTCGAAACAAGCTGCCGGCGGAAAATTGGGGATACTGTGGGGCAGAGGCTGGAAACAAGACAGGTCCATACCGTGAAGTAAGGTATGAGGTGCAATGCATCTTCCATGCTGTCATTCACGTTCCTGAGGTTGGATTTCGCGCGTTGGCGCCCTGTGTGCAAATCACCTTCTGTCATGCATTAGTCTACTTGCGAGGAGTTATCATGATGCTTGAAGTCATCGCAACATTGTGATGTGTATGATAATTCAGTTCAGGATAATGTTCACTATACCAAGAAGCCTCGCCGTGAACGGGCTACAGTAATATGACACAAATTCGAAGATACCGCAATTTTGATGGTAAATTTAGCAGGACTCGAGGTGTAATAATACTGGCACCTGACTGTCTCATTTAACAGGCCATATTGATCAGTGTCTGTAAGTGAAATATTGCTGTTGTTTCAGGACAGAACAAACTGCCTCAAAGTAATGCTTCCCTCGAGCTCTACAATTGCGAAATTAAAGATCCCATACCGATAGCCCATGAAGAATTCCCATGTGGCATTCAAACTGTAGTCACCTCCCAGATCAGTGAAGGTAACTCCATCTAAGCTGTACGCAAACTGCCCCGTCGCGACGGTGGGCCGAATGTCTGCTGTTGCACGCAACCAGACTTGGTCCCCAGAAAATCCAACCGATGCGATTTCGTTCCCTGTAGATATAGTATTCCAGTCACTATCCATTCTCAGGCCGGTAGTAACTCCAATATGGGTGGTGCCATCGTTATTGACAATACCAATCCAAGCGGAAGAGTCCCGAAGAAGAGCAAGCCCAGCCCGACCTCCAGCTTTGATAGACGAAGTGCTGAACTGATGTGGCCGACGATTTCGGCCCGCGGATCCGGTGCGTGAGAGTGTTCTTGGCGCGATATAGATCATTCGTCACGGAAGCAACGTGGAGAGTAAGTCCGTCGTCAATTGACCACTTGGAATTATCAGGGTTGTGGTTCCATTCCCACTGTGCGCCTAAAGTCGGACCCGAGAAGGTGTCGGTGCTGTCTGCCGGAAAAGACGAAGTCGTAGTACTCGCTGCAATGTTGGGTGTATCATACGTCGTGCTCTAGGAACCATTCACAAGGTTGACTGAGGGCCACCCGTTCGAGTCCCATCCAAGCGGTGCGAGAACTGGAATACGTCCACCGGGGTAGGCATCCACAAAGGCCATGAAATACCAATCTCCGTTAGGAGTATCCACAATACCTCCCTGGTGTGGATTTCCGCATCCCGGGACTGGGTTGCCAGCATCGGTGAACAGCTCTTGGATAGTGTAAGGACCCCATGGACCAGTCGTGGACTGGAGAACATACTCCGAGGATGGAGATCCGGGTTTTAATACCAGGATATAAAAGTTGCCATCTTTTTCATAGAAGCGAGAACCCTCGATATATCCAACATCTGATTCATATACCACCTTTGACGTAACTTCACTCAATCCGTCCGATGACAGCTCGGATACATGAATGTTGGTGCTTCCATAGGCGGCATACATTGTATCATTGGCGGCCACTAAAAGACCAACGTCGTAGTAACAAGAGTCAATGACAGCAGCCTGCGCCCAGGTAGCATCAACAGCAGAGGCAGTGTAAATATATGTCTTGGAGAAATCAATACACGCGATCCAATAGTAGGTTGATGTGCTCGCACGATATCTCAGCGATGATGCCCATGTGCCTTGGATATATGCTTGGCCGCCGTCTAGGTAGTAACCGGAACCAAATGCCAGCTCTGGCACTGAGTGTCCAACCATCTCCCAATCCACGAGGTTATTGGAACGTAGGATCGGGGCACCGGGAGAGTAGTGCATGTTTGATGCGGAATAGTAGAACGTATCGCCAACGCGGAATATGTCCAGGTCGGCAAAGTCCTCCCATATAATGGGATTTGAGAATGTCGCTGTCGCAACGACGGCAAAGAATAAATGAATAACTACAGCGAATTTCTTTTTTTGCGCTGAAGGAGGTTATTAGTAGTTGGGCTTTCAAGATAAACAAATGGCCATTTGAGTGTTTTATAGGCAATAAACCCTATGGAGAATAGGCTAAAGAGATGGGAAGCCAAGTAGTCCCTGAGACATTATACCCCAAATATATGAGCATTTGGCTGTTCAGGTAGATCACTGCCCTATGTTAGCAGTACTGTCGGCATCAATCCGGCGTCAAAAACGGCCAATGACCCCGGGCTTCCACATACTCGAGCGAGTCCAAGCTGAGAAACTTCAAGCCACTCCAGGTATTCCGACGCCTTAATTCGTGCAGAACGTAAGATGCTGAAGATCAGATTACTAGGCTTGTATGTGTTTGTCACTTCCATTGTGCCTAAATTAATTATTATAACTTATTAAGAAAAATGTGAATCATTATGGCGAATTAGCCGCGATGTACCAAGATAGGCAAATCTGCGGTGGAGTATACTCGGATATTATTATATGGTAGTATTCTTGTCTCCTGGCGCGAAACAAAAATCAATGAATAATATACCATTAGCCGGGGCTTCCGAGTCTGTAAGAAAAGGGATTAGGTATCTATTCATTTGGAAGGTATCTTGGCCTTATATAAAGTTGGCCTAAGGCTTTGGGTTCTAATACGATATATACGACACCTCGTCGTGCGACGATATAATCTTCCTACCCTTTCTTGGCTGTAGGATTATGACTTCTAGCTGCATACCATTTAACAGATTACCATCATCTTGGTGTTGCCCGTAACTCATGTGTTTATTAAACATTAACCGCGGTCACACTTCCTCGCTCTCTAAGACCTAAGTTCGCCGTCCAGTCTCCCGGTCAAGCTCTATGCACATGTCTTGACGCTATAACGTTACTCGGTGATCGACAAGTATCCACTGATTTTCGGCCACACTCAACTTGCTATGAAGTTATATCTAGTCCATATATTATTGGACCATATTTGGTGCAGAAATTTTAAAAGACTTTAGAGGGCTAGCGCTTATGGCGACCTTACTATATAGTCTAGAATAGAAGATCACTACTTTAAATAACAAGTTTTCACAGCACGATGATACAATAATAGACAAATATTAAGTTACAAAGTCAAGTAAGAAAGCTACTGAATCAAAAGGGGATATATATACCCCGTGAAGGCTTCATTGATTCGGATAACCTAAAATTGAGGGCCGAACCGCGATTTGAGCGGGGCCTCGCGCATAATGATACTAGGGGACTAGAATTTTGTTTCTGTTACTTTGTAAGTCAGTTTGAGATCAAATATGAACACGGTATAGTGAACCAATAAGCGCGAATCTTTCCAGATCACCAAGCTGAGTGGTGAGGAATGCGTTCTCTTTCCAAAATTATAGCCTCCACAACGTTTGCCTATCAGGAAACAGGATTATGGTATTATATTGCTAGCTATTCTTCATCTAAAGAACATAGTAGAGTACTTCAAGACCGTCTTTGTAGAAGGAGTCCAAGCTATGAAGAGGTGTCTAGAGCGACGACCTTGTAAGAGGAATAGGGATTGATATAGCGGAATGTCGACCGCTCGTTGCAATTGAACAGATTGGATTATATTGAAGTTCTCATAAAACAGGAAAGGTCAAGTGGCTTATGTAGTCGATGTGAAACCTGAGTGGCATCGGCTCACATTAAGGTGTAGTGCTTCAATAATACGATAGGAAAAAGCAAAACACTTTATTTTTCAAAAAAGAACCTGCAAGTGCAAAATAGCATGCCTTACTTATAGAGTTCTTCGCTTTCCAATCGCAGTTCAATAGTTCAAGAGTAGCAGTCGAACTCGGGTACGCGATTCAGTACGCGTCGGGGCGGTCAAACCACGCCAAACTGCCGCTTTTGAAACACAACTCCCTCCTCCACCCAAGTCCATGTGAGAAAGCGCCTATCATGCCTTCGCGCTCTCGCCCTGCTCCCGAGGTCGAGGATGACTCGGGGCTTCGCAGCCTCTCCTTCAACCAACCCCTCTCATGGCGCGTGGGGCGCGCCGCCATTCCCATCGCGGATCTCCTCGAGCGTCTCCAGACGCTCGCGCAGGAGCTTCGAAAACTTGACCAGGAGGAAATTGACAAGGAATCTCTCCGCAAGGTCTCGCAGGAACTTGCCAGCGGGAATCTGCTTGCTCATAAGGACAAAGGTGTGCGGGCGTGGGCTACGTGCTGCATCGTTGATGTCTTGCGATTATGCGCCCCAGACGCGCCGTTCACGCGCAACCAGCTTAAGGTATGGCCATTGACAATACACCGATTGGCGGGTGCTTTGTGCGATCGGACTTTCTGACTTGGGCGAATTAGGATATCTTCACTTGTATCGTGTCCTCGATTATCCCCGCGCTGGCGGATCCATCCAACGCCTACAATGCACAGCACATCTACGTTCTGGGATCGCTTGCCGAGGTGAAGAGTGTGGTTTTGATGGTCGATCTCGATCACCCTGACTCGCTCATCGTACCATTGTTCACAGGATGTTTCGACATTGTTTCAGGGTCCTCGAAGGCCTCCACCGGTGAGGAAGTCGCCAAGAATGTCGAATTTGACATGACCCGAGTCCTTGTCACAGTTATCGACGAATCGGTTGTTCTGGCGCCAGAGGTGGTTGATATCATTGTCGCACAATTCTTGCGGGTCGACCCACGAGTCATGGACACCTCGAATAAGAAAGGAAAGCGCCCAGGTACACAGGTTGATTCTAAGCAGGATACCCTACTGTTGAAAGATTACCCCGCCGCCTATAACATGGCAAAAGCTATTTGCCAGGCTTGCCCCGAACGAATGACCAGCCACATCAGCCAGTACTTCAACAACGTCATTATCGATGCGTCTGTACCGGCTGGCCAGACAAACGGTTCCAAGCATGGTGCCCGGAAACCCAACCTTGACGACTCTGATGAGGAGGGAGAGGACATCAAAGAATTGAGCAAGGCTCACCGTCTGATTCGGGAGCTCTGGCGTGCCTGTCCTGAAGTTCTGCAGAATGTGATTCCCCAAATCGAAGCAGAACTGTCTACGGAATCAGTGTCCCTTCGATTGTTGGCTACACAGACGATCGGAGACCTCGCGGCAGGAATTGGAGTTGCAGGACCCCCTCCCTCACCTCCCATGGACCCTGCCACATACCCACCTGTGGCTCTGGTAGACTACGACAAGACGATCCCTCAACCCAATGTTCTGTTGACTCCAGTCTCTCCGAAGCCATTCTCCCAGGTCCATAACTCGGCGTATGAATCATTCCTCAGTCGTCGCCTTGACAAGACCCCGTCAGTCCGCGCTGCGTGGGCCACGGTTGTGGGAAGGATCCTCCAAACATCTGCTGGTGGCTCTGGCCTACACGAGAATGAAGAGCAAAACCTTGTCCGACACCTTGCCTCAATGCTGCGCGATGTCGATGAGAAAGTTCGTGTGGCGGCAGTGGATACTGTTGGGCAGTTTGGCCTATCTCAAATTGTTCACAAGCTGGGTGTGGATGGTGGCTGTTCAACACCAGACTCGCTTCTTGCAATTCTCGCTGAACGAGTCAAGGACCGTAAGCCCCATGTTCGCGAACATGCCATGAAGATTCTGGCTCGGATGTGGGCAGTTGCCGCCGGTGATATCGAGCAGAATACTGAGCCCGTCGTTTCGCTCCTCAGGGATGCACCATCCAAGATCTTCGATGCATTCTACACAAATGATCAAGAGATCCATGTCCTGATCGACCGTGTGCTGTTCGAGACACTTCTACCCCTTTCATACCCGCCCATAAAGGCGAAGCTGTCTCGCGGCAATTCGAACCAATCACAAAAACAAAAAGATAGCCAAGCTTCTGAGCCTGAGCAAGAGACGGATGTTGATAAAATTCGTGTTCGTCGAATCCTCACCCTGCTCCGTGGTCTAGATGAGAAGGCTAGGCGAGTGTTCTTCGTCATGTTGGCACGTCAATTGTCGATGAGGTCAGTCGTGACCCTTTACCTCGAGGCATGTGAGAAGTACAATGTAAGCACACCTCTGTCCTATGTTCACAACCTACAGCTCATACTAACCGGATTGAAGGGCGGCGTCTTTGACAAGGACGAAGAACAGATCAAGGCCCAGCTGTCCAAGATTGTGGATTCCTTATCCAAGACCTTCCCGGACGCTGCACGCGCATCAGCAGATCTCTGGAAGTTCGCCAAAGTACATGACCGTCGCAGCTACCAGTTGATTCGCTTCACTATGGCTGCTGTGAGTGATTATCGCACTGTCGTCAAGGCTACAAAAGAGCTGCAGCGCCGTGTACAGACTGCCAATAACTCACCGCTGCTTGAAACATTGACTCCGCTTATATACCGCTGCGGATCCTTGATTTTCAACCGCAGCCATATCCCCGCAATCATGAGCCTATCCCGAACTGATGAGAACGGATTGGCCAATGCCGCTCAGGAGATGCTGAAGCAAATCTCCTCTCAAAATCCAGAGGTCTTGGAGGCCCAGGTACAAGAAATGTGCAAAGACCTTGAAGCTCAAGCTCCCAAGGCTTCTTCGGCCGGTGATGCCAGTACCGACGACATTCTGAAGGCTTGTTCTGGCTTCGCTAAGAAGCTTCCTGCCAAACTCCCCAAGGAACGCAAGTTCTTCCAAGCTCTTACCAACTACGCCCTCTACAGCTCGTCACCGCATGCGGCAAAGCACGCTGTCTCAATTTTGATGGCTACCGCTGACAAAAAGGAGATGTATGCCAAAGATCTTGTACAAAAGTGTGTTAAGAAGTGGACATATGGGTCTGATCGGTTCCTCACTCGTCTGGCTGCCTTGTCGCAGCTCAACCTTCTCGCGCCAAGAGAGGCAGACGAGGAAAGCGATGCAATCATTGCTATTGCTATCAACCAAATTCTGCTCACCAACCGCAACCCTGAACCAGAGTCTGGATATACTTGGTCAGAGACTGTGGATGATGAGACAAACGCCAAAGAGTGGGCTCTGAGAATCATTGTCAACCGCCTTCGGGCTAAGGATGGGGCTGACGATGAAGCGGACTTCCGTGCTCATGCCAAGCCCGTTTATGAGACTTTGAACAAACTCATCGCTGGCGAGGGCGAGATCTCCAAGAAGAAAGATACCCCTGCCGGCCAGAAATCCCGCCTTCGTCTCCTCGCCGCAAAGTCTATGCTCAAGCTGTGCGCTTCCAGCACCGTTTGCGACGGGTTGTTGACACCAACCGATTTTAATGCAATTGCTTTGGTTGCCCAAGATCCGCTATTGCAGGTGCGAAGTGGATTCGTCAACCATCTGAAAAAGAAACTTGTGCAAAAGTCACATCTGAGTCACCGATGGTACATTGTTCCCTGTTTACTTGCCTTTGAGCCCGTTCACAGTCTCAAGGAGAGCACACTCACATGGCTGCGCTCTCGTGCGGCATACTTCGCTCAGCAGGCACAGGCCAGTGGAAAGCGGACGGAACAGACCATGGTCATGGAACTGATCTTCTCGCGCCTTCTGTCTCTTCTTGCCTACCACCCTGATTACCCGTCCGAGGATCTGGACGAGTCAACAAAACTGGGCGACCTGACCGACTTCTCTCAATACATCCTTTACTACCTCTCCGCAGTGGCCAACGAGCAGAACATGTCCCTGATCTACCACGTCGGACAACGCGTCAAGCAATTCCGAGATGGCATCACCAAATCTGACGAGATCTCTACCCGCCTCCACACACTCTCCGACCTGGCTCAAGCAACCATCCGCCGTTTCGCAGACATCTACTCCCAGCAGCACAAGTTCGGCGGTGCCGCCGGCGCAACCAACATCCTGCAAACATATCCAGGAAAGATGGGTGTTCCCAGCTCTCTCTTTGCGTCCATGAGCGGCCACCGTGAGGCCCAGGACGTCGCCGACAAGAACTTCCTTCCTGATGAGTTGGACGATCTGCTGGACCGTGTCGTCCGAAATGCCATGAAGCCCAGAAACGCCTCTCACGTGGCACAGGGCGGATCGAGCAAGAAGCGAAAGCCTTCTCTCGACACCAATGGCAAACCCTCTGCTGCCAAAAAGGCACGCAAGGATAAGCCCACTCGTCCCCGTAAATCCTCATCATCGGTTGGCACATCCAAGCCTAAGCGCAAGTCCAAGAATGAGGACGCCTGGTCCTCTGATGGAGGCGCCAAAGATTCCATACCCGCTTCAGCTCGCAGGCGCAGCGGCAGAGGAACCGCCAAGCAGGAAGTCAGCTACATTGACAATGACAGCGATGAGGATGACGAAGAGATGGCAACATGGGATGAGCCCGCAGAAGCCAACGACGAGCAGGACGACGAGGAAGTGGAACAAGGAGAGGAACAGGAAGAGCAAGCAAGCGACGATGAAGAAATGCAAGAGGCAGACAACGACGAGGAAAAAGCAGACGATGATGAACCAGGGGAAGCCAGCGAGAAGGAACCAACTCCACCTCCCATCCCCGCAAAGAAGCGAGGAGCAAAGGCCGCTACGGCTAAGAGTCCCGTCGCAAAGAAGCCTGCGACTACTTCTTCTACCTTGCCGACACGCCGCTCTTCCCGCCGCGGTTAAATCCCTTTTTACCTTGATATCTCGATACCATTCTGTCAAAAGTGATCATCGGCACTCCTGTCTCCTTTTCATCTGATTTATCCCTGTCTATTCCACGTTGTGCCAGATCAGATTCTTGCCTTCTATATCATACCGTATCCATATTCACTTCACTTTTCTTATCCATATCGTGATTCCCATTCTATTTCAGTTGATTTGATTTGATTTGACTTCCTTTATTCTTGTTCCTGTTTCTGTTGATGCTATTGTTTATCCATATTTTCAACCTACGTTCTGTTCTTTGCAGACGATGCTGGTTCGAGGTGTATACCCCATCTGCTTTCTTGCTTGATGTTTATCTACATGAGCCTTTCTGTATCTGGATTTTGATCGATGGTTGTTTGTTTGCGGTTTCCAGTCAAATATGTGTTCTGTCTGTAAATAAATTGAACTGTAGTTTCAAATTTATTTGTCCTATAAGACCCAAGAACTAGAACCTCAGGTCTGTCGATGCCCATAGTGTCTAGTCGGCTCGAGTCGGCTACATATAACTAAAGCAGCAGTTTACAAGTATCACAGATCCACAGTATAACAAGTATAACAACTCATATTTACTCAAGTCCTTACGTCTCACACTATCTATTACACATCGGCCAGCAAAACAAACACAAAACCAACACCCAGATACAGAAACATCGAGCACCTAGAAAGATCAAAATCAAAATCAAGACAGGAATCGCTTCACCTCCGCACAGAAAAGGAAAACAAATCCTATACAAACACCAGCGCGTAGAGATGAAGAAAAGTAGTCTTTGGGACAATTGATAATGGATAATAGATAGATGGAATTGGTCAAATGTGTAACAAAAAAAATACAAGCCATCTGAAAGAAAAAGGGATAAAGATACGGATAATGAACAGTTGGGGGAGAAGTATCAATTATCACACAAGACGCCGTTGTCATCAAGTCATGAACAAAATTGACTATGGCTGAGGCCCAGTGACTGGGGATGGAGAAGCACCGTGCATTCCGTAGGCTCCGGGAGCGGGACTCGCGCTTGTGGAGGTTCTGGCTCCTGGGGCAGGGCTGGCACTTGCACTGCCGATGTCACCGCCGACATTCTTGATGCGCTCTTCGACGCGCTCCTTGTGCTGCCTGTTGCGGAGGTGGACTTCAAAGTTGTCCACGGTCATGCCTGGACCTGGGGTGTAGAGCTTCCCGGGGCAATCGTGACAGCGGATGCGGGGGAGGTATTGATATTTGACTTTCTGGCCGTCCGAGAGACTGTTAGGGTTGGCCACTGGGGCGAGGGTTTCGGTGTCGACGGCGGAATATCGCATCACTCCTTCAAAAGAGTCATTTGGGTGAGATTGTTTGAGCTTTTGGAGACCGGCTGCGAGCCAGGGGGGTGGTGGGGGCTGCGTGAGGCAGGGAGTCAGCCACGGGCCAAGTACTGGGGTTAATATCTACTCACGCCAGAAACACCTGGTTGCGGGGGGTTCGGGGCATCAACAGCTCCGGTTTGTTGTGGTCGCGGTGGAACATGAAGTCGGGACTGTCTATCGAGTGGAGGTGCCATCGCTCGCTGGACACCAGCTTGGAAGGAAAAGATTCGCTTTCCGTTTCTCAAATCGACAAGCTTATCTCGTGGCATCCTCAGTCTCACAACCAACTTTTCAGGCTCCTCCACACTTTCCTCTCTGTACTGCTGGCGTCTGGATGAGGCCCGAACTTCATATGCCACTGGTTCAGGGGTCGCAGATTGGCCCAATGTTTGCCGAAGGGCCGCATGAGCTGCACTTGCCGCACCCCGCATACCTCTTGTACGAGCAGTGCCTTGTGCGAGATTGGGACCTATTGCCGGAGACCCAATAGAAGAATCATCGCTATCAAACTCATCAGAGTCATCGTCCCGCTGTCCAGTCATTCCACGGCGGCGACCAGAGCTAGTCCGCTTGACCACGTTGCTTTCTTCGAAGGTACCGACCGAGTTGGGAATCACAGATGAAACAATCATTGTGCGTATCGTGCGTTGGCGGTCCTTGAGATCTGGCAATGCCGGGCCACCCCGTCGGTTGATGGATCGCTTTTGGCGGCGCTGTTCTCGAGATATCGAGATTTCGGTACGTTCAAGATCAGCCTCATTCAATTCGTAAAGATAAGGAGTGTGCTCTTTGGCGGATTGATATGGTCGGAAGGCGGAAGATACGGGGGTAGGGAGGAAGGAGGTGTGTAGGTCGGGGTCCTCGATTGGGCGACCATCGAACGGGTGAGCGACAATGTACAAGGATTTAGTGAATAGTTGAGACTGCTCGCGTATTGAATGTGCGATGGCAGTGGTGAACTCGCCCGAGAGGGACAGGTCGTCCGTCATGCGCATGGCAAACTCTTCGGGTGAGTTATTGGCGTCATTGATATCCCATTCGAATTGGTCGATGAGTGTATGTTGACCGATCGTGATGTTCAGTTTCACTAGAATGCGCATCTCGTCATTTTTGTATGCGCTGTAGGGTAGCTGATCATCGAGGGGATCTTCGTGGACAGAAAGGTGAGGGTAATAATCCATCACCTGCTCCTGTATACTTTGAGAGATCATCCGCGCTAAAGGGGTCGAGGTCTCCAATGGAAGACCCAGGTCCTCGACCAGTTTCTCAGCAAACAAGTCCGGAGATACAACTCGGTCATGGAGGTTCCAGGTGAAGGTATCGCGGATCTTGACCTTGTCCCAGTCAATATCCAACCGAATAGGTACGAGGTCCTCCGTCTGTTCGCTTTGGATCTTTGCATCGCGTCGTGAAACTCGGAGTTCTCGCGTCTTTCGGTTTCCTGGACGGCGTCGGTGGACGGGGTACATAAGTTGAGGATGTTGATTGCGAAGGTCGGTGCGCGGGTTTCCAAATCCCTCGTAGCCCACTCCATAGAGGGCAGCCGGGTTCATCTGATTTTCACGTCGTACTGCCAGATAATAGTCGCGCTCTGCCCGCTTATTCTTTTGCAAATCAAGGCCGGGGTTTTGCCAGGCACCTGCTGCGGCGTGTTGAAATTCGCGATCCACATACTGCTCAAGAAGGATCTTATCAAGTGGTGTTTCGCGAGCGCGAACGGGGATGGCACCAGAGACCTCCGTTGATCGTACAGCAGATCCGTCATTCGATCGGTTTCTTGCAGAACCGTTGCCATTCGAACGAGCGGTACCGTTAGAACCCTCACTGCCCTCCGAGGGTGCTGGCATCCCTGAAGCAGCCAGCATAGCTTTCGCGCTTTGTTTTCCTTCAGCAATTGTGTCTGGTGCTTGACCGTTCGACTGAGCTCCAAAGTCGATGCTGTCGCTTAACTCCCCCGTATCCGACGCGCCAGAGCCGTTCTGAGAACCCGATTGAGGGTCTCTCGGCGATTGCTCAGGCTGCAATGGGCCACCTGTCAGTTCAGGGGATGGCATTGTCGATGGATCAAAAAGCGAATAGGAGCCGAAAATGAACGTGACACTCAACACAACAGGAATAGTTGAGACCGATTACGATAGCATTATGGTACTAGACCTGAACGTGCGATCAACTCTTGGTTAGCATGTGTTCTCAGACAATGAAGTATCGCACCAGTTGCTGTCGCGACCGTGCCACCCGTGTCACTAGTGAGGTTGAACGTGTCGCAACGGGGGGATGTTCCGAACATGCCACATTCACCAACTAAGGATGCACCAGGTCTGCTGGTATGGCATATGGGAGGGCCTGGGAAGCTGAATCGAACATACCAGGGCGGAAGGAGAGCTCGATGTTTGAATGGTCCGGCAGTTCCAACGCAGAATGCGCTCCAGTCGGAAGGTCCAGATCACTGGCTTTATCACGGACGATGTTCTACCCCGGATGGTTCTTCTATAACCTCGGGGGCGGTTGCGTTTCTTAATGGCAGGGGAGGTGGAAGAGGCAAAGGAGAAGAGGGAGAGTACCCGTTGCAAGTGTCCGCACCCGTCAGGATCAGAAAGCAAGGAAGCGCGCTGTTTCACCCACGCCAACAGCCATGGGGGATTGAATATGATAATAGTCTATAGGGGATCTGAAGCTACTCCCAGATGTCCAGCAATGGGCTCCTACAAGTCCCAATACCTTCAATACCAATGTTACTGAATTCGCGCTTACCGCTCTGGTGGTCATGTGACCTTGTCGTTATGTAATCTTATCACGTGTCTGCGTCCTCTGTATGGCTTCATTACTGAAACTTAGGGAAGAAGCTAGTAATTGAAGGATATTCAAACTTAGACTTTGTGGCTATTGGCTTACTTGGAGGAAGACTTGTAATTTGGAGTTTAGGAGAAAGGGCTGTGATATGGAAATATTGTGGATCGTAGTTAACAAGGAAAGCTGGAGATATATACATGTGGGGGGAATAACATTAGTTATTTACAAAGAATCAACCTGGAATGCTCATCATTTTGTATCTGGCAGTAAAGAAACTCAGTTCATACCCAATATTATAAGACGTAAAACCCAAGGTTGAGGGAGACAAAAAAGATCTTTGAAAGGGCGAAGTGTAGATATCTGTATCCGGCCACACTGAATGGATGTCTTAATACCTAATTTGAAATAGATCTTCATCTGCAGGCCTGCTGGTTTAATGGTATAATTCACCGTTCGGATTCAGTTCCAGTGTTGGTTACGATACTATCTCGGTGAGGCTCCGCGTTCGATTCGCGGGCAGGCCCTGCTTTTTTTTTTTCTACTTCTGACCGACCGACCGACCACCTTGCCGTGGGCGGGAAAGGAAGGGAACATGCATGCATGCATGCTGTGTTTTCAATGACTTTGTTGTAGTTCTAGTTTTTGCAGTGCCACTCTGGTTTCGACAGTAAGTAGTAAAGCGAATCAGCAAGAGAGGATCCTTTCTACATATTTATAGATAGGGAGGGTGGTCAATTAAGTGCTAGCTAGATTCACGTCCCCGGATGGCTCCTGTATGTAGTAAGTAGGAGCAGGGAGGCTAACTATGATAATGAAAGACGTGCCCTAGGGAGATGTTTATATAGTAGGCCTATATCTATTATATACTTCAAAGGAATGTGTCTAGATTGTACATGGGAATACCAGCTATAGCAAACAAATCTCCGTGCATGGTTTGATTTTCTGTAGTCTATCTAATTCACTGGAAATACCCCAGGTGGCGGTATCCACCTCGGCATCAACAGAGACCGAAACAACCGATATGCAACAAATGAAACAGGAATAACCCAAGGGACGTATTTATGATATCATCCGATCCTGATCTTGCGCTCTCTAGACAAAACTATGATTGGACTTTATCTGATCTGATTTTTCATCAATTATACATGTTAAGCCCCTCGGACATCGGAAAGCGCGAACGACCGCACTCCGAACACACTATGGATCTAAACCGGCCAATTCTAACACGTCCGAGACGTAACTCCGAGGCAGAAAGATGAACGAAGACAATCTTTATATGGGTGCCTCTTGTCCCGGGAGTTCATTCCAATCCAAACATTTCCTATTTGATACACATCACGGCCCATCCATTCGACAGAGTGCCAGCACACCTCGATTGAGCATGGAGAACCATTCCAATCAGCCTGGCACAATTGCCAGCACACCTGACGAACAAACCGATGTTGAAAGTGCACCCGAACCAGAAGTCGAGGAAAAGCCCACTGACAAAGACCCCAACCTCGTTGAATGGGATGGTCCAGAGGACCCTGAGAACCCGCAGAACTTCACGAAGCTACGCAAATGGGTCATTACATTGACCTTGTCCTCCATGACCATGTGGATCACCTTTGCATCCAGTGTCTTCTCCACAGCAACTCAAGTCACCGCAAAGGAATTCAATGTCTCGACCGAAGTCATGGTCCTGGGCACCAGTCTGGTTGTCTTTGGCTTTGCACTTGGCCCGTTGTGCTGGGCACCACTGAGCGAACTATACGGCCGTCGTATCCCACTGTTCTCCGGCTATGCCATCTTCGCCATTTTCCAAATCCCCGTAGCCGTGGCCCAAAACCTGGAGACGATCCTGGTCTGCCGTTTCCTGATGGGCGTTTTTGGCTGTTCGCCTCTGGCAGTTGTCGGCGGTGCCATGGCTGATATCTGGAATCCCGTTGACCGCGCAGTGGCCATTGCTCTATTCAGCTCAGCTACGTTCCTCGGACCCGTCCTGGGCCCAATTATGTACGTACAACCCGTCTTCCATTATTCTTGCTATATCCAGACAACTAACATCATCTCCAGCGGGGGCTTCATCACAGACTCATCCCTAGGCTGGCGCTGGACAGCCTGGATAACCCTAATCGCCTCAGCCTTCTTCGGGCTAATCGCCCTCGTCGTCGTCCCAGAGACCTACGGCCCAGTCCTCCTCCAAAAGCGCGCAGCCCGCCTACGCACCGAAACCCGCAACTGGGCCTTCCACTCCTTCCTCGATGAACACAAGCCAACAATGTCCGACATCGTAACCAAATACCTCCTCCGCCCCTTCCAAATGCTCTTCCAAGAACCAATCCTCCTCTTCATAACAATCTACCTCGCCCTAATCTACGGCATCCTATACCTCTTCTTTGAAGCCTACCCAATCTCCTTCAGCCAAGTCCGCGGCTGGAAGCACGAAGGCGTAGCCGCACTCCCATTCCTGGGTATCCTAGTTGGCGTTGTGCTCGGCGCCTGCCTAATCATCTACACAACGAAAACCCGCTTCGCCCGCAAACTCGCCAAACACGGCCATGTCGTTCCCGAGGAACGCCTCCTGCCAATGATGATCGCTTCCTTCCTCTTGCCCATCGGTCTATTCTGGTTCGGCTGGACTTCTGATCCTAGCATCTCGTGGGTGCCGCAGGTCATCGCCGGTGTGCCTATTGGCATGGGCATCTTGGTTATTTTCATGCAGGGCTTAAATTATATTATTGATGTCTATATGATGTTTGCGAACTCGGCTATTGCGGCTAATACCCTTGTGCGGTCGACCCTTGGTGGTGCCTTCCCGTTGTTTGCTACGCAGATGTATACCAATCTGGGTGTCGAATGGGCGTCTAGTGTGCTTGGGTTTATTTCTGTTGCTATGATTCCTATTCCTTTCTTGTTCTTCTTTTATGGTGCGAAGATTCGCGCTATGAGCAAGTTTAGTCCCAAGTTCTGATTGGGTTTTGTATGGGATTTTTGCATTTATTTTTGGGCTTGCAAAGCTTTGGAGTCTGGGTTGACTGTTTTACCTGGCTTTGGTGTTGCATGATTATAGAACTCCCCAGATTACAATAACAGATAGAATTAATTATATTCTCTAAACTGAGCCTCATTGTCCGAAGGTTGGTAGTATAAGCCTTAACCATAAGCCTTACGAAAACAATGGCTGTAGGGTTACAAGACAAATCGGCATCAACAACTACAAGTACGACAGAATCATTTGAATGTAGATTTCTCTACCTGTATTGGCTATTATGGCACATTGTATGCGGGCAAAAACAGGAAAGAAAAAATCAAAAAAGAGAACATCTCATTAGCCCAGCGATCAAACCCGCATCTCCACCCTGGCGAAACGATCTATACATAACGAATCCCCGTGCAGAAAGCCAGGCATAGCTGAACCAAGATAAAAAAAAACAGGAAATAAGTCATATCACCCCGTAGCAAAAGGAACCCATTTAATCATAGAGGCTGTCATCATTGCCGGCATCGCCGAAGGTATCATTCTCCTGGACCTCGCCGGCGGAGGGGAAACGGAAGAAGCTGCCACCACCGGTGTTCTTAAGGCTCTGGGCGAATGCCTCGTAGCGGCGGATCTCGACGTCGCTGACGGAGCGGCGAGCGGACTTCATGGCCTCCTCGAAGTGGGCGCGGGTCAGCTCGGGCACGGGGTCTTCGACATCTTCCTCGTCAACGTCCATTGAGACATCCTCGCCAGCGGCCTCGCGCTCCTTTATGCGCTCGATGTCAATATTGATGGCCTGCTTGATGGCGAGCTTGACGGCACGCTGTGTCACGAAGCCAAGATCGGCACCGGAGAAGCCGTGGGTCTTGCTGGCGATGAAGGCCATGTCGATGTCGTCGGCGACAGGGGTCTTGCGGAGCTGGGCCTTGAGGATACCCTCGCGAGAAGCCTGGTCGGGAAGGGGCACGTAGACCAGAGTGTCGAGACGACCGGGACGGACCAGGGCGGCATCAAGCTGCTCGGGACGGTTGGTGGCACCGATGACGAAAACGTTCTTCTTGGAGGTCATACCGTCCATCTCAGTGAGGAGCTGGTTGACGACACGGTCGGAAGCACCACCGGCATCACCGACAGAACCACCACGAGACTTGGCAATAGAGTCAAGCTCGTCAAGGAAGACAACACAAGGAGCAGCGGCACGGGCCTTGTCGAAGATGTCACGGATGTTGCTCTCGGACTCACCGAACCACATGCTTAGCAACTCAGGACCCTTGACGGAGATGAAGTTGGCGGCACACTCGTTGGCGACGGCCTTGGCCAACATGGTCTTACCAGTACCGGGGGGGCCGTAGAAGAGCACACCACGAGAAGGCGAGAGACCGAACTTCTGGAACATCTCGGGGTGGTCCACGGGATATTGGACACTCTCGATAAGCTCGCGCTTGACCTCCTCGAGACCACCAATGTCGTCCCAGCGGACGTTGGGAACCTCGACGACGGCAACCTCGCGTAGAGCGGAGGGGTTGGAGACACCAAGGGCGTAGCGGAAGTTCTCCATGGTGACACCAAGAGCCTCGAGAACCTCGGCATCAATGGTATCCTCATCCAGGTCGATCAGGTCCATCTTCTCACGGATCTGCTGCATGGCAGCCTCAGAGCAGAGGGAGGCAAGATCGGAACCGACGTAACCGTGGGTCTCGGCGGCAATGGTCTCAAGGTCAACATCATCACCAAGCTTCATGTTCTTGGTGTGAATCTGCATAATCTCCAGACGGCCAGTGGGGTCGGGAATGCCAATGTCGACCTCACGATCGAAACGACCGAAACGACGAAGAGCAGGATCAATGGAGTTAGGACGGTTGGTAGCAGCCATGACCACAACGTTGGAGCGGGCCTTCATGCCGTCCATGAGGGTGAGCAGCTGCGAAACAACACGGCGCTCGACCTCACCATTGGTCTTCTCACGCTTGGGAGCAATGGAATCGATTTCATCAATGAAGATGATGGCCGGAGAGTTCTTCTCAGCCTCCTCGAAAGCCTTGCGCAAGTTGGACTCGGATTCACCAGCCATCTTGGACATAATCTCGGGACCGTTGATCAGGAAGAAGAAAGCACCAGTCTCGTTGGCAACGGCACGAGCCATCAGAGTCTTACCGGTACCGGGGGGACCATACATGAGGATACCACGAGGGGGCTTAATACCAATGGACTTGAAGAGTTGGGGGTGGCGCAGAGGCAGCTCGACCAATTCACGGATCTGAGCCATCTGCTTGCGGCAACCACCAATATCATCGTAGCCAACCTCGTTGAGGTTACCCTCCTCATCCTCTCGTTGGATGGGCTCACCCTCGCAGTGAATAATTGTGTCCTGGGCAACAATGCCGTACTCTGGGGGGTCGACCTCCACGACCTTAAACTCGATTTGTCTCATACCACCTCGTACTGTGAACAGGTCACCCTGGCGGACTGGTCGGTATGCCTCACGGAAGTAAGGAGCGAGGTAGACATCGAAGAGGGAGCCGGTCAGACCCTCAATGGTATCGGCAATGGGAAGGACAGCAATGCGCTTGGCCTGTTTGCGAAGACAAAATCAGCATCCAATCAAAGAGAAAGGGGTGCATGCTCATCAACTTACATATTTGATATCGGGGCAGGGGTGGACAGTGATGATGTCGCCGTGCTTGACACGGAGGTTGTGGCGCACAACACGGTTGATACGGGCGCTCCCGTCATCAAGATCGTCATCGGCAAGGACGATCAGCACTGTGTCCTTACGCTTCTTACCCTTCACCAGGACTGTGTCTCCACGGAAGAGCTGGAGAGTCTCCATGGTGTTGTTCGAGAGGGCAATCACCGAGTTATCATCGTTAACGGCATCGGTCACACTGAAAACCGTTAGCTCCTTGTCCCGAACACCGCCATCTCGCAATCACTCACATCAACGAGTTGGGCTTCTTCTTCTTCTTGAGAATAGCAGTCGAGGTGTCGAGCTCCTGCGTTTACGTCAGTTCTGAGATGTCTGCAAGCTGTCCAAGAGCAGTCTTACCTCCTTCTTCTCGGCGCCAGAGGCGTCCCTGTGGTCAGAGGTTAGCATCAACGACAATCAATACAGGACACAATCAACATACTGGAGGTTGACCCTCTTCTTGTCGTGTGTGTGATCCGGCTCCGTAGACATGATAGCCGTATCTGAGGTCGTGGCTTGGAAGGAAGCAAGCTTGGGGGAACAGAGGTGTCAAGTGCCCAAAACCAGGCGGATCAAGACACGGAGATTGAAATGGAAGTAAAAAGGAGACGGAAAGAACGATGCGATGACCGACGGATCAAAATCAGAAAGCGGATCGACGGGGGAAAGATGGAGGGTGCAGGAATGATGATGTTGAGCTTCAGGTCCACGGTGATGATGATTAAGCTCGGCGCTTATGTCATGGATCCTTGTCCGCCACAGCGAAGCAGATGGAAGTCAGTCGATTGAGAGCCTTGGTGCCTGAAAACACAACTACTTCAGCTAAGGTCCTCATACAAAGAACGTTTGCTTACGACCTGAACTGAATCGATCTATAGAAAGAACTGGATACGTCCGATCTATATAATTTTTCCCCACGGAACTGTTCAAACTACTTAAAGTGCGTATGTAAGAAGCATCTGCAGACCATCTGCACGATTATCACATATTAAGCCTATTAAGCCATCAAATATGACTGCACACTCAAGCGGCTCTGTGATTTATAGGATTAACTGCATCTGGAAGGTGAGTCCGGTATTCAAATTGAACAGCTGCCTGCCACGTTCCTGTTGAAGCCCTGGTTGAGAGGTTATATAGATCGGCCCACGGTACTTCACAATGTTAAAACATACGCCGGTCTAGGCCCAGGAATCCTACGAAATGTCAACCGCAGTTGTAATGACAGAATTTTAATGGCCTGGAACAATTCCCCTGGAGGCTCAATAAATTGTACCTGTATGGTGACTGCGCTAGTGCCCGGATGGTTTTGCAGGTGTGCACCCTAATCAGGCAGCCGAACTGGATCGTTGATAAATTGCAGCGTCATAAGAAATCCTGAGAATCCTAAAGCCTGAGCGCTCATTTGAATAGTGCAATAGAACAATAAACGTGTTCAGCTCGTTGTTGCGCAACGATCGTTCCCTTGACATTTGTTTACCCAATCCACCCAGATCGATCTATATCCTCCTCATCGATTCGCCAACCACCACCCAACACCGAAATGCGCATTCGCTTCAGAACATTTCCCGCCTGAGGCCATGGCGTTCGATCCCTCCTACCCAGAAGACTTCAAAAAGGCCCTAAGCAACACAATCTCAGACAAAGAGATTGACCAATTCCTCAAACGCGGCGGCTCCCCTCGCTTCGTTTACGGGGTCTTGATGCTACCAACCGTCCTCAAATACTATATCGATGGAGACCAAGGGGTCAAAATTCACAAGCAAATGACCCAGGCCACATTGCCTGGCTATCAACTTTACGAATTCGCGGATTCCAGCGCTCCGGTCATCGCCCGTTCCAACAATCCTCAGGCCAATGTCAAGGGCATGCTGGTTTTCAATCTCAGTGATGAAGAGAGGAACTCAATTTACGAGTTTGAGAGTGGCTTGATGCGGCTTTCGAGTGTAGAGGTGGATATCATTCAGAAGAGTTACCTGGGCAATGTGCATGATATGCGGAGAATCGATGCGGGGGCTTTTGTATGGGATGAAAGCGTGCATCTGTTGAGTCCTATGATTGGACTTAAGGTCACGCGTGGTACCAAGTGGGATCTTGTTCCTTACCTTCAAGGTCGGTTCTATCGGGATATCGAAGCGTCACAGTGTCGGGGTGTCCTTGAGAAGAAGGTCATGGAGTCTCAGACGGAGCAATCGACTAGGGCTCAAAAAGATCGGTCTGCACCTCGTGGTTCTCTCACAAAGATGGCCACACAGATGAGTGCAAATGAGCTCATTGACGATGAGGAAGATAGCTCCGAGTACTCGAGTGCCAATAGCGAAATCTTCATGTACTCCCTCGACGAGCGGGAGGCTAACTCCTGATGAATGATGGTCTCTGGAGATGGACTGGGGCTGGATGGCAGGAGCACAGCAAGGATCTGGACCCATGAACAAACTTCACATCTGATATCTCTTAGTTTGTCCCATTTCCGACGAATACAAATGACAATTGCAGACTCTTTTTCTTCGAGACTCTATTGATTCCAAAGCAAATACCAGCATATGCGCTGTGAAATCAGATGGATAATATGTGCAAGTAGTATGGGGTAATCAAACAAGAAAAGAAGGGATGAGAGCAACGAGCGGTCCAATATCTATGCCTTGGCCGTTCCGACCCAGTGGTCATGCAAGCTCCAAGCGCCAGCACCAAAACTGATAAGTCCAGTCAGGCTCTCGGGAATACCGATGCCCTTCTCCAGACACCAGTGAAGACACAAGGGCGCCCAAATAGCGTTGTTAACCAAGCTCTTGCGCCAAGCACGGATCTCCAAGCGCAGTGCCTCACTATCCTCCGCTTTGGTCTCCTTGGTCTCAATGGTACCGGCAGCCTCACGCTGCGCAGCGACCCGCCGTCTCCGCAGTACACTCTCGCGCCAGAGCACGAAGAACTGGAAGAAGATATGTCCAAACCACCCCCGAGTACTCCAGATATCCCACTTAGCGATGCCACCATATTTATCCACGAAGCGCTTTGAGACAACCCCCTTGCCGGCGAGGTAGGCCACATTCTCGAGGAGCTGGTAGAACACGTTCGAAATGACCTGGAGCACGGTCAGGGCGTGGAGGATTGGGTCTGCGGGCGGGGATCGCAGCGTGTCTGCGCCCCAAATCCATAGCGGAAGAAGGCCGAAGAGCCGGAGGTTGTATCTCGTCTCCGAGGCGAGTGTGCAGAGGGCCGCGAACTTCGATTTCGAGGATGCGGGGGTGAGGTTCTTCGGAGGCGTGCGGCCTTTTAATCGGGCGAGGAGGCTTAGCCGGGTTTGGAATGCGATCCAGGGGGCGGATGCTGTGAGATGGTGTAGCATGGAGGCCACATAGTTGATTGTCGCGAGGACTCTCTCTTGTCCGTCCGCATTCGAAAGTAGTCTGATGCGGTTAGCAGTGTTCTGAGTGGTTGCGCGGTCGTTGTCGTTCGGATAATCAACTGCTCCAATCCATAGGCCGTGTCCGCAAGCCAGGGGACTCCTTACTTGTCTAATCGGCGGATAATCACATCCGTTGATGTCAAGACACCCAGCAGTTGTCGCTTCGCGCATGAGGTCCGCGCCGATGGAGCTTTCCCCACATGGTGCTCGGCCGGCTCAGTTTTCTCGGGGATAGGGGGAATATGTTCGGGTTCGGCCATGTTGAGGATGAGAAAGACCAGCTTGTCTCAGAAAGTACAGAACGCAGAAGATAAATTATCTCGGAGTAGTTGGGCGGGTTCCGACATCCGTCGACAGACCTCGGTACTTTCCGACCCGCCCGACGCGTGAAGGGTGGCCTTGCCCTTTTGGGCTCAGCTTTGTGTCATAGAGTTGAGTAGAAAATATAATTGAACTGAAGGAGAATCTCTGCCCGATAGCGTTTAAAAATCTACTTACTTTTATAGGTTACTGTTGGGAGATTTGACACATAAATAACGCGGTTCTATACTTCGGCTGCACATTCCTTTCACATGGTAGTCGGGTTGGATCTAGTAAGGGTAGCGGCTATCAACATTTGCTATTAACGTGATATTATCGCTTGCACTCAAGACGTATAAAGCTATAGAACTCCTAACATCCTTCGGCAATTCAAATTCCCTTAGCTTTCAGACCGGATTGTGATTTCCGACCGACTTCTAACTTTTCAGTGTGAAGGAGTTGACAATCACATAAATAATCCATAGGTGTTTAACTATCCGTAGATTGCATATCAATATAATGTGCAAAATATGGCTTAGTGAAGCAGATTGTTGGATGTTAGCATCGAGATATTTGCGCACCTTTTTGGAAGGCCTGGGCGTATATACAGTCTAGCTTTCTTAGAAAGCACCCGTCTTTACATCTTTGAAATAATCTTTCTTCTATATTGCATATATCACTATCATATATTAATGCCTACCAAGTGCTGTATACTTTTATACACAATGGACCTTGCATGTGGGAAGGCAGTATGCAGCCTTCGAATAAGCCCTGACCTTTCTATCATAGACTACTCAGAAAAGCCGAGCATCTGACCAAGTATTCTTCCATTTCCAAAGGAACTCATATACAAAAATAGAGGCTATTATAGAGCAGTCCTTCTACTTCCGTTTGTAAGGTGAAAACCTCCGGGGCTGTGTAAAATAAGCACAGCGAATCTACGAAGAGCGAGATATAAGATTTGTTGGAACGAACAGAGTAAAGTGCTGACAGTCAGATGAACACATCCAAAGCATGAGGATAACTGTGTATGTCTATAAAGTAGGGCTCGCTAGGTCACGGCGCACTCATAAGATGAACTCCACCAACTCCACAAGAAGATGGAGTTAGGAGATTTAATCAATGGGTTGCGAAGTGGATAGTCCCGTTGATTTCGATTGCATTGAAACGGCGGTTTCCGCTTTATGTGCGATCCAACTCATGCACACATCTCGTATATTAATTCTGACCTGCCACACTTTTTGATCATCGCTCATTGGACTGCCACTATCACACTATGGTATAGCATCAAATCGTCCGCACGACCTGACAACTATAACCCGCAAACTATATCGGAACTGTCGGAACTGTTAAGTTAAGGTTGACTAGAGAAGCTGAGTTATGCTTCCTCAGCACAGGGATAGCTTCTTTACAGACTTTGCCTTGATCACCCTGGTCACAGAGTAGATTGCTTGTAGATAACTTGAACTGCAATTTGATATTAACCAGTAATTATACACAACCCGGGTGAGATCAAGCTCCAAGGCCACTTCATACAAAAGCCGGGGAATTGGGCTAGCGTGTCGGAGAAGTCCGACCCGACGAGCTCCAATGGAGGTGGCCGGGTACTGAAGACTGCACATATACTTATTCTTCCCCGAGAATTAGACATAGGAATTGTGAGACTTCACATACGTGTATAGAGAGTGTAAGTGCTTCAATGGTGCCTCGGTTGTCGCCCTCGGCTTCTCATCTCCCCAACAGCCGGGGAGATTAGGTTGGTGGCTGGGCTCCAAAACAAACAACTCCCTCCCCGTCTCTTCCACTTTCCCATCTCATCTCCACTTTGGCTGAAGTTGTGATCATTCACAATTCCAATTCCAATTCCAAATCGATCTCCTTTATTGACTCTCCCTAGGCGCGCGTTTGACCCGATCTGACCAAACCCAGCCCCTCCCCGATCGCACATCATGTCCGTCAAGTTCCAGGAGGAGACTATCCGCGCCGTCACGGGCGGCAAGTCCGAGGACCTCGCGCACCGTGTCGGTGAGCGATTGACCGGTGGAAAGGGAACAACTGGGTATCTCCAGGTATGCAGCAGCACCAATGAACCACCCAATAGCCTCCACCGCCACTGACCCCGAGGAATGGATCGACACAGGCCTACCTGCTCCAGCTCCAGAAGAACCCGCTGCGCACGAAGATGCTCACCTCCGGTGTGCTCTCGGGTCTGCAGGAATTGCTGGCCTCATGGATCGCCCACGATGTCGGCAAGCACGGCCACTATTTCAGCTCGCGCATCCCCAAGATGTCGCTGTACGGCATGTTCATCAGCGCGCCGCTCGGCCACGTCCTCATCGGCATTCTTCAGAAGATCTTCGCCGGCCGCACAAGTCTGAAGGCTAAGATCCTTCAGATCCTCGTCAGCAACCTGATTGTACGTATTGAGAGTACCCGACCAGATCCTGAGGAAGAGATCCCGCTAACGCCGTTCCTCTTTCGCAGATCTCCCCTATCCAGAATGGAGTCTACCTGACCTCCATGGCTGTCATTGCTGGTGCGCGCACCATTCACCAGGTCCGCGCTACCGTCCGTGCTGGTTTCATGCCCGTCATGAAGGTCAGCTGGGTCACTTCGCCCCTGGCTCTCGCCTTTGCTCAGAAGTTCCTCCCCGAGCACACATGGGTGCCATTCTTCAACATTGTCGGATTCTTCATTGGAACCTATGTCAACACCCACACCAAGAAGAAGCGCCTGGAAGCTCTCCGGAAGGTATGTTGAGATCATGTGGAATTGCCGTATGGCCGCTAACAACACTCCCAGCGCTACGACCAGCGCCGCGATCCCCGTGATCCTAGCTACGAAAAGCGCGACTACCCTTAAATGGGACCCCGTTGCAACCGATTGTGAACCAGTCGGGAGAAGAGGCAGCTGAACCCTGCTGAGCTGTTCCCTGCTTGTTTGCAGTTACCTTTTGATCTTTCCTTTGTGCTTAATTCTCTCCGGTGTTGATCTCAATCCATGTATACACCCCCGTGCATCTTGGCATGCCACAGATATCTTCCCCCTGATGTTATTATTCAATCTCATGACGAATGGCTTTCTTGTTTCATTTTAACCCCATATATACGCTGTTTTCCTCTCAGTTTGGGCCTGCGCTCTACTCTCTCTTTCCTTTGTAACTTAGGATAGACTACTGAAAGAAAGTATGCTTTTAATATAATCGGGCAACAAGGCCACTATTGCATTCATATCAGCAGAACAGTAAATGATATCCCTGTCATCCTATGCAGAGATAGATGCACAAGCCGAGCAAATGCAATGAAAGAAGAAATAGGTAAGCCAGACGTGACAAGAAAAGCGGTCCTACATCATCAACATGCCCAACCCATCTCCATCATCCACCCATTAACCACCCGAGCCCAGCCAAACACCCCACTCTTAATGCTCTCACTCAACATCCATCTCACTCCCCTTCCTCTTCTCCTTAACCCAATCCACAAAATCATCCAAAGCCCCCGGCCAAGCCCCATCAGGACTCCACCACCCAAACTCCTCATCCTCCCGACTCTTCCGCATAAAAACCTCAACCTGCTCCCACAAATCCTTATTAACAGGCTTCTTACCACGCCCCTCAAGGAACTCAATCCACCAATCCAGCCACGGCGTCGACGCCGTATTCCACTGTACGCCGCCGTGCTCCGGCGTGAAGAATAGCCGCCATTGCTCGGCTGCGATTTCGAATTGCAGGTTGCGTTGCCCTTGCATTCGTGAGAGCGGGAATGAGTATCTGTATACCCGTCTGAAGAGGTCTGGGTCTTGTTGGATCTTTGTGCGGAGGGCATTGGCGTGGGCGGTCATTTTTGGGAGGGTGTCGCAGCTGTTTGGGTGTTAGAATTGTATTTGTATTTGGATTGCGTTGATGGTTGATTGGATTGCTTGGTTGGTGGACTTTGACTTACAATGATTTCAGCCAGCCGTCCATGAAACCCTTGCGCGTGATCTCGCCCATTGAGGGACATTGTAGTAATTCCGCGATGGCGAGACAGTTTACTTCATCTAATTGGACGTTGATGGCGCCTAGGTATTCCATGGCGCGCTCGATGCCGATGAGATCCGGGTTTTCGGCTGGGTCATCTGGTATACTGTCAGTTTTTGTGCTTTCTTGTGTATGATTCGGGGGAAGATAGATACCTCGGTAGCTGTCAAAGATCTTGGTGAGGGAGTTGTTGTCGCCTAGTGAACTAGCTACTGAGCCATTGGAGAAGTATCTAGATGAAGGTGATTCAGTGTTAGTTTTGGAGACTGTTTGAACATTGTTCATGTATATGTTCGGCTAGGGGGGTCATTGCTCATGTCGTCATTGGGTCTGAGGCAGCTGGAGCAGGTGTTCCACAGATGCCCGAGGATTTGGCATATTCCACAATAGTGCGACATTGACAGTGATAGCCTTGCGGGACAGTATTCAAACAGGTCTTGAGCACAGCAGATAGGTAGCCTGGCAGCTTTGATATCGGCTGGCGTGTTGGACCTAATCATGTCCCGCCAGGGGAGATGCATGGATGGGATCTCAGGCTTCACAAAGAAAAGACCAAGAACTTACGAATCAAGCGCAGATGGCAAATTCCACCCGCTTGCTTTCAGGTACTGTAGAACCAGGTTAGTCCTCTGATGCACGTGATCGAGCAAAAAAGACGAAGGCAGAGAGGCCTGGAGCCGGAGATGTGACAACAATAATGTCATGAACATACCTTGGCTGCAACAGAGTCTTTGGCTTCTGTGCAATTGACGAACTCAGCGATCAGGTGCTTTTGATTGGAGCTGTAGGGTGGCATGGTGGGGTTGGCAATATTGAGCCTACTGCGTGGGCTTTCGAGATAGGGAGAAGATTGAGCGACGGTGAAATGGGCGGAGGTGGTGGGTATATATCGGCGATGCCTGTTCCCAGCTGTTGGCGAGAAAACAAGATCTTTTGCTGGGGAGAATAGACCAGCGCTATGGAGTCTGCCCGCTTCCCTTTGGATCTGATGGCATTGTGCTGACTCAGCAGACTCGAGACCCCGAGGTCTGACCCTCGGGAGATTCTATAGATCTCTGCACCTGGCTAGTGATTGAGCTGTTTCATCCTTATTTGATCTTCTGTTTCTCTTTGCCTAATTCCTCCTCTGGTCAGGAATGTGCTAGATCATGTGATAGAAGTTGTCTACCCCACCTTCTCCAACATGTTTCTGCTTTCTTCTCTCCGATCAACTTTGGCTTGGAAGCTCCTTATTGGCTTTGCTTTGCTCGTATCATTGTATTTCTTCGTTCTAGCATCTAAGTTGTTCGAAGTGCCTAGCATGTCGATCACCCATATTGTCCTCTTCCAATTCAAATCAGACGTCGCTGCAGATGTCGTTTATGGGGTATGTCTACAAGCATTATGATGCATCGAAGAAGCTTCAGAAGTACATTATTTTTCAATGCAATATTAACACCCATCCAAGGCCTGCCAGCGTATGCTTGCCCTCAGAGACAATTGTCTCCACCCGTCATCACAGAAGCCTTATATAAAAGCGTCGTTGGGCGGGAAGGATAACTCTCCCGAAGGGATACAGGTGAGTTAAATGGGCATCTACTAAGGAATAAGAACCTAGGAAGAGTTGAATAACTGTTATGATGCAGAATGGCATTACACACGCCTTCGTCGTCGAGTTTGCAAATGCCGCAGACCGAGACTACTATGTCAAGCATGATCCTGTCCACCAAGATTTTATCAAAAGCCTTGACGGTATCATTGAGAAAGCGCAGGTTATTGATTTCACCGACAGAGCCTTTTGAGAATGTCAGTCACTATTTTGGGTGACGACATGCCTCCCAGCTTGGTATAAGGTGTCTACACTATGGCTGTTGATGATACTGGCCATGTATCAGTACATTCTAGTGCTAATAGACCGTACACTAGCCGTGGATGCCTATAGAATTAATTTTTCTTCGTGTCTTGCTAAATTAAAGAAATCATCTAGGCTTTTGCCAATATGATGCATGGATGGATGTTGATCCACGGGTTCCAACCTTCCTCCTACGCAATAATTTCTCATATCCCTGTCTCTCTTTTCTCACCTTTATTTTCTCCATTTTTCATCTCATCTACTGTGTACTATATGACCAGGAACCTCCAAAATGCGCCAAAGAGATATCACTCCTCCCCCTTCGCTTATATCAGGCCTTCCAGATGATTATATCACGACATCCTTCTCAAAACTGGAATACCTGTGTGAACTTGCAGAGGAAATCTCCGAGTCTCTCAACGAAAACAGAGGAGGTAACCAGTGGCTCCTTGTTTCCAGTCTTCCAGCACGCATGATCCGAAAGCTAGACGGCGAAGAACGTGACACTCTAGGCCCTTCATACCGCTTCCAGTGGGAAGGATCAACTGGTCTCATCAAAGTGATTCCTCCATCATATGGACACGGGGTTATCATAAGCCGATTGTTCAGAGCCATTCTTAGAAAATTCTACCGCATGGGCATCGACGACACTGAATACGATTGGCGCGGAAGAACAACCTTCACGCCTACCAAGAAGGGTAAACAGGCCGACGAGACCTTCTTTCCACAACATCGCTTACAAAGCTTGCAATATGGTCGCTGTGGCTGGCCCACGCTCGTTATCGAAAGAGGCGTATCAGAATCTCTCCGTCGGCTCCGAGAAGAAGCGAAATGGTGGTTTACCCATTCAAAGGGACAAGTGCGCATTGTCATAGTCATCGGAATCAGTGAGACAGAGAAAGCTGTCACATTTGAAAAATGGCAACTGGCCCCCCCAGATGCGCCCCTGCCTTTGACTCGCGAGTACCGCAATGCCTTAGCAAGCTCCCTTCCTCCCTCCCTCCAGCAACCAGCAGAGACACAGCAAGCATATTTGGCCCAGAAAATTTACGTTAGGCCTGGTACTGTTGTTGGAACCCCTATGGTCCTCCCGTTTGCTACGTTGATTGACCGGCCACCAGGACCTAGCGAAAACGATGTCATTCTCGATGATAAGGATGTTAAGTTAATCACCCGAGATATAATTGGGAACTGTTTGTGTTGTTGAGATTATTTGCGCGCGGCCTAATTCAGTTTCTGCTTCGCTGTTCATTGCTCTCTATCAATTTGCGTCACAGATTAATGTTTGCTACCTGTTTCGAAAAATATCCCACGCCAAAGCTCAGTGTACTAATTAGACTATTCGCGATCCATTACGTGTTCAGTGTATCAAAAAAGAAGTGATTGCCGTCGATTCATGACATTAGAACCAGTGAAACAGAGCGTTCGAGCATAGTAGGTACAGTGAACTTTTGTAAGATCAGGCAGATCAAAAGAAACTCCAAAACGCCCAATTCGAGGATATGAACATGCAAGATCCGGTATTGCGTAGTTGCTTAGGTCGTGAACAATGAGTCCTCCTGTTTGATATTAGCTGTTTATTCCTGGAGGTGGTCCATTTAAGGCGAGCTTGACTTACCTCACGGAGATATTCTCCCACGTCGGCTGTGAAGAAAGGAAAATGTTAGCAAATATAGAACTAGTCTCGAAGATGTGATAATTACCTTGTCTGAACACAACAATACCTGTTGGGTCCAGCTTTTTTGCCTCAGCGGAAGACCGCGCAGTGACACCGAAACCAAGACAGTTGTCGCTATCATCGAACACTAGCACACCGGCGTGCTCTGGCAGATCCTCGGACCATCTGTGCACATGGGCCTTGAGGACGTTTCCTCCGTACAGATAGGGCATCTGGGATTGTTGTTAGTATACCGAATGATCACAGGGTAGGATCAAACTTACGACACCGTTGGACTTGATCCAAACCTTATAACGGGCGTGGGGCGAGATCACATCCAGGCAAGTGAGGGCCAGACGGAACTTGCCAGTCTTGGTGACTATTTAATGGTCAGTATTGAGGACCAAAAAGCAGATCCGGGGCAATTCCGATTCTGCCTGTGTTCTGTGTTGCGGACTAACATTTTCCAATCATTGTTCCCATAGACAGCAGATTTTCACGAGGGATCGAGACCGAAAGATTTGCGAGCTTCAGGGGCATGTAGAAAACACGGCTTCCCTGGAGACGGAAGACATGTTGTTCGCCGGTAGGTCCCTCTTCGGTGGGGGGTGCGATGAGGTTGTTCAGCGATCGCCCTGTAAGATACGATCATTAGCTTTTGGCCTGCTAGATATGGTCCACAGCATGGCCGAGCAATTGAGTGCGCTCAATCGCAGCAATCTCAGATAAGCTGTAACAAAAGGATTTTCTTACCCGTGTAGTGAGCAAGCTTGCTGAATAGCGTTCTCGTTTCTAAGTCTCGTCAGTATTGTCCCCAGGGATCGGAATTGAAAACAGCGCATACCTTCTTCAGTCAGTTGACGCATCTTGTCGGACTTTTAATTCCCAGGAAGTTCAACAAGAGAAGAAACAAGACTTATCGGGCTACGATAGGTGCCGTCCAAAGGCGGTAACGGAACGACTTTTTCATTGCGCCAAGCCAAGACTTTACTGCCGCATGCCTGGGAATTTTTCTTCAAGGCTCCACGATTTTCACCGTCAACCTCCCCACAATTTCAAAATGGCTCGCCCCGAAGTGAAGCGGAGACGTCTGAGTCCTCCCGACGATGTCGAGGATCAATCCTCGCGCTCCAAGGCCGACGACGAGTGGGATGTCGAGCAAGACTACGAACGCCGCCCGCGCAAGACTACCAAGAAAGCCGGCGAACGCACCCGATTGCCGATCAAGACCTCTGAAGGCTTTGTCCAGGCCGAAAACGAGCCTGAGGACCAAGGCGACGAAACCGACAGCTTTTTGGGCACCGATGACGACGAGGACGAGGAGGGTTCCGGCGATGAGGACGAGGAGGAATCCGAGGAGGAAAAGCCCAAGATCCCCGTGAAGGTGCAGATCATGCAGGCCAAGGAGGACTTAGCAAAGATGGCGACATTGATCAATGAGGATCCCGAGGAGCACATCTCTCTCTTTAAGACCATGGCCGAGCTAGTGGCAAAGAAGGATTCACCTGTTACGGTTAAGAAGCTTGCCCTGGCTTCCCAGGCGGCTGTCTACAAGGATGTCATCCCCGGATACCGCATTCGTCCATTGACCGAGGAGGACACGTCCGGTAAGGTGTCAAAAGAGGTGCGCAGGCTCCGCGATTTCGAACAAGGGCTCGTCTCTGGATATCGTGCCTATGTCCAAAAGCTGGGTGCTCTCGCAAAGCCCTCCAAGGCGGATGGTCCTACCGATGCTGGCCTGAAGTCTGTTGCAATCAGCTGCGCATGCAGTATGCTCCTGGCCGTTCCTCATTTCAACTTCCGTGGGGAGCTGGTCAAGATTCTGGTCAACCGCCTTGCACGGAGACAGGTTGATGCCGACTATGTCAAGTGCCGTGATACCCTCGAAGAAATCTTCGCCAAGGATAACGATGGCACGGTCTCTCTTGAAGCGGTCCGCCTGCTTGCAAAGATGATGAAGGCCAGAGACTTCCACATTCACGAGTCTCTTCTAGACACATTCCTCCACCTTCGCCTGCTAGGCGAGCTCCACATGAAGGCTTCGCAAGACCGCGTGGACAAGGAGGAAGAAGAACCCGCCTTCGGAAAGAAGAAGCAGAAGCGCGAGTTCCGCACAAAGCGCGAACGTAAGGTGCAGAAGGAACTGAAGGAGGTTGAGAAGGATATGCGACAAGCAGATGCAGTGGTCTCAACCGAACAAAGAGACAAGAACCAGGCCGAAACACTCAAGCTCGTCTTCGGTCTCTACTTCCGTATCCTCAAACTCCGTCATCCCACCCTGATGGGCCCTGTGCTGGAAGGTCTGGCCAAATACGCCCACCTGATCAACCAAGATTTCTTCGGTGACCTACTGGAGGCATTGAAGGACCTAATCTCCCACGCCGAGCGTGAAGAAATGGGTGTAGAAGGCGACGAAAACGCAGTCCAACAGGAGGAAGAAGAAGACGGAGAGAGCAACATCTCAATCGCAGAAAACACCGCCCGCGACGCCCGCCGCCGAACCCTCCTCTGCACAGTGACAGCCTTCGCCCTGCTCCAAGGTCAAGACGCCAGCAAAGCAGCCTCAGCCCTCCACCTCGACCTAAGCTTCTTCGTCAAGCACCTCTACCGCTCCCTCTACTCCCTCTCCATGAACCCAGACGTCGAGTTCAACCCCGAAAAGGCCCTCCGCCTCCCAGACCCCAACTCCGCATCGGAAAACCAACTCGCGCAATCCCGCTCCAAGAACAAGGTCAACTTCCAGACGCCCATGGTCCTCCTCCTCCGCTGTCTCCAGCCAACGCTGTTGTCCCGCGCGCATGGAAACCCACCCCCGGTCCGTCTTGCCAGTTTCTCCAAGCGTCTTATGACGACTTCGCTTCAGTTGCCCGAGAAGTCGGCGCTTGCTACGCTAGCGCTTATGAATCAGGTGTCGAAACACCATGGTCGGCGTATCTCGTCGCTATGGCATACTGAGGAGCGGAAGGGTGATGGTGTTTTCAATGCCTTTGCTACGGATGTTGAGGCTACCAATGTTTATGCTGGATCTGTGTGGGAGGGTGAGTTGTTGCGTGTGCATTATTGTCCGCAGGTGCGTGAGGCGGCTATAGAGATTGAGAAGATGATGTCTTCTTCTAAGTGAATACTGTTTTCTGTGCATAATATTACATGTTACTTATACTCCGAAATTTATGGTGCAAGCTTTGAAGGTACTCAACCAAATTTATTCCACAAGTAGCCCCGTGATCCTCTCAAGTGTTTTCCGTGGGGTATTACGACAATATTCCGAGGGCTTTCATGGATACAGATGCAATGACAGTTGTATCACAGACCAATGAGTACAATGGAAGAAAGCCAAGTAAAGGCGGAAGATCTCCGGATTTATGATCATGAATATACGAAATACGAGTTCCGGCTTTACACTACAGCGGTAGTTAAAAAGCACCAGATTGATAGAAGCTTGATTGCATCCTAGACAGTTCACTAACCCATGTAATGGTATCGTCAGCAATCAAGGCGAGGGAAATGACCGAGAACAGATTGTTGCTCGAAAGGGTATCATTCAGGTCATATTCCTCATCTCACATCTACACATCATGCTCAGATCCAACAGATGAAGTGAGCAAACCAGCTCTCCCTTCCCTCTGATCTGTCTGTTTCTCTCTTTCCTTTCTCTCTTCTCTTCTTACTCCCGCACACTCTTTCACTCTTTCTCTTTTCAGCGCAAACTATTAGAGGTCGAGGTTTCAGAGTCATCCCAGCAACTTCGGGACGATACAAAATGGTGGCACGCGAGCCATCTTCTTGCGGCACATAGAGGTTAATGGCGTGGGGAGAGTGATCTTTAGGCTTGAGAGAAGAGGCGAAATTGACCACAAAAAGGAGGCGCACAGAGGCAGGAGTGACAGCAATCGTTCTGTGATGACAACGATAGAATGAGATGAAGTGCGAGTGTGCGTTAGCCGGCCATGAATGTCTTGTCAACACGTGCGTGTTTCTATCACACGTCTCTATTCATTTCCTAATGGCGAAGGAGCGAAGGGGGTCGATGGGAACTGACAAGGCGTTCCATGGTGATTGTGCACCATTGAGCATCGGGAGAATATCTATTCTATCTCCGTTGACTAGTTCACTGATCATAGAATACGCTCATTGCTATATAGTATTGAGCACGTATTGCAGAAGACGTTTTTAAGAAAAATCATTGTTCATTAAGTTCATAGGTGTCATTAGATACACACTGGATAAAGAAAGCAAGACGGCACCTCATCTTCGAAGATCTATCAAGGGCCCTTGACATGCCAACCAAACCCAACATGAAAGACGACAAAAGGAAATCATTAACCATAAGAAAACACAAAAAATCAGATCAAAGAGGCAAAGGAAAATCGTTAACAGGTAAAGAAGCGCAGATAATACAGGGGAATAATGCGGTGGAACATTTTTTTGGTGAGGGGGTTGGCTTATAATCCACGCGGTGTTCCGTATGCGAGTATACTTCGGTTAGGGCCACGCCAGCACGTGACACCCCCTTCATAGAGTGTTTTTGAGCCAAAAGTAGGCAAGAATGGGGACTGCAATGATTGCCAACCAAAACAAAGGCCTGGTGAATCAATTGTCAGTATTGCGAATAGACCTTCACATGTCCTGTCTATCCCATTCTTTCCAAAAGTCGAACCAAGGAAATGAATTTAACAACGGGGACACAGGGAGATGATATGATCATTCTAGTTGGAGGACTTTCCACGACGGAAAGGAGAGAAAATGGCCCCAAAGAAGCCCACAAAGACAGAGCGCAGGATGGCCTTGAGCCAGCTGTCAGGTGCATTATTCAGAGAAACAGCAGACACTGACCGGTTCTGGCTCGCTGGGCGAGCATCATCAACGTTGTTCTTGGGTGCAAGGGCATCGGAAGGCTTGGAGGAAGACTCGGTGGGCTCCTGGGTAGACTCAGCAGTGGGCTGGGCGGTCTTGTCAGCGGAAGCCGCGGTCAGCTGGTCAGTGGAGGGCTGGTTGAGCTTGTTGAGCAGGGCATCGCGGTCACCAGCGAGAGCTGCAAGAATGGGATCAGTTTCGAACGACATGACAGAGGGTTGCTGCGAAAGATAGAACGGTGTTGGCTTACCGTCTTGGGGTTGGGCGTTGGCGGCGGCAACCTCGGGCTGGTTGTCAGTCTCGAAGGTTGGCCCCTTGCTTGCCTCAGAGGTCTGAGTATCCTTCTGGTCCTTTGCGGGGGACTCCTCATGGGAAAGAGCAGCCACACCAACTGCGGCGACACCTGCAGCAGCGGTGGCAGCAGCAGCACCGCCAAGGATCTCGGAAGTAAGAGCGTCATCCTTGGCATCTTCCTGTTGGGCCTCCTCAACGGGAGTCTCAGCGGGAGCTGCAGCCTCGGGCTCAGCCTCCTTCACGTCAACAGGCTCAGGGACAGTCTCGGTGGCAGCTGGGGCGGGGGTAGCAGTTTCCTCGGGGATGGACTCCTCAACATTGGTAGGCTCAGGAACAGTCTCGGTGGCAGCTGGGCCGGGGGCAGCAGTTTCCTCGAGCTTGGTCTCCTCCTTGACAGGTTCAGCCTCAGCTGGGACCTCCGCCTCTGTCTTGCCAGCCTCCTCGGGGGTAGACTCCTCAACATTGGTAGGCTCAGGAACAGTCTCGGTGGCAGCTGGGCCGGGGGCAGCAGCTTCCTCGAGCTGAGTCTCCTCCTGGGCAGCTTCTGGCTCTTGGGCGGGCTCAAGAGCGGCGGCCTCCTTCACCTCTTCGACCGTCTCGACGGCGGGAGCTTCAGTTGCAGGTTCCTCGACAGCTGGAACAGTCTCGGGAACCACCTCCTCGACAACAGCTTCAGCGACGGGCTCAGCGACGGGCTCAGCGACGGGCTCAGCGACGGGCTCAGCGACGGGCTCAGCAGCGGGCTCAGCAGTGGGCTCAGCAGTGGGCTCAGCGACGGGCTCAGCGACGGGCTCAGCGACGGGCTCAGCAGCGGGCTCAGCAGCGGGCTCAGCAGCGGGCTCAGCAGTGGGCTCAGCAGCGGTCTCAGCGGTGGCCTCAGCGACAGTCTCGGCCACAGTCTCAGAGATAGTCTTAGCGACAGGCTCAGGAACGGTAGCAACGTCAGCAATCTCCTTATCAGCAACAGGCTCAGAAGCCTCCTCGGAGGCAGCAGCCGCACCAACAGCAGCAATGCCAGCAGCGACAGCAGCAGCGCCAACAGCCACCTCTTCCTCGGCAGTAGAAGGCTCGGCGTCCTTGGAGACGGTTTCTTCAACAGGGGCAGGAACATCCTCAACTTCCTTCTCCTCGACCTTCTCCTCGACCTTCTCCTCAGGAATGTCAGCGGGAGCAGGGGTCTCAGCAGCGACTTCAATGGGAGTCTCCTCAACGACGGGAACCTCAGCAACAGGCCCGGGGACCGCAGTCTCAGCAATTGGCTCCTCGACGGCCTTCTCGGCAACGGGCTCTTCGACGGTAGGCTCAGTCACTTCCTCGGTCTTGGCGACTTCCTTAGGCTCCTCAACGGCGACTTCCTCGGTGTTCTCCTCCACGACCTCAGCAGCGGGAACCTGAGTCTCCTCGGTGGCAGGAACGACAGCCTCGACGACGTTGGCCTCAACAGGGGTGGCCTCGGGGGCTGTCTCCTTGGGAGCTTCAGAGATAGGCTCTTCGACAGCTGGGACCTCTTCGATGGTCTTCTCAGCGGTCTCTTGGACAGGCTCGGCCTCAGTAGTTTCCTCGACCTTCTCTTCGGCGACAGCAGCGGGAGCAGCCTCCTCGGTGGTCTCAGTGGCGACTTCGAGAGTGGCTTCGGTGGCAGGGGTTTCGACAGCAGGAGTCTCAACGGTCTCCTCATTGGCGGGAGCAGTAGCAGGCTCCTCGACAGCGGGCTTCACCTCAGTAGATTCCTCAGCAACATGCTCAGCCTGCTCGGCAACGGGCTCGGCAGCCTCAACCTCCTTGACTGGCTCAGCAACCGACTCCTCAGTGGCGGGCTGCTCAACGGGAGCTTCCTCAGTCACATCCTTGGTGACAGTCTCGGTGGGCTCAGGAACGACCTCCTTAGTAGCAGGCTCCTCAGCAATGGCCTCAGCAGACTCGACAGCAGGTTCCTGAACAGACTCTTCGACCACGGTCTCCTTGACAGGCTCAGCAACCTCCTCGGCGACAGTCTCAGCGACTTCGGGAACGACCTCGGCGGCCGTGGGCTCTTCGGTCGATTCAGTAGCAGGCTGGGTCTCCTCAGTGGCAGGTTCGGTGATGGCCTCCTCCTCAGCGGTGATGTCAGTAACATCGACAGCCTTGGTCTCCTCGACAGGCTTCTCCTCGGCGATAAGCTCCTCAGTGGTTTCGGGAGCGGCCTCGGTAGCCTTGGTCTCCTCGGGAACGGCCTCGACGGCGGGCTTCTCTTCAATAACGGGCTCCTCGGTGGGCTCTGCAACGGCCTCGACCTTTGGTTCTTCGGCCAATTCGGCGACAGGCTCAGCGACGAGAGCGGCAGCCTCTCCAGTAGCCTTAGTCTCCTCCACGGGGACCTCAGCAGTAGGCTCAGCAACTTCCTCGGTCACAGGCTCGGCAGGGGCATGAGTCTCTTCAATAGCCTTCGATCCCTCCACGGGGGCCTCGGGGGCAGCCTTCTCCTCGGTGACGGGCTCGGGAACCTCCTCGACCGCCTTCGATTCTTCGGCGGCCGATTCAGTAGCGGGCGTCTCCTCGGCTACAGGCTCAGCAGCGGGAGCGGCAACCTCTTCGGTGGCCTTGGCCTCCTCCACGGGGGCTTCAGTAGACTCGGGAACCTCAGCAACCTTCGACTCTTCGGCAGGCTTAGACTCCTCAACTGGAGCTTCAGCGGTAGGTTCCTCAGTCACTGGGGCGGTGGCCTCCGCGACCTTCTCCACAGGCTTAGATTCTTCAACAGCTGACTCGATAGCCACCTCGGGCGTGCTCTCCTCTGCGGCGGGCGTCTCAGGTTGGGGCTCGGCCTCTTTCGGAGCTTCGACAGGTGCGGACTCTTTGGCTGCGGCCTCTGCAGATTGAGCCTCGGGGATGGTCTCCTCGGCCTTCTCGGCGGGAGTCTCTTCTGTGGTCTTTTCGGCTTCGGCGACGACTGGTGCAGCCTCCTTGGGCTTGGCCTCTTCGGCAACAGCTTCGATGGGCTTCTCCTCGGTGGCAGCAGGGGCCTCAATGGTGTCGATAGTCTCTTCCTTTGCAGGAACGTCGGCGGTCTCAGTCTCGGGAGCTGCCTCCTTCTCTGAGGTCACAGCAGGAGCTGCCTCTTCAGTGACGGGTGCCGTGGACTCCGTGACCTCCTCCTTTTCGTCGGACTTAACCTCAGCTTCGGCGTCGGTGTTGGTCTCGACTTTCTCAGCCTTTTCGGCTGAAGGCTCAGGCTCGGTGTGTGCTTCCTTGTCGGCAGTCTCGGCCTCAACCAATGTCGCAGTAGAATCGGCAATCTTGTCCTGAGCTTCAGAAACCAGAGGCTCTTCAAGGGGAGCTTTCGTGACATCTGTTGACTCGGTCACTTCGGGTGCGATGATGGTAGCAGATTTTTCATTTGTGACAATTGAATCGGGAATGGAGTCCACGGCAGGCTCTTTGGGCAGGACATCGCTGTCGGCACGGAAAAGGAGCTGCTGAACGGTCGCCATGGTACTTTTGGGTCGTCAAAATCGTAAGTCGTAAAAAATGGTCAAGGTGGGTATCAGGGTTTTTTCACAATTTGACCAGCAAAGGATTAATTATCGCTGTACAGAAAACACAAGCTCACGGAGCAGAGTAGGATATCAGAGATGAATGCGGGAGAGAGATCAGAGGGCAGAAAAAAAAAAACCTCAGACCCAACGACCCAAGACTCATGAGCATCTGATCTCTGAGTGGGGGGTTGTCACAGTGACCATTTCCCTTCTGTACACACACTATTCTCGTCCCCACTGACTGGCGCCCAATGGATAGCACAACTTTTGGGCTTTCATCTCCACCCAATATGCGGTGAAGCTACCGAGGTACTTTCTTGCTACCAAAGCGCATCCTGTGCTACGAGAAGAACGAGAAGAGATGTGCGACATGAATGTACAGGTACACAGGTCGTGTACTGTACTCCTTACGACAGTCGCACACCAGGTGAACGTTCAATAGCTCCAGAGAAAGAAATTTCGGGATGCGCTAACGTGGTGACCCATTATTGATAGACATGCACCAATAACATCATATTGCCTGCAAGGTGTTCTTATCCACCTGTCATCTTGCCTGAGTCATTGCAGATCCATGCATATCCAACTGCATGTGAGTGGAAGAAAAAAGTAAAAGGGTCAATATATGCATGCAAACCTCCAACAAAGAAATACTCGGTGTCCCACTCGGCTCAATGTTCGGGTCAGGGCCATGGCATGACACACGCGGAACTCCACGGATCAAATTCGGCGTCGGCTTTTTTGGTTATTTTAATTAGGTATTTCGGCCCACTTCCAACGTCATTTATTTACTATCAGCTCGAGCTCTATACGAAGTCTATCGTTTTCACAAAGTTTTATTGCCTGAAAAAGCTTGGACGGTTGGGTACCGATTGCGTGCCTGACATTGAGGATTTCTTGCAGCCACACGCGCATTGACTTGTTTCTTTGTTTCTTGAGACTACCTTCCACAATTGGACCTTAAGTGCGTCATTCGAGCTTGGACATAGCTTTGTTGACCCCTGTTCTGTTCTGCAGCGGTGCGATGCATGGTCGGTCGGGGGAGTCGGCTTCCCGAGACTATGCAGAAGGGGTTCTGGGATATCTTGGGGTTTCATAAGGATTGACCCCACACATCATGTATCGGCTTTCTCAGATGCTTCGAGTTTATCGGTTGACTTGAGGGAGCCGGTTGTTGCTGCCGAGAACTGGTACTGGAGATGGTAGATCCTCGGGTCGGTAGTTGACGGTGACACATCTAACGTTAGTTCTAGTTTTAGGTCAATAATAAACTTGCTGTAGCAGGTCTCCTATCATTATTGGCGACTTGTCATTGTCGTCCTTGTGTCTAAGCCTGTATGAGAAGAGTGAGAGACTACGTTCGCATATAACTTAAGGCTTAGACAAAACGTTGTGATGTGCTATCTGCAAAATTTAAACATACATAACGCTACTCTAATATCGGGTAAAAAGGGGAATTAACACGAAGAAATAGTTATCTTGCGGCGCAAATCTGGGAGTCGATTCTAAAGCACATTCCTAAATAGATACAGATATGACTCCCTATGCAGGCAAGTAATATACTGCATCTCTGATAACACGATATCAAGCTACCAATGCACCGACTCAAGCGTCAAACTTATACTTCTCTTCCCGCTCCTAAACAAAAGTCAGCATATATCCCAGAAAAACCAAGAACGAAAACATACCCAATACTTATTAAACCCAACACCCTCACAAACCTGATCATAAGTAAGGATCATCGGCGGAGCTCCAACAAGCATACTCTGCTTAAGACCATCCAAAGCAGACCGCACACTCTTGAGATGAGCCGCAACCAATGTCCAAGGGTATGCAACAGCACTATACCCAAGTCCAGCAAGATCCTTAGCAGAAATGTTCTCCGTCTTTCCACCTTCAATGATATTACCGAAAATGGGAATATCAATTTCCTCCGCGCATCGCTTCATCGCATCCCGATCTGGTAGTGCCTCGACGAAAATAGCATCAACGCCAATACGCTTGAACTCTCGTGCACGCGCCATGGCTTCTTCCCAGCCATGCATCAAGGCATCAGTACGGGCAAGGATCAAAATATCCTTTCCTTCATTGCGGGCATCGCAGGCAGCTTGGATTCGAGCGAATGCTTCGCCGCGAGAAACGACGTTCTTCCCCTTTGTGTGACCACAGCCTATTCAAATACCCGCTGTTAGCAAAGAATCATCCCTCGAAAAGATAAACTCAACCAAGTATCCAAGATACTCACGTTTCGGCCACTGCTGATCCTCAATCATAACACCCGCCGCATCAGCATTCGCAAAGCTCTCAACAGTCCTCTTAACATTCATCGGACTCCCGTACCCGGTATCGCCATCCGCCATAACGGGCAACGAAACCTGGCGGACGACATCGCGGATCTTATCGCACATTTCGGCCATGGCGATGTATCCCGTATCAGGAAGACCATAGGAGCTGGCAACGGCATAGCCTGCGAGGAATACCATGGGGAAGCCTGCTTCTTCGACGAGACGGGAGGAAAGGCCGTCGTAGGTGCAGGCGTGTGCGAGAATCTTGGTTGGGTCGTTGTGGGCCTCCAGCATCATTGTTCTCAGGCGGGATGCTTGGATGGAGGGGATCTTTCCTCGGACATTTTTCAATGTTAGAGTTATGTCTGCTGTCTTTCCGTCTGTGGATCCGGTTGTTGTCTCTGCGAGAGAGTCGAAGTGGAAGGGGTAGGGGACGGTGCTGGAAGACATTGTGAAGGTTTGTTCTTGGGTTGATAGAGAATTGGAGTGAAGATTGGGATTGGATTGAGGCCTTTGACGGCTTTTAAATTGTTTAGATGCGATATCGGAAGCTTTCGTCTGCGAGTTGGTCGCTTTACATCAGAGCGGGAATTTGACGGATATTGGCAACTATCCGCTATCCGAATAATGATCTGCCAAGCCCTTCCCCCCAGCAAAGATGCATTCAGATTGGCTGGCAGATAACCTGGGGGAAAGTCAATAGTTTCTCCAGATTTACTCGGCCGTGTATGCTGAACAGCCGTCATTTTGCGGGGAAGCTAGTACATGCAGCAGTCTTGCCTTTATCCGCTCTCTTCCCCACGGGGTATGGAAGTCTATCTTTGTACCGAAGTGTAACTTACGCTTTTTCATTGGACCGGCTCGATATGATGTGTTCATCAAGTGCCGGCCGCGCATTGACCAGCAAGGGATGGACATATTTCAACCTGGGGTTGCCCCCTGCCATGGTTGCTCTTGATATTAGCAATCATTTCAGCTTTTTATCTTCTTCAATATATTGTATACAGTTAGAGATGACAGAAAAGAATCAACCCGAGCAGTGCTCAAGCTCTCAACATGTGGAGTCTCCTGATCCAGAGAAACACCAGCCCGAGGTGGTGATCTCTCAAGAGCGCCAGTCGGCCATTCGCAGAAAGGTTCGTCAGTCCTTCATTACTATATATCTGACATGTACTTACTATTAACCAGTTTGACCGCCGTGTCTTGCCAATCGTATGCATTCTATACATTCTATCATACTTGGATCGAGGTAAGCATTCCTACACTCACCCATCTAACCCACTATCTCATCAATAACAGGAAACATCGGCAATGCAAAGGCTGCCGGACTTGACAAAGATCTTAATCTCAGTAGCCACCAATGGTCTTGGGTCCTGTATGCCTTCTATATATCCTACATCCTGTTCGAGTGGACTACGGTCCTATGGAAGATCCTTCCAGCACATTCCTACATTGCCGTCCTCTGCATTTGGTAAGTTTCCACTTCCAATCATACTTTTGTTTCAATTGCTAAGCATCGCCTGTTTAGCTGGGGTGCAGCTGCAATGTGTAGTGGTGCAGTCAACACTTTCGCTCAGCTCCTCGCAACTCGGTCGTTATTGGGTGTCTTCGAGGCTGTCTTTGGCTGTGGTGCACCATACTTCCTCTCTTTGTTCTACCAAAGACAAGAACTAGGACTCCGGGTATCACTACTTCTTGGCATGTCCCCAGTTGCCAACTGTTTCGCTTCTGCTCTTGCCTATGGCATTACCCATATCAAGGGATCTATCGAGCCATGGCGCTACCTATTTATCATTGGTGAGATACAATCTCCCATCTACTCCCATCTGTTCTCAACACTAACTGAAATCAGAGGGCGCACCAACAGTCCTGTTCTCAGTGGTAGTATTCTTCTTTCTTCCCGACTCACCAGGCACAGCATCCTTCCTAAACGAAAGAGAACAAACAGAAGCACTAGAACGCCTCCAAGCATTCGACACAACAGCAAAAAACAAAGTCCGCTGGTCCCAAGTCTTAAGCGGACTATCAGACTACAAAAACTACATCCACATGTCCATCCACTTCTGCTGCAACTACTCCTTTGCAGGCCTCTCAAATTTCCTGCCCACAATCATCCAGCACATGGGTTATACATCCATCAACGCCCAAGGCCTAGCAGCACCACCCTACCTCGCCTCCTTCCTTTGCTGCGTAGCTGCCGCCTTCCTCTCAGATAGATGGGGAAACCGAGGAATCCTAATATCATTCTTCGCATCGATTGCTACAATCGGGTATCTCCTCCTCACGTGCGTGCAGGACGAAACAAAGACAACAGCAAGGTATGCGGGTATTTGGTTAGCGACTTGCGGGATCTTCCCTGCTCTTGCGCTGAATGTGACTTGGATGTTGAATAACCAGGGTGGGGAGAGTAAGAAGGGCGCTGGGATGGCTCTTCTTGCTGTTTTTGGACAGTGTTCCAGTTTGATTAGTAGTTCTGTGTTTCCGAATTCTGATGCGCCGCTTTATACGATGGGGTGTGCGATTGGGTCTGCTTTTACTGGGTTGATTGCTATCTTGGCTATGGGGTTGACTCTTAAGTTGACTTTGGAAAATCGGAGACGGGATCGGGTTTATGGGGTTGTCGGTGTGGATGAGAGGGTTGATGTTACTGAAGGAGGGGATAATCATACTAAGTTTAGGTATTTGACTTGAGGGAGTTTTGACAGGTTTATCTATGTGTGAGCTAGCTACTGCTGTATTATTTGTTGACTGTCATATGCCATCGAAATTGAAATCAAATGGGCCTCACAGGGTTTAATTTGATTGTCATAATATACTACACGTTCATGGAGGTAATTGCCACAAGAAATCCAAATCCAAATCGACACCATCCAACCGAACCCCAAAATCACCTTCCGCAGACCCAAACGGCGCCATAGAAGGATCCAAAGGTAAAGATAGCCAGTCATTCATAGTAACATCAGAGAAACCCCTCAGATCCATAGCCGACATATTTCCATACGAATCAGGAGAAAGCAGATCATTCCCGATCCCGGAGTACGAAGAGACCAAGCTCTCTCGCAGGCGCGTGACCTGCACTTGCAAAAGAGCCGCATAGCGGGATTTCAAATGCACATCGTCCTGATTGCTATCCTGCAGTGTGGCGATGGTCCGGTCGAGGATCTGGAGTGCTTCCTGCAGTTTTGAATTGCGTACTCCTAAAGCCAGGGCTTTCATTAGGAATATTGACGCACTTATTGTTCGGAAGAGTATTCTCATTGGTGAAAAGTGTAAGGATCCACCCAAGAGAGTTATCTTGTCGAGGGTTTGGCAGCAGCCGTCTATTACTTCTTCGATGAAGCCGTATTCTCTTGCTGTCATATTTAATTGTCTTGCGCGTTCGATGAAAGAGAAATCGATGACTGAATCCCTTCGTGATCGTGGCTGGGTTTGGTTGTGGAGGACTCGTTGGACGATCCTTTGCATTCCGATGGAGTTCGTGAGGATGCGTAGATGTTGATATTCGATGAATAGAGTATCAGTGAAGGGAAAGCTCGAGTCTATCTAGAGTCAGTGATAAGATTTAAATCTGGCGGCTTTATCTCATACCTGGGATATTGAGATATCTTTGTTGCCAACTCGCCAACAGAACTTGTTTCCGCTCCAACACAGGGATGAATGTATCTGATGATCCAGTCAAACTGGAAACATTCATGAGTGGGAAGAGAGTATCCGTGACCGAGCTGGTCAATTTCATAAGTTCAATCCAGGCATTCATAAACAATAACCAGTCTCTATCAATGGACTGCAAAGATGTTCGCGTTTCCGGCATAGAGATCCCGACATCAGATGGCATTGGCGAGGTACAACCTATCCGTGAAGATAAAGCATTGATGAACGTGAATAGCAGGCTCGGCAACCTTTGTCGCCGCACCTCGAGGTATTCAAGATATCGTTCAGCATCAAGACCAACCAGATCATCTTGCCTGGCGAGTCGAGCAGTCGAGTCGAACACACCGAGCTCATGGGCAAGAGCCAAGGCTGAGTTGAGGACCATCCAAGACATACGTTCAAACCGCTTCGTGGGTTCAACGACATCTTCCCGCCATCTGGAAGATACTGGGATATCCTCATTTAAAGAAGGCGGATCTCTGATGTCCGGGTTTGTCATGAGGAAATCTGAATCCCATCCATCCGTCTCCGGTGGAAACTGTAATGCTCGTGGATGCCATTCAGACATGAGCAGTAATGCTTCAACGGTTCCTATAGTGCGTGTTTTTGCTTTCGAGATTTTCTCCTGTCCGAGAGTAATCCGAAGAAGCAAGTGTTGGCAATGTTGCCATAGGCGATGATGAATGAAGAATGAGCGAGAATATCCGCCCACTCCAGGAAGAGTGTGGTATCGAGAGGAGATCATGAGTATAGTGTAGCAGAGCATTGGTTCCTGGGTTACTAGATAGTATTGATTTTTATGCGAGGCAAAAAAGTCTGTGAGGACAGGCGATAACGGTGCCATATTTTCGAAGAACCTGGACACGTCAATATGACACTCCAAGCCACCGATAAGAGATATAACGTACAGGTCCATAAAGGTCATAGCCTCCTGGGCAGAGAACCATCCCATTTTCACAAATCGACATGCATTCCAAACGCGGAGGACATCGGCATCGGTCAGCTCGGGGGCAATCGATCGTGAATTATCTGTCGTGGACATATTATGAGATGGATTGTTCGATTCCTGAAGTGCGGCCTCGAACAAAATATTCATTGCATCGTTGTTATTCGAAACCACTGTCTGCAGTACTGATGTGGAAAGACCATCTTGGTTGGGAGGCGTATCCAAATGAGAATCTGCAAGGTGAGTCTTGATTAGCTGTTACTCCTTCCACAATTTGCATAAAATACTTGCCGTTGATTTCGTTGATTTCTTCTTCAGTTCTTCGGGTGGTTCTTCTTGATCTATAGAGGTTAACCCCTTTCATCCCTCAGAATCAAGGCAAACAGACTTATTAGACCTATCTCTTTCTGTGTTTTCCCGGGTCGGGGTATCAGGGGAATCCTTTTGGTCTCTTGACCAGGGTTTCTTCGAAGTAAAGGTGCAATTGATGTTCTTCTTGATGCATCTGCGACATCTCACATTGTCGCCAGCCTCGCATTTTACTTTGCGTCGCGCACATGGAATGCAAGCCTTGTATGTCCGCTGATACTCATATTCAAGAGATCTCCTCTCTCTTCTCTTTGCGCGGTCCATGAGTGCTATCCCGAGGCAGCGATGCAAATCTCGAGGAGCGGAGAAGGCGGGAATTTGAGAGAATACCCGCGTTCGGGTATTTCAATCTCGTACCCCTCATTAAGAAGAGAGAGACTCCTTGGCTGCATATCCCCACATCCGAATTCAATTCATTTTCCAGATATAGTACGGATTACTGAGCCAATTCTAAATCCCTCTATAATCATGTCTGTGGCCATATAAGGGATGGACGATGCTGTCGATCTTCATACAGACTTCATCGACATTAGATTGATAGGCATCCAATAACCATGCAATGAGGTCGGGTAGTTTATATATATACAACAAAAGAGCCACAACTAGCTCAGATCTCGAAGCAGATTATCCAACGTCCCTCGGGCCTTCTTGATATCAGGTGCTTCGTCTTCCCAGTAAGTCAAGGCCTCGAGTGTCCGGCTCAAGTGACTTCGAAGGCCACCAGGATGAATATTGGGAAGGCTGACATTCCCGCTTCTTGCCAATGCGATAAATATCAGCGAAGCAGTCACCAAAGCCCGAAGATCGAACCATATACCATGATGTCGATGGCGAAGGCATCGCGCTTGGAGGATTTTGTTGCTGCAGTCTAGTCCGGATTCCACGAGACCTTGAACTATACCAAATTCATCATTGGTAAGCGGGGATGTAGGATTATCCGTAGCTGTGGGCGCGGTGCTCATAGGGTGGTGCACTACAAAGAATAGGAATGGCTGGTAAAGCCATAGACGTATCTCAAGGAACCGATTGCTGAGCGCCCAGCTTAGTTCCCTGGATATTGAATCTTGGATATCTGTCGTATATCTCTGCCCAGTATTGCTTAGGGTCGGGTCACTTTCATAGGATTGCATTGCTGGCGGCAGATTCGCGAACCACGCATTGATCTGAGACTCGAACTCGAGCGCTATCGGAATCAATGGCTTAATGTTTGACCACGTTGAAGGTGCTTCTCTGTAAAAGGCATTCAGGACTCGATTGCCAATCCGTCTCAACGCCACCTCCGTAAGGTAGTAGTACCAGCTTTGCTCCTCATTGAATAGCTTTGAGACATGATTATATACCCCCCGCTCAGGCAGGCCAGATGGATCATCATGCGGTGATTGATTTGTGTTCTCAGAATTAGCCCAATCGGATGTCTGATCTCTGCGCCTCGGATATTCCTCTGATAGAGTTGGAGGTGTGGGGAAGAGGGCTGGATACTCGTATTCGGCTATGGCGGATTGCGGCAGCGGGAGCTCTACGCGAATCTCGACTTCCGACTTGAAGCATGACCAGTATAGACTTTGCTCGAGGCGCTGAGTAACAGACGCTCCCGGTTGCTCTGCTTCGTATACTGATTTGTCAAGTCCGTCAATCAGTCGCAGGCGTAATCGGTAAAATGTAGAGGCTTGGTAGAAATGGTTCCAAGCGGACAATGGGCGGAACGTGTACATCAGATATACTGAACAGAAGAGAACAAAAGTTAGGAATGGACACTATCGAAATCTTTCTTTCGACATACCTCCAGCAAAAAAATGGCACTGGGCTCCGATCACCGAGTACCGCAAGAGACCGATTCTCCTACAAGCCATCATAAAGAAAGCCTCGCCTTCTCGCAATTGTGTGCCAGAGCTGGAATTGAATCCCGGCGCTCGCCATCCCATCCCGTCATGAAGAGACCTCGCAGTTTGAGGAAATTGGATGGAAGTGGTGAATGGTTGCGAGATACAACCCAACGCACAAGCCAAGAGTACAAGGCAAGACTGAGCATCCCACTGAAGGCCGAACTCAGCCGCATGTCTCCCGGACCGAATAAGCGATTTTAAATCCAAGATCGGGTTCTTGGTGTGAACATTCTGAATAAAGCGATCCACCAGTGTTGGAATCTGCTCGTCTGGTGTATATTGAAGTCCATCTGGGAGGGTCCATGACTCAGTGGGTCTATCCTCAGATGCCCCATGCGAATAATGAAAAAGTGTCGTGATGAGAGAGCTCTCTCGGAATTGACCTCGGAAGATGGGCCAGGTTAGCACCGTGTCAGCGCTACATCGACCTGCAGGAATCCGCAAGTAGTCTCTTTGCCACTCTGCTGCTCTGATAGGGACACTTCCCCGGCGGTCCTGGATCTCTACCTCTGGAGGCCGACTAGTCTGTGGAGAGTCTATTGTGGGTCAGTATCTTGTATTCTGCAGCGCATGGGCTTCACCTACCTCTAGAGCTGAGCATGTTCTGCATGTTATCAACTGCTTGTGATAATGTGTCCAGTCTTTCTAAAACTTGTTTCATTTCTCTGTCGCCATTGCTTAGTATGATTTCGAATGGTGAGTCCTATTTCAAGGTTGGGAACATACTGCTTGCAACCATCATCCCCACGAGTGACATATACACACTCGGTTTCATTGGCACAACAAAACCCGCAGGCAGGCTGAGCATTGTCACAGCGGACCTTTCGCCGGCGACATGCTTGACAAGCTGGCTTTCGGCGAACCGACCCTCTTTTGACTCTCTTGGGTGGCGGGTGGTCTCCTTCCTGGCCATCTGATCCTGATGAGTGCGGTTCAAGCTCCGGATTCATCCTTTTTGTAGTGGTGATGTAGAAAGCAAATCAAGTGTCAAAGAAGATATGCGTCTGTTCTACCCCGGGTAAACGGTAGTTCCCCAGAAATCCCGAGGACCCACCAATCACAAGTAGTGAAAAATCTGGAAGTAACACGTGATTTCCCCATTTAAGACCCTTATTCTCGGTTGTTTTACTGTGTTGAGTCATTTGAGAGTATTTTACATTATATCTGTGCCTGTAGCTATTGAGGAACTCGTGTTGGGCATTGTGGTCACAAATGGGGTGAACTACAAACAGTCCATACACTCTCTTGCGAACGACGCTGAATATATCTACAAAAGCACAATTCAAATATAAAAGAATAGAATAACTAAAGTCATATAAGAAATCTCCAAAAAGCACAAGCCTAGGAATCGCAGGTCGCGTTGTCCACAATGGCTCGATACTCGCGTTGCCTCACACACTGATCCAAGAAGACCTGATATTTAGCCCGAAGTAGAGCCTTTTCATGCTTGTCCTCAGTAGGATAAAACGCCTTACCGGGCTGGCTCATTTCATCAATCACATCCCACAAATCGACTGTCTTGCCATCGGCAACCATGGTGGCTGCTTTGACACCCAGCATTGCAGCACCATGACAAACAGCCGCATGGATGTATCTTGGAACCACGACAGGCATGTTACAAGCTGAGGCAATCAGATTGACCAAAATATCATTCTGGCATTGTGATCCCGACATGAAAATGTGACTGATATGGTGGCCCGAGTCATTCATCGTGTCGACGATCTGTTTTGTTTGCAATGCGATGAACTCCAAAGTGCCATAATAATGGATGACGAGGCTATCGATAGAGATATCACTTGATAGGCCGACCAAAGATCCTCTCATTTTCGAGTCTGCTAGTGGTGACCGGTTTCCGAACAAGTCTCCGTAGAAGAAGAAGTGCCGTGCTAGATCGGCCACACAATGCACGCCTTTGTCGACTGCTAGCTGGTTGAGACGGGTATTGAGAAACTCGAATATGTTTACCCCGGTACTCTTAGCACTGGCCAGTGCCTGCTTAGATGCCGGGTGCGTATCAAGAACATGCTTGAGCAACTGACCAGTGGCAGACTGGCCTCCTTCAGCCATCCAACAATCCGGGAAGATCGTGTCTCTGTACGGGCCCCAGACACCAGGGACAAAGACAGGCTCTGGCGACATAGCGATATGGCACGACGATGTCCCAGCGACCACAGCCAAACGGGAGAATGCTTCAACCCTCCCACTCAACGCCGAGTCCGGGTTTACGTTTCGTGTTGGTTGCTGTTTCATTTCAACTTTAGCACCAACTGTGCCAATCCATCCAGCGTATGCGTCGATAACACCGCTTCCGATCGCAATACCCGGGAGAAGACCCAGTTCACTAGCAGCTTTCTCGCATAGGGTGCCGGCAAGGTCACCTGCATTCAAATGCCGACCAGTCTGGTAATGATGTATCAGTTTGTCTGCACAAACATCGAGAAACTCAACTCTGAGTACTGCGAATAAGCATACTCACCTCACCGTTAACACCTCCAATACGATCAAACCCATTATCAGCAAGCTCGCCTAGCCCAATCTCCTGCAGAAAGTCCTCCTGCCAGCCCTTCTCACTTCCTTCAACGCCCTTAGGTAGATATCCCTGTTTGCAAACCATACTAGAGAAGCCACGTGCCTCTCCACCCGTCGCGATATGCGTGAGGGCATCGACAAGGTCATAGAATTTCGATTTCGCAAAGGTCTCCTCAGGCATATGGTTTTTCAACCAGAGTATCTTGGGAATCTCCATCTCAAGAGACATCTTTCCGCCGACGTAGCGCAGAACTTTGTGACCAGTTGCATTGATGGTATCCGTCTCCTTCGATGCACGGTGGTCCAGCCAGAGGATGACATTCCGTTCAGTGTTGAAGTCGGGAGCAGTGATAGAGATGGGGTCGTCGGTTTCGGTTGAGAAAAGGCATAGTGAGCATGTTGCGTCGAATCCGATACCGTGGACTTGCGACGCTGGTGTCTGGTGTTCGTCGAGGGCTCGGCGGACTACGAGACAGATGCATCGCCAGATATCCGAGGTTGATTGCTCCTATATTTACTTCATGTGTTAGCGCCAAATTCGGAAGCGAAGGGAGAAGAATGTTCCTGTTTTTGGAGTTGGCGCATACATAATAGTCCTGCTCTGGCTGCCAAAGACCGATATTTTCGGAGGCAACGCTGACAATCTCGCCAGTATGGTCAATCACACAGGCTCGCGCGCTGCCCGTTCCCACATCAATTCCAATGTAGTAGCCGGTCTTGACTCGCATCGTGACAAAGCGGTCCTGGGGTTAGTTGGGTAGTACAGAAAAAATTGACAACAAGACTAAGGGGGTATGGACAGTACCTGGAACCTTCTCGAGCTATATATGGGACCAGCTTATGCCCTAAATGGGGTAATTTCACCGAAAAACATAAATGAAAATCGCAAATCAGCCTGTAAGCAAAGCACTGTGAAGGATGGGTGAACTATGTATACTCTGCGGGCGTTTCGCCGGTTCCCCCGGGGATCCACAGGTGGACGGCTTGCGGGTGGATCTAGAACGAATGCAAGCATACTCAAGGGTTTTCTTTGTTAGGAAAGACGCAAATTGGATTTGTGTTGCATTGTAGGCGAAATGAATCAAATATAGAGGTGCACTAGGGGTATAATCTGAAGTTTCTCCCTGAATAGGGCTACTGTATTCTGTGATCACAGTTCAAATTTGCGAAGACTTTTATTTGTGGCAATAATCACAATCCAATACTATAGTCCTGTAATAACCAGTGGTTTATCCAATATTCTTTTCTATCGCAAATGTACACATCACTCTTCAACACCTGCGATGAGGGTTTTGATGCCAGCCCCGGCCTTCACTTTTTCGAAAGCCCGCTCGGCATCCTCAAACTTGAATATATCAGTGATCAAATCGTGAACATTGACCTTCTGAGAGGCAATGAGTTCAATCGCAAGCTTGTAGTCACCGCTGGAGTACCGGAAACTCCCCTTAACGTTCAACTCCTTCGTACACGCAGCCGTAATAGGGAAGTTGACCTCGTCGCGCCCCATACCACCCTGGACGTACGTACCACCAGCGCGAAGAACATGAATACCAGTATTGATCGAGGCCTCCGCTCCAGAAGCATCAATCACGATATCAGCACCATTACCAAGACCGCTTTCGAAAACCAAACGCGCGGCATTTTCCACTGCTGAAACGGTACCCGGTAGGAAAGTCGACGTTGCGCCATACTGTTTCGCAAATTCCAGCCTCTTGGGCTGAATATCTACAGCAACGACCTTCCCCGCCCCGAACGCCTTAGCTGCAGCACAACACAACAGTCCAACGGGCCCCGCACCGAAAACGACAGTCGATGCACCTGGGGCCACCTCTGCCCGTCGCACAAGATGCACTGCAACACTGAGCGGCTCCACAAGTGCGCCTTGCTCCAGAGTCATGCCTTCTGGCAGCTTATAGCAGAGATCTTCTGGGAGACGATAGTATTTCGCCAGGGTGCCATCGTACGGTGGGGTGGCCGCGAATGCCATGTCAGGGCACAGATTGTATGTTCCGACTTTGCATGCATCGCAGCGACGGCATGGCTCGCCGGGCTCCATTGTGACGCGATCGCCGACTTTTAGGGTTGTGACTTTGTTACCGATTTTTTCGACGATTCCTGAGGATTCGTGGCCTAGGACCATTGGTTGCTCGACTTTGAAGGGGCCGATCTGGCCGGCGTGCCAGTAATGTACCTACAAAAATACATTCTCAGCTTAGATATTGCTAGATTGAATCGATAATTTTGGACTGTCACTCACATCGCTTCCACAGATCCCGGTGAACTTCACCCTCACCAGGACATCATGGGGGTCCTGTAGCAGGGGAGTAGGCCGGTTCTCAAATTTCAGAGTTTGAACTTTTTCAAGAACAAATGACAAGTTCTGCTCTTTGTTGTTAGATGAAGCTTATAGATCAAGACTGTGAGCACGGACCTCCGTAGAATGCATCTTGCTTTCTGTCAAATTGATATCACTCGAACTGAATGGCATATACAAACTTCTTTCAACAATTTTTCGGAAACCCGTACTTAAATAGTTTTCAGATCTATAGTCACCGACACAAAATCACCCTCATCGTGGTCTAACGGAGGTTACGGCGTCTTAGCCGTTCACGTCTCCACCAGGCGGCTCATCCCTTAACGGCGAGTATTGGCAACTCCACACCCCGGTCCGTTTTATGGCTATTTACCTCCGTGCGCCGAGCGCGGGGCATTCGGCGAGCTGCAAAAGGCTGTCGGCCCGAATATCTCTTGAGCATGTCTCGGAGAAGGGGATCCGAGGCATTACGTCGACAAGAACTGAGCCATTTTTGATCTAGAAAGAAGCCTCACATTCTCCACTGGAAAGTAGCTAGTATCTAACAACGCACTATGTAACCTCCTTAATCAACAGGAGTGTCCCTCGTGGAAACCTTCTTGGTCCACTGCCAATCGTCAAACCCTTTTTCCCGAATTCTCTTGCTGGCAGTATACACATTCCAAGAATCGGCATTGTCGAAGAAAACATCCATTTGCTCTAGACTCCGACCAGCTGTCTCGGGATAAAGTAGGATAAGGAACGGAATGACAAATACATTCAGTCCGGCAAGGAGTAGAAGCGTACCATATCCAATGGCCTGGAAGAGGAAAGGAGTGATCATTGTCACGACGCCATTTCCGATCGACCATCCTACAACGGACCACGCACCTCCCTTGGCACGGACAGTCAATGGGAAGATCTAGATTATTATCAGTATGATATACATTTGTGAAAGGATGAAGAAATTTACCTCTGTTGGATAGAGCCAAGGTGTTGTCAGCCAAGTAGCACCAAATGTAGCCGTATAGAAAAAGGTCATGGCCGCGACGCCGGCTCCATATTTCCTCTGGTTTGGTCCGGCCTCTTGCGCATACATATCCAGGATACCAGCCACAAGAAGGGCAAGACACATGACGACAGCGCCCCAGAGCATTGTTTCTGCGAGATTCAGCTATCGCTTTTGAAGAAAAGGTGTTTGGAGGTACTCACGTCTGCGACCATACCGATCTAAAGTGATAACTGCGAAGAAGACAGAAAACATATAGCTGATATTGTTAAAGCCAGCTAGGAGCTTGGACAAGTTCTCGTTGAAACCCGCTGTGGAAAATAAGTCGACGGCGTAAACAGTGACCACACCGATGCCGACAAGCTCTTGCATGATCTGCAACCACACGGCGAGGAATACTCGCCATCGCAGCTTGCGTGTATATTCGTCTTTTGGGAAAATCATTGCAAGATATTGGTTTGCTGATGATACTTTCAGCTCGTACTGCACTGTCTCGATGATCTGCCGTGCCTCGGGTTCGATGTCCCCGGGTCGTGTGGCTTGCAGGATATCCCGTGCTTCTTCATATCGACCCATCTTCATCAACCAGCGAGGGGACTCGGGGAAGAAGTTAATTCCAATTCCGATGAAGAAGATGAAGACTAATTGAAGGGCGAGGGGTGTACGCCAAGCCATGGACTGGTTGGGATTCAACGATGCGAAGTATTCGATCCAGTAGGCCATCGCCAGGCCTCCAATATTCTAAGCCGGGAGAGTCAGTCTGGTTCTTTGGCAAGTTGTTATCCGAAGGAAACATACCATCACAAATTCAAGGGCCAAAAATGCTCCTCGAGCCGAGTGACTACTGACTTCTGCTGACCAGACCGGAATTACACAATCAATGGCCCCAACACCAATGCCAGCTAGGCAGAGTCAGTTTATCGCCGTAGTTTCATATGCAACGAGAGACTCACCAAGAACACGGCCAAAGCACATCCACGTAATATTATAAGCCGAAGTTTGAAGCGCAGCGCCCAAAACAACCCACAAACAACCAAAGACAATGGCCTTCACACGTCCACATCGGTCTGCCAATGCACCAGCCATGAGCGCACCGATCATCGTGCCGCCATAGTATACAGCAACTATACCACCCTCCGCTGCTGTGTTTCTAGAACTTCCTAGGGACACAATGAGAAACTATTTCGAATGTCAACATCATTGGAAACATACCTTCAAGGGGATAGATTCCCATAAGCTTCTGATAATCATGATTCAGATTGACCATGGACATAACACCTTGATCATACCCGTAGAAGCAAATCGCAATACCTTAATATTGAGTTAGTGAAGAGTTGAAATAGCAGGTGTTCACGAGTCACATACCGGCAAAGAAGTTGATGGCCTTGTACATCGCCGATGGATTCTTGAATCTTACCATCCTGGACTGGCTATATCCACCAGGAATCCAGTGCTCAAATCGCCATGGCTCGGGGTGATTTATGTGCGAGTATTCGGCGTCCAGGAGGACATCTTTACAAATGTCACCCTTTTCGGACTTATCCGGCAAGGTCGTTTGAGGTTCATTTGAGATCTCCTCGACATGATCTGATAATACCTCTGCCATATTTGATACTATGTTGGTGTCGCAATGGGGGCAATTTTGTGTTAATAGCAAAATGCAAAAAAAGTATAGCGGTCCCCGATGACCCGTGCCTGATTTAAAAAATGTGGCTTTCGGGTAAAACCTGCCTGTCTCCATGTTTTCCCCAGTTCCACTTTGGTCCACAATGACCGGAGGTGAAGTGTATAGACGCGCGGAAATTTCGCCGTTTTCCCCGTTCTCCTCAACCCCAGCGTGGCCTCGACCCACCTTATCAAACCCGCCGCGGGTTAGCACGCGTCGTTAGGTCAGTCCTCCCCTCTAGCTCGGGCAAATGCTGTTCAGCCATTTTTCCTTGGGGTTGATGATATCATGCTTTATAGTGGATCATTTCATTACATTCGTCGATTGTGTTTGTTATACTTCAAGCATAAGTCTCCTCCTATCCTGTTCTGGCTAACAAACTGAGAAGCAATTCGTCATCTGTCCATTTATCAAGAGCCTTGCTCTTCCATATCTCCCACTCTTCGTCTTCAAAGTTGAAAGCCCGTCAAAGTCTTGCAAACAAAGGTAGAAGTGTTTCCATATCTAGAAAGGAGCTCTCAACCCCAAGAGCAAAGAAGAATCTCTGAATCTTTCTGCCTTTAACCACATAGTCTGCGAGATCATCACGACCTCTCTCACGGAAAATAGCAGCCTCGGCCTTGGAGACTGTTTGGGTCCATTCCCAATCTATAATTCCCACGACGTTGAAAGAGTCATCGACCAGAATATGGTCGCCTTTGTCATCTGGGTGCTTGAGGAAGAATTGATCGCCTGGTGACACGTCTGCTAAGAGAGAGCCGATAATGTCCTGGCGAAATCGGTGGACAAGGTAGGTCTCCACCGGGTAGCAGGGGTCAATCTCACCGCTGGCTATCATTGCGAGGTAAGCCTCCAGTATATCTTGTAACCATTCTAGCACAGAAGAGAATGGGCCGAGCCGACCCTTGCCCGCTCGGAAGGTCGATTGATATGTAAGGCCTTGAATGTCTATCGTATCTCCTACCAAGATAGGGGATCCTATCGCTTTAAAGGGATGCCTTTCAATCTCGAGAAAAATGTCAACCAATTGCTGCATGACCTTATCTTTTTGCTGGAGGGTCGCCGCTTGCCAATCTATGGATTTTCCATCCAGCTTTTCCATCAGGATATAGCCAACTCCCAGTGGATTCTCTGGATCGGATTCGCACGCCCAATCGTAAATCTTAGGCGATGGTATACGAGTATACCGCTGGAGATAGGTCATAGCGGCAGCTTCGCTTCGAAGAATCCAATCACGGACTCCCGGGGCGGCGATGAAGTCCTAGTGAGACGGAAGCGTGCGAGCCATTTGACACCATCTCGAACACTAGCTCAGCGTGGCAGTTCTGGTTGCCCATCATAGTAGACAGCCCCTTCTGGGATAGATCTACAGTGCATGGGATACCATTTCTGAGCATCGATGCACGGGCACATAGTTCTGAGCTGTCTATTCGACGGCGTAGCTCGTCTATGTGGCGAGCTTCTGTGGTTGCGTATTGAGCAGAGTAGGATTCCCAGTCTTCCTTGAACGCTTGTAAGCAATGCTACTCTGACTGGTCCATTAGCCTAAATGTCACAAACCTCTGGTTTTGGGCATTTGTGCCATTGCTCTTGGCGATGCGTGCGACACAGGTGTTTGTCGCACAGCAAGCAGTCTCCTGTTCTCTGGGCGGCTGGTTTCTCACAACTCTCCCATTCGCAGGTCCAATGATGCATGATGTATGTGGTCTGATATACTTACCGTGAGTCCGATGTGGAAAAGAAAGAATGATGATGGCTGTGCTGAAGGTATGTTTTGTTCGATGTCTGGCGGGGAAGAACGGTGAGTCCGAGCGTTTGACATGCACGTTGTATACCCCAGCCTCCATTTTCAGGACGAGACAATATTCAAGATATTACTATTTACTATTAACCGCGGGCCATATTGCTTAATTACAAGTCCTTCGGCGTGTTTGTGATATTATAAGAGGCCCATCTCGTCATCTGCAGATACACATTAGTCCCTAGATACTGGCAGGGGTAATATAGCAAACAACGGAGGTCTAAGTATTTGAAGAGTACATAAATTTTAAATATGATTGACTCTAAGACGTGCAATTCGAAAGTCGAAACTTGAAATGATTAGTGGCACCAGGCACAAGGTACAAGGTACCAGAACTTGATTTTACCTGGAACAACACTGGAAAAGGAGTCGATCCTATGCTCAAATGGTCTGAGACCAATAAAGTGATACAAATAAGTAGTCCGACTCCACTGTCGTACTGTAGTCTCCAGGCAGCAAAATTCAACTAGCTCAGCCCTATGGCCGTGTGGGGACATTCAGCCCTACAGTTGTACAGTTTGGCATGTTTTGCTGTTTCCCCCTTAATCTTTAGCTTCTAACTTTCTCTTAACTTCACAGTAGCCACTTTACCAATATAAGGCGCGGTTTCCCCGGTTGGTATCTACTCTTTCCGCCTAAAGAGGACTCGAACTATGACCCTCCTCGATCACGCCTGACGCGAGAATGACCATATGCCGCCCCTGCCAGCTCCATAATTGGTCAAAGCTAATAACTTGAGCAATTGGCACTAAGAATCACGACATCGGCAGTATTCACGGATTCAGCCCTACCCGTGTTTCGCATGGAGTCCATACACCTTTTATCCGTCTGCTGTCTCCTCATTTTCTTCCTCTTGCTTCAAATTCTCTTCTCTATCGCTTTATGGAGGGCTAGTCTGCACGAAGAAACATTCTACGAACACCCAAGACAGCTGCGCCGCCATGCCGGAACCTATCTCGACACGCGTCGGCCACGCTTTAGCCACAGTCTTGCGTATTGACTTGGGTCCAACAGAACCACCAATGGGAGATGACATCGGTCCTTTCAGCTATGTTGAGTATGAGCCTACTGCTGGGGACTGGATTCAATCTCATACACCGACCACCCCTCAAGTCCGTCGCTATTTGGTCAACATGTTTCCGTTTCTCCAGTGGATCATGTCTTACAATACGCAATGGTTGATTGGGGATCTCGTCGCAGGTAAGCTGACCTTATGAGAAGGGTCACACAGAGACTCACACCGGACTGTCACAGGCATCACTGTCGGCGCGGTGGTCATCCCCCAGAGTATGGCATATGCCGAACTAGCAAATCTGCCCCCAGAGTATGGTTTGTACTCTTCATTCATGGGGGTCTTGATTTATTGGTTCTTTGCGACCTCAAAGGATATTACCATTGGGGTAAGATTATTCCCCTGCTCTTCATTGTCTCTTTCGTGGCCCACGGTCTGACATTACCAGCCCGTGGCCGTGATGTCCACACTAGTCGGCTCGATCCTCATCAGAGTCCAAGCGGTTCACCCAGAAATCTCTGGCCCAACTATCGCTTGTTCTTTGGCAATTATCTGCGGTGCAATCGTGGCGTTCCTCGGATTTCTGCGTCTTGGCTTCATTGTCGATTTCATTCCACTCCCTGCCATCACGGCGTTTATGACGGGATCGGCCATCAATGTCTGCGCTGGCCAGGTCAAGACTGTTCTTGGGGAAAATGCACACTTTTCCACTCGTGGAGCAACGTTCAAGGTTATTGTTGATACCCTGAAACATCTTCCATCTACTCAGATGGACGCCGCAATGGGCCTGACAGCTTTGGCCATGCTCTATGCCATCCGGTCTGCTTGCAACTATGGATCAAGGAAGAAGCCTCACAAGGCCAAAGTCTTCTTCTTTCTATCCACCTTGCGCACTGCCTTTGTCGTTCTCTTCTACACCATGATCAGCGCTGCAGTTAATATCCACCGACGCGACCACCCTGCCTTTAAGTTACTGGGAAACGTCCCTCGGGGGTTCAAAGTTGCGGGTGTCCCTAAGATAGATATCCCAATCATCAAGGCATTCATGGGTGAGCTCCCTGCTGCCGTTATCGTCCTCTTGATTGAGCACATTGCTATTTCAAAATCATTCGGTCGTGTCAACAACTACACCATTGACCCTTCACAAGAATTCATTGCAATCGGCATCTCGAACCTGCTCGGGCCTTTCTTAGGAGCATACCCAGCTACAGGCTCATTCTCACGAACTGCTATCAAAGCCAAATGCGGCGTGCGCACTCCTCTTGCCGGCGTCATTACCGCTATCGTTGTCCTTCTTGCAATCTATGCCCTGCCAGCGTTGTTCTTCTACATTCCTAAGTCCTCCTTGTCGGCTGTCATTATCCATGCGGTAGGCGACCTCATCACACCACCAAGTGTCACTTACCAGTTCTGGCGTGTTTCTCCAATTGACACCCTCATTTTCTTAATGGGTGTTATCGTGATCATATTCTCAACCATCGAGACCGGGATCTATTGCACGATCTGTGTATCGCTAGCAGTCCTTCTCTTCCGAACTGCTAAAGCTCGAGGCCACTTCCTCGGCTACGTCCAAATTCATTCGGTCGTTGGCGATCATCTCCTTGATGGGACCCAGGGAAACATAAACGCTGACTTTGACGCTGACAACGGTCGACGAGTCTGGCTCCCGACCTCGCGTCATGATGGTACAAACCCATATGTCAAGGTCCACCAGCCTGCCCCTGGAATATTTGTATACAGAGTCTCAGATGGGTTCAACTACCCAAACGCAAATCACTATACCGACCATCTCGTCAAGCATATCTTCAAGATGACACGCCGCACAGACCCAGAAGCATGGGAGAAACCAGGAGACAGACCATGGAATGATCCAGGACCGACACGCGCCGAGCGAAGGCTGCTCAGGGCACAGGAACCCCCAACCACGCCCCTCCCAACTCTCCGAGCAGTTATCCTCGACTTCTCCGCCGTGAACAACGTGGACGTAACATCCTGTCAAACCCTCATTGATATCCGCAACCAACTCAACCGCTGGGCCTCTCCAAACCGAGTGCAATGGCATTTCGCCCATGTCAACAACAAGTGGACAAGGCGCGCTCTCGCGGCGGCAGGGTTTGGTATCTCCAGTTCAGCAAACGATGGGACCTACAAGACGAAGGCTATCTTCGACGTCGCAGAGATCGTGGGCGATGGCACTCTCCCCTTATCATCAGCCCAATCCCAAATCTTCGGTTCAAAGGAAGAGTGGACCAAGGACCCGGAGATCGGGATCAAGGTACAAGAGAACAGTGCCAATACATCGATCATAGGCGCTACAGATGATGATACCCATGTTATCCAAACAGGCACTGAAACCGTGCAGGCACCTCGCCGACGCGGAAAATCAAGTTCTAGCCCCGGTATAACCGTCGTCGATAGCATAACTCGGCCACACTTCCATATTGATTTGACCAGTGCTCTGCGGAGTGCCATGTCGACTTCATAGATTAGACGACCATTCCACTTCCTACTTTGTACTTGCTCTTCCTTTGCTAATCACTCCAAGACATGATTTTGGCATGGTTCTTGTCTGACCCCCGGGATCCTCTTAGTTAGTTCCGCTAGTTCAATCCAGTGTCCCCACTATAGCTTCTTCGGCTAGCTTCCTTTCTTCACTCACCGCTGTCCGGATCCCTCGGTAGTGAACTGGCGGTGTCAGATCTCTATTTTGTGAAGTCTGGTCTTTCATGTACTGTATTCGGCTTGTGGATGATGATCTCGGGTCTGATACTGTAACCTGAGCTGTAGGATCAAAAACCCTCGTTTATAGTTGTAATGTTTGGTATGAATACTATAGAAAATTTTGAAGAGGAGCTATAGATATACTATAGCCCTGGATTGTGTATGCATAATCTGATCACTGAAGAGTCGGAAGATGTTGCCCACTGGGGCAGGTGAGGTGAGGTCACTGGTTTTCGTGGGTCTCCGCCTCAGGCCAACAATCGCGAAACGCGAAAGCACTCTTCAGCTCAATCTGTGATGTTACAGTACCATCTCCATCTCTGTAATTCCATCAAGCAAATGTATGCCATCTCGCAAACCTCTTCGATGCAATGCTACAGTTCCGCTTACAGATAAGAGGCGGCAACGACGTCACACGCGACATCCGCTGCGCCCAGCTTGAAACATTAAGCTTGGGTATATAGCCGCAACGCTCTTCTCCTGGAGTCAAAGGTATACTGACAGAGATAAAAGATTCGTTGAAGCAATGTGGGCTAATCTAGTCCTTTGATTCCTAGGCACGGCAGTAACTACGATACTACAGTACCTGTCCACGCTCGAGACAGCACATCTACAACCACGCCCAATTCAATTCCTCTACGCGTCAATCCTGCCTCTTGTGCCCTTGTTTCCAAGCTTCGGGCACGCAGACTTTCTCTGCCGGGTGGGATACTCATTCCACGCACGTCCAGTTGACGACTTTACGGCCGTACCCATACCCATACCCGAGCTCTAGAATGAGTCTCACATTGGAGATAGGATATGTCGATGCCCAAGCAGGTATATCGACATGGTTATATGCTGCCATACACATCTGAGCTCATATGGACTTCGGCGTAAAAGACCAACTGGAAGCTCAGTTGTGGCGGCATAAAATCGTGAAAGATAAGCACTGATCGAGGCAGGGATGTTTCAACTGATTCTCGCGGCCTGCGCGGAACACCTCTCACAATGCACCATTGCACCGCCGAGTTTCAGACTGCACTTATCAAGGCACTGCTTGCAGTCGGTGCGCAGGTCGACGTCACCGGCGCCACGGTGATCGGGAGGCGCCGCGGGATGTCGCCGCGGGATATCGCCGTGCATATTAGGATAGGACCGTACCCTGCATTGAGATGGTCAAGAACCGTCCTGGAGCTTCTCTGCGTCGCCAGCCATGAATCATAAAGAATAGAGTGATCTCGATCACTTTGAGTACTGCAGACCGAATTGGGCGGATATACTCGTACCGCGGCAGTGATATCCGGAGCTCCATACGTCCGCCGTGGCAGTAGCCGGCGCGGATTTACGCGCAGGGGGCCCATCTGGGAATGCCGCTGTGGCCGAGAGAGCGTGACAATGGATCAGGGAGCATGGGCATACACAGTAACAACATGTCTCAATTGAGCACAGTGGATATCTACTGTAATAATAAGATCTCAAGATCTATGGATACAAGACTGCAATACTCTGATGCCATGATTACCGGTAGAGGGGAGGCTGGTATCATAATTATACGGACTATGCCAACTGGCCTTTCCGGGCATGACCTCACTTTGGCAGGTCAATGATGAGTTGATGAGTCGGGTTACAATACCGTATTTATTGTATTACCCGGTTACACCCGAGCCCAGAGCCCCCTGGCACCCTTGATGTTATACAGCCGTCCATTCGGTCCAGGTACTGTGCATTACCTATAGAGCTATCTGCCTACATATACACCTCCCTGTCAATTGCTCACTGACACCATGTTGCAGGCAGTGTCAAGCAAGGGCAACGCGCGTAACGGTGCACCCTGAAATCTAGCTTGTGTGGGTCTGCCAAGCTAGCTGCGATCAGCCGAAATACCACCAAATCGAAATTAACCCGAAAGAATGCAAAGAGCCTCTAGTTTGCCCGTTTAGGGGTTGATTTTGTTGTACTAAATTTTTGGCCGAGTGAAGGTCTGGCTATATAAGGTCTCCCCGGGCCCCATTGGCATAGGCCGGCTTGATGGTGCTAATTTCCTGAATTACCACGCAGTGTTTCACTCCTGTAACCCTTCGTTTCTGGGGACCCGAGGAAAGACCAGTTTTTTTTCCGTGATAGTCGGGTTCTGGCGGGTCGGGAATTCACACTAAGTGGACCGGCGAACGCGGACACAACAACCCGGTTTTTTTCCCTTGTTCACTAGTTCTTTTTTCTTCCCTGGATGCGTTCGCATTGATATCCCCTGCCCCCTGTCAGAATTGCAGATTGCATGGGTAGGTATGAGGCTGTTTGATAGCGCTCCTGGGCTTCAAAAAGAATTACGTTTTCCCAATTTGACCACTCGGTGAGGTGGATTCCGAGAAAGAAGGGATATCCACAGAGCCCACATTTCTCTCCTTTCAGCCGACCAAAGTGGTTGCCCAGTGACTCGAGTGGTGGACCTGGAATCCGAGTCGGGCCGAATTGGGCGACGCCGGGAAGCAATCCAGAAACATAGGGGACCGGTACACATTATGATTGGTTCGCAGAAGCTCAGAGGTGGGTTGATCCACAAGATTGGAACATGCTTAATATCCACCTCCGATCCACTGCAAGGGCGAAATTAATGTATTTTATTTTATTATTTTATTTCTTTTCTTTTATTCTGCGTATTCCCTCCCTTCCTTCCCTTGTAAGGGATACAGTATAGGGATACTGTACGTCTATACTGTATACAGTATAGAATACTATGAGCCATCACACTGTCCCTTCTGCAGGGGGATACTGTATCCCATTATGATCCATCCTCTGCTTTTGTCTTTGTGGACTCCGACTGAACCCGACTAACCCGACAATACACGTAAGAATGGTAAAACGAAACCAAAACATCCCCCCCAGCATTCCTCGCAGCATGATTTGCGAATGAAATACTCCGGAGTCCACGCACAGAGTAGGGCTTTTTCCCAACAGAGCGCACTAGGACAGAACAGGAGGCGGACGGGCGAAAATTTGGCCGTAGAGTATTTATGTCCTGGGGCGGCCTTCTCCCGTAGTTTCCCAGCTTTTTCCTCCCTGAAAAGTCCATCTCTCCTCTCTCTTTCTCCTTCTTTCTTCCATCCCCCTATAATCTATATCCATCACAATGGCCACCTCTCGTGTCTTCGCCTCCCGTATGGCCTCCATGGCCGCCCAGACCTCCAAGGTCGCCCGCCCTGCTGCCCGCTTCCAGCTCAACGCTGCCACCAAGCGTACCTTCACCTCCCAGAAGGCCCCCGTCGCCACCTTCGGTGCCCCCAAGCGCATCCAGTCGCCCACCCTCCTCCAGGCCAAGGCCTTCCAGACTGCCGCCCGCCGCCAGTACTCCTCCGAGGTCGCCACCGCCATGGTTGAGGTCTCCAAGAACATTGGTATGGGTTCCGCCGCCATCGGTCTCGGTGGTGCCGGTATCGGTATCGGTCTCGTTTTCGCCGCTCTCCTCATGAGTGTCTCCCGCAACCCTGCCCTCCGTGGCCAGCTCTTCTCCTACGCCATTCTGGGCTTTGCCTTCGTCGAGGCCATGGGTCTGTTCGACCTGATGGTTGCTATGATGTGCAAGTACGTCTAAATTATCACAACTCGGGCACTGCAATTCTTGGATAAAACCCTGTTTTTTCATTTTTCCGGAGATGCGGGTTTGACGAGGATCTTTTCCGCCGGGGAGGGTATTTGGTCGTGATGTATTACCATGTACTACTTTCAGCGTCATCTACAACACTTTTCTTTCTGTACATATAGAGTCTATATGGCCCATCGACCATCCCAACTATCAAAGAGCCAAACCAAAAACTCTGTGTGTTGAGTCTGACGGCCGTATAATCTTCCCTCTCCCTTAGTCCGAACCCCAGGTTTACGGCAATTGTAGCTCCCCAAACAGCTTCCCTGTAGAACAACCCGGAAGCTCTGACTAGCTGTATCTCAAAACAAACAGCTCTGGCTCTATTTTGGTTGATTCACTCCATTATGGTGGATGTTGCTACGGGTCCCTGTGCAGACTGTGACCCGCTCTGCAAACCCCAATTACGCCACAACAATCATCCATTGATCACTAAAACGTAGTGCTAGCGGAATCTCCGTGTCTGACAATGGTATTGAGCTATTTATCCGGCAATTCCTGGCCCTGGGAAGCCTCATTCGAGCTGAAGACCCTCGGCGCAAAATCCTGCTAGTTCCCGGGCCTCGGGAACGGCAGCCCCGTAGTCAGCTGACTCAGCCTCTGACATCAGATTGGCATTTCTGCATGCAGGTGCAGGCTTGGGAGAAAGTGAAGCAGGTCATATTGATTTAGATCTAGAGCCTACATATTGTCTTTCCACAAGTTATTGCAATTATAAGTGCTTGGTGAGGACGTAGGTGCGGCAAACTTCCCCGGTTTATATCGGAATCGAAGACGAACGCGCCTAGTCCACTTATGGCTTAGTGACCATGTCAGATGTATATCTTTCATGTTATAACTTAGAGCCTCTTACAGGATTCATGTTTTGTTGGTTCGATTATAAGGAATGTTATTCTGGTGTATTAGTATGCTTTCAAGAAATCATTTTGCGAATAAAGGTGTGCTTCATGCAAGATATATATTTCGTCCTTGTTCGTATTGCTACCCGGCCCAGATATATACTATACTATGGCAACATCCCGATGAATTTGATGACACTGAATATATACTTCAGCCCAAACACAGCTAACGACTATAAAACTGATATAAATTATAGATGTGACACCTTTTGAATTCGCTCTCGTAGGCGCGCGCTGATCAAAGAACGGGACACGCGACCCATCGCGTCAACATTCCAACCTCAATGCAAGGAAAAAAGCTTAAGTGCAAGCATGATTGAACTCGAAATCAAATATTTGATCATAACATTAAACCTTGACGGGAAAAGGGGCTCGTAAGATGTCGCGACAAAAGCAAAGAAAACGAAACAATCTACTCCGAACATGCCATGATCGCTCGAACGCCGGGGAATATGTATCACAAGACTCGAAAGGAAACCCAAAGCGAATAAGCACTTAACCACGATAAACTGAAACAGGAAGACCCATCGGCCTCTAGAAGATTTCCAGATCCTCAAACTCAACAACCAACCCATCCCCCGAACTAGCCGGCAGTGAACTATCAAGAGTCATGCCGTGCATAGCATCCCACATAGTCTCACCACGCGAAAAACATGTCGGCCGACTGGCATAAACGCCAACATGCACAAACTTATCCTCAACCCCATAAAAGAACCAGGTCACCTCCCGCAGCTTCTTCCACGTACTCCCCACCGCCCCAGGCGACAGAGCATACGGCAAAGCCGACGGAACCTGGTACCAAATCCACAATGCATATCCTACACGCTCAAGCTTGATGCGCAATGAGTGAACGCCCATCCCAGTCCCCATCCCAGTCCCCGCAGACCCCAGCGGTGAAAGACACCAATCCGCCCCATCAGCAGTCGCACTGACAGACGAAGCATTAACACTCCCCGACGAAAACTCCATGCCAGCCTTGACCCATTTGCACGGGAAGCGCGGGCTAGAACCCGCGGATCCCGCCCCGGCCCCGGCTCCCGCTCGCCAGCCTGGCGCTGTTGCTGGTGCGTGCGCTGCGTCTACCTCCGAGAAGAGTGCGGATTGCGCTTGTGGGGCAGCACCGGCGAAGATGACAAGCCCGCCTTGGTCGCATTCCAGTTCCCAGTCTGCGCTAACGGTTACTTCGGCTACGACGAAGGGGTGGCGGAGGCTTGTGAAGACGATTGGGGCGGTGGATGTGTCGCCATTTGGTGGTTTGCGCCACAGGTCTGTGTTTGGGCCTGCTGGTAATGTGAAGTATTCCATGCATTGGGGGAGTTCGAAGGTCGGGGGTAGGTTTAGGGCCGTGAATGAGGCGCTATCTGGGGGCATGGTGGTGTTTTGGGGGTGGTTTGGTACTTTTGGCTTCGGGTGAGGATGGATTGGAGAGAGGAAAAAGGAGAGAGAGGAATTATACAAAAAGAAAAGAAACACCGTAAGGGGAATTGGAGGTGACAATAATCGGTCACACCGAGGTGGTTCTCTCGAGAATTAAAAAGACCGGAATATGCATATGCAATATGCAATTAATAGCCGGTGCTTGTAGAAGGAAATGTTCACAGCATTTGCTTTTAAAGTTTAACTAAGTTCAGCCCTCAAGGAAATGCAAGACTGTCAATTGCTGGGATATGATGCAGTCGAGAATCGGGACATGCGGATACGCCGAATGCGGTTTGCACCAGGGAACCACCGGAAAAAGAAAAGCCAAAGGAAAACAAGATACTTTGGAAAACGATGAGATCCAGAGAGGAATCCACGAGAACTAGCTATTTATATGCAAATACTTCATCGGAACAAGCGTGGTTTCCCCTATCGATTTGTCCATTTCAGGGGACGATCGTTTGAGGTCTCCGCTGGGACAACTCCCATCCTCGAACCAGAGCCCTGGAAACCAGAACCGAGCTGTTGGGTTATTTGAGGCGCTAGGCTTGGGTTCTTTGTGGTTCCTTTGATGCCAGACGCGTGCTTTCGGCCTTGACCATGCGGTCCAATTCGCAAGTGGCGGGTCATCATGCATCTTAGGGGATCAATCACGTTGTGACCGAGGATCTGAGGGGCTGAAAGCATCCTGAATGCAAGAGAAACAAGGAAACGAGGGTGCCTACGTTGGCATTCATTAATACACCGAGAAAAACCGAGGCGGGTATCTCATACTCTCGGTACTCTGTGCAACAGCGATATACAATAATATTTCAGACTATGAGGATCTCTCGGAACAATGCATGCATGAATCTTTGGGTGGAACTCGATTCGGCTTGAGAGCTGACTATTTTCTGGGATATTCCCTGGTCGGCCATTTGACAGTCTACACTTCGAGTCGAGTCAACTCGACAAGCTATTCTTTTTTTTATTTTTTATTTTCTCTTTGCTGTTGAGTGGCGCTGCAAACTCGCCCCAGCCACAAGATGTGCGCTCCACTTGGGGTGTTCTGTACGAGGCTGAAGAGGGTAATCAGAACAACTCACTGTGTTTCATATCGAGAGATCTTTTTGATATCATCGGAGATACCGAAGTGGACCTAAATAAAGACAGATCTTCCCCCGCAATGGGTATAAGTGGAGGGTAATATTCAACAGGGGCAAAACGTGGTGTTGAAGCAGATCAGCTGATGTTATTTTTGGTTGCCAAGTGGTTAGCTCTTGATCGCCTCGTTTTCTTCCCTTTAAGATCGTGGAGCCTCTATGAGTTGGCTCAGCCAACTTGGGTTCTTTATCTGCCCAACATGTATATCCCATCACTTCATCCTACCGCTTCTTTGGATTCCAAATCACCGGGAATTCTCCCATTTCTTCCATTTCTTCCATTTCTCCCATTTTCCCATTCCCTATCTCATCTGTCGATCTCTTATACGAACCCACCGCCCTTAAATGGGGCCCAAACCCCGATGAGAGCCAGATTTAGCAAAACAAATTCTAGTGCCCTCAGGGACTCGTATTTTGACGCCCTTTGCCCTAACGCAGACCTCCCGAACCAATCAACTGCGTCCCCTCGCCTGTTGGCCTCGTATTTCAAGGGGCTTCAGCCTCAACCCAATCTGCAATAGTGTAGCATGTGCCCCTAAAGCCCCGACTTAAAAGCCCGCCAGTACTCGTAGAGTGAATTTGGCGAATTTCCCTGAGTTTTCAACCCTAAAAGCTATACAAATCTTGGTGAGAATGTCACCTCGACGTGGAGGTTATAGTAGCTATACGTCGGGCTATGACTCGAGCCCCTGGAGCGAGGAGACTCTGTTGAGTCTCGACTATTCCGTACGGGGCCTCTATATTGCCGGATTTGCCTTCGATATCCTTACTGCCATAGCCTTCATCGCGTTTCTCATTTGGTCATGCACAATTCGCAGTCGTGGTCTGCCACTGAAAGGGCTCATCTTCTCACTCTTTGCATATGTCTTGTATGTTGCAGGACTGCTCCCCCCAAATCACAGTCGGCTAATCACATCTCAGGTCTGAGTTGTGCACAATCATCTATGGAGCACTATACATCGCCGAAGCCTACGTCACAAAGTACTACCGCATCATCTTGATGCTTATGACTTTCTTCAATCTGCTCGCCACTGTACTTGTGATCTATGTTTTCTGGAGCCTCATCCACCGCTTGCTGGGACGTCTCACGGATTCCGGAAAGCCATATGCGGCAGTGACGATCATCCATTGGATTCTACTCGGCATCCTCTCGGCGGTTTCACTCGCTGACTGGGCCATGTATGTCGCTTGGGAAGTCAGAGAAGTGACAAGCGTCGTCAGTATGGAGCTCACATTGGCCTGGGTGGACCTCGATAGCGCCCTGACCATCATCGTCTGGCTACTATCAATGGAAATTATGGCTTGGACAATCTTCGTGACTGTCAAGGCTGGAACCCATCGTTTCCTGTCGAGGGTGAGTATTCACAACTTTCATACATGACATTGAACACATAACTAATCAGATATGCATAGACACCCGCTATCTCCCTCCTCGTCGGCTCCGTCTGCTTTTTTGCCGTGAACCTGATGTGGGCCATCCTCGCCATCCGCTACAACCTCGAGAACAATAAAGACTACCCCATCTACCTGGTGACTGCCAAGCCTGTCATTGCATTCGTGTTCCTGGTCGGTACCTTCATGGGGATTGTCCTTTGCTGCGCCAAATGGAGCTCCCTCGGTACTGGGCCGGATAAGTATGAGCATGCTGCTGTTACTGGCCAGTACGCGCCTCAGTATCCTCCTGGCCAGTACCCTGCGTACCCGCAGTATCCTCAGGGACAGCATCCTCCCGCTCAATATCCTCATGGTGCTTCTCCTTACCAGTATCCGGCGTATGGTCAAGTTCCTTCAGCCCCGGTTCCAGCTCCAGCTCAAGCTCAAACTCAAGCTCCAGCTCACTCGCCCCAGCCTCATTCGCCTCAGTAGGTATCTGGCTATGTTTGAATCTGATATGTGCCTGCTTTCGTTATACCCTGATTTGATACCCTTGTTTCTCATAAGTACTATGAAAGCCAAATTTGTCCCCTATACCCAACTTAATTGGTTTATGAACTTCGTTTCCTTAATAGCAATATGATTGTTCTCCAAATCAAATATTTCCGCCGAAATAACATTGCGAAATATACCAATATTGCATATAACATATAAAAAGCCACCAACATGGATCAACCCCATAAATCAAAACGTCTTGGCAGCGAAACCAGGCGGTGGCGCAAACCCGCGATAACATCACTTCACTCACCCAGAAAAAGCCAAACACGCCCATACATTCAACCACAGCCAAAATGGTCTGCTCAAAATGCCAAAAGAAGCTTCAGTCCACTGAACTTGCCACACCCGGTGTCAAGCGTAAGAATGATATGTACTACGGTTCCCCGAGTAGCTCGCTCGGCGGCGGAGACAAAGGCAAGGCTAAGCCGACATTAGGCGCGACGGGGATCGGGAAGGTATGTTACTTATCATTCTTACCTTTTCAAGGAGAATGGGGCTGTTTCTTTTTGAATGCTCTACCATGTTCTCGTGACAGGCAGATTGACTGACATTGCTTGCAGAGCAAACTCCTCAGCTCCAAAGCTAAGAATCCTTATGCGGCTTATGCTTCTTCTTGTGAGACTTGCAAGACCAAGACGGAGCAGGGGAAGAAGTTTTGTCAGCGGTGTGCCTATAAGAAGAATGGTATCTCTCTCTCTCTTCTGTCTTTTCCTTGTTACTTTCTTGGCTGCAGTTACTGACATCTATCTGGTAGCTTGTGCCATGTGCGGCAAGAGTCTGGCCGGAAAGTCGTCCAAGGACCAGCCTATCGTGCAGGGCCAGAAATTTAACTTGAAGTGATTCCCAGTGTTATCTATAGATCCGGGTGGTGTTCCTGTTTTATTTTACATGACGTGGCGTTTAGGCATTATTGATACCGAACCAAACCCCAATGGAACGAATTTGATTGACAGTGTAAGAAAAATCTAGTTATACATGGCATGCGCAATAAGTGTATATGCAGTGCGCCAATAGTGCGCTGATATCAGAACAAGTATGCCTTCTCTTCAGAACTTCGTCTCCACCTTTTCTTCCACCGAACTCAGCTCAACTCCACGCCTTTTCAGCATGTGGCGTTTACCGATCGGCCAGCATGTTCTTGATGTTGCTGTAGTATTGCGTGTTCAGGTATTTGGAGAGCTCCTCCTTGGACAGCCACTTAAAGTCCTTTAGGTTCTGCGTGTTGACGGACAGGTCGGCCTGGCCGGCCATGATGCGAGACTTCAGGAAGAAGATCTTGCTGCCGGCAACTTCGACTTCGGTCTGCTTGTCTGACTTTGCGCGGGGAGGGTTGTATGCGTGCCAGCCGACGGGGTGGTAGCCGACCATCCAGGTGTTCATGTTGACACCAGCGGATTGAGCGAGGGTACGTTCAGCGGCCTGTGATTGAGAAAAAAAGAACATTAGTATGGGTAAAAGACAGTATTTCAATCGATAGAGCATTACGCACCAAGCGAAGAGTCTCGCCAGACTCAACCGGCGAGCTGGGGAACTTCCAGTGTCCCTCCTTGGACTGAACCAGGAGGTAGAGTGTGCGGGAAAGCAAACGATCCAGACTCTTCTGGTCGTTCTTCTTGTCTGCTTCCGTCACCCGAGGGAACGGCCGAGGAATCTCCTCCTTTTTGCTGGTATCTTGCGAGGTGGCATTGGCAGTGGACTCTGCATCCTGCAAAAGCATCTCAACCTGGTGCTCAGGCTCAGACTCTTTCGCGCCGAGAAGGAGCTCATCATTCCATGCTTCGCTGTCGTACGCGTTATACTTTCCGATATCACGCGCGGCAGTCCGGCGCTCAAGAATCTTCTTCTTCCAGTCTTCGTCCGCCGGGGTTCCGCGCTTGAAGTAGAAATATTTCGTGAAGGGGAGGGCCAGACGCTCATTCAGACGCTTCTGGTAAAAGTAATATGACTTCTCGAAGGGCTCGAGGTCACGGGTGATCTGGGGAGGGCGGGAGAGGACCACACCGGCGTTGATGGTGTAGGCGGGCTTCACGACGGGGGTTGTCGATGCAGAGGTTGATGTGGTTTCGGTGGCTGCTGGAGCCGCGGAGGCATAGCTGCGGCGGCCAAGGGTTTCTTGACAGCTTCTGCACACACCGGGGTCGACTATTGACGGGCCTGCGCGCGGAGTTAGTAGGGCGAAAAACTCGGGAAAAGTTGGATTGAACGTACGCAGCAGCGACACCATGCGCCTTGCACCATTGGATCCTGACGACATTGTGTAGAGTGGGCAATGAGTTGGCTAGTCAACGGGGAAGCCTCCGAGAAAAAGATCCAACTTGGGTCACGTTGTCGCCATGCCCGATCGGGTTAGTCACCTCCCGCACGCTTTAAATTCGCCGATTTCCCGCTTTTCTGATCTTTTCTTCTCCCAAGCATCACTTATCATCGCCTGGCTCACTCTCCTACGACCAGTCGACCATTTATCGATGCTCAGATTGAGCTCGAGGCCAATTTTCGCTAGCGGTACCTTCTTATAATCAAGGTGTACTGTTAGATAGCTGCTTCGAACATCCTCTTAATTCAAAATCAATTGTTATTTCAACTAGCTTTTTCCTCTTGCTTTTTTTCCCCCTTCTTCTCTCGCAACATCAACTAGACCCTCTTCACTTCCTGCTTATTTCCTGCTCAGTCGATGTCCAGGAGATGACTCTCAGCCTTCGCCGCATTGCCTCCTAGCCGCACCATCCTCTCCACGGTGCCAAACACCCGCAGTCGGTTCCCGTAGTCCCCCCAGAACTTGCTGCCCAGACGAGGTAACAACACGCCCTTGTTGGCCATGAGTAGAATTTTGGGGCATCCAGTGTCGGCAAGAGACTTGGGAATTTGAACAAGGTGAGATGTCTGGACCACAGGAAAGGTCTCGGTGTCCATATTGAAGAGATCGCTGAACTCACTCTTCACAGCTTGCTTTTCCAGGCTGTCCGATATGCGGGGGTTTGGGCGGAGGGTACACTGTGTTGGGGTAGCAAGAGGCCCACGCTGGATCTGGCCTGCCAGTTTGATAAAAGCCATGGCAGAAATCATGCTGTCGTATCCTGCTTCGTGGTTAACCTTGCGCCACTTGTACTTTGAGAAGCGAGGGTCAATCTCTGGATCACGGTTAGTTCAGTACATCAATTGACAAGGGGTTCGATCAGCTGTACCTATCTTGGGACTGTTCACATCCTTCAACTTGGCATGCAGATCAGTCAGCGAAGACGTGGGATTGATAGAACCGCAATCATAAGTATCCAGATACTTGGTATCAACAACCACAGGGAACAATTCGTGCATGACGGTCTGAAACTCTTCGATAGTGTCAGGCAATGGACCCAGGAAGCATGCGTGAAAAAAAAGCAGATCACAGAACATGTTGTGGCCGACAAGAACAGGTCTGTTCTCCTGGAGGCGTTGCTTCACCCTGTCTGCGACCCGATTGATTTCGAAAGATGGATTGTCGATTCTCCGCATCACAGGATTGAACATCTCTGCACCAAGTCCTTCCAGATTACCGCCAACAAGCGACTCTGCAATCCAGCGGAACCCGATGTGCTTCTGGAGTTGTGCCTTTTTGGTGTTCAACTTCAGTTCTTGGGCAATCCGCTCGCACTCGATGTCCGCTACATCGATTTGGATGAATTTCGACGTGTTCCTTGACCGCAGATTGGGAAATTCCTGGGTGATCAGCTGGTGCACAAGCCATTTCTCCATGCTGCTGAGGCCTTCGCGCACACTGCCCAATGGTTGGACCTCACTAGGCGGCGGAACGTTCAGCCATTGAACTCGGTCCTGTCTGTGTTAACTCATTTGCCCTGGAATGTGAGCATGCATCACTTACCTTTCCTTGTGCCAGCCAGTCGGTGATCATGGTTCGAACTTTGGCAAGAAACTCCAGAGATTCATGGTCATCGTCTTTGATGTCCATAGTCTGTCGACTAGTCTGTTGGCATCGTTCCACGACTCTTGCCAGCGCCAATTGCTCTTCCGCACGAGACAGATACTGGATGCCATGCTGACATAGACTGTCAATGCTGAATCCGTGTTTGAGGAGAAACCCCATAGCTGCATAACAAACAGTTAGTGAATGGTCACAATCACATGCTCGGGACAGCACATACCCCGGCTGCTAGATGTCCAGTCTCGATTTATATCAGATTCATGGTGCGGGATCGGGTTCAGGTTCATGTTGTACGGCTTAAGGGAATACGAAGCTGTATCATGTTAACGGATTGTGTCTCGTGTGTTATTCTTCACTTACCCGTTTCTACATTCTCATGGCAAAGCGTGAGCCCAACTTGCAGGATTTGATATTGTTCCGCTGCAACTTTGGTCTGCGCATACCGCTCCTGGATTGTTTGTGGCCTTGTTGGTATGAATGGGGCGAAAGCCACGCCAGAGAGCTCAAAGTCCAAACTGACGAAGCAGCTGGCCGAGATATCATTCAAGATAAACGGAAGATACTCAGAGAAATTCGCACTTGTCACTTCCATCTTGTCTTAGACTTTCAGACCAGAAGTAAGTGATTGATTCCGTGGAAGTGAAAGGCAAGTAACGAGTAGGGAAATAGGATGGTTTGATCTAATGTCAAATACCGTAAATTGATTGATACTGCGTCAACGAGGAAGTTTGCTTGCTTAGAGGTAGGTCCATAGGCGTCATATGCAGCATATCACGTATTATGCACGCCGGCGAGGTTTCTTTGGAGGGATCTTAGAAATATGCAATCGGAGCTGTAAGTGACGTGACGAAGGAAGAAAGATCGCTGAAGAGTAACTCATATTTAAATGACGCTATTCTGGATATCCTCATTAATGATTTTGCTTTATTCTTATAGATCGAGCTCACAGGCCAGTCCCGTGACCACCCCGGACTTGGCCTGAGCCGAGGGAAAACGACAGCCGATCGCAATCGTCCCCGACTTGTTTCACTCTGGCTTCTCCATTATCTGTTGCTGTATAACTCCTGCTAATCATTGGAATTGATTCTCGATACCATCTTATGATCCCTCGGCCTCACAATGGCTAACGGATCCCCAATGTCGTCCCATAACCAAGCCCGCTCCCCGTCCTCGGCCTCCCCCACAAAGCTGTGCTCCAAGACATACAAGAAGGCCTCCCAGCTCTACCTCACACGGCGCCTACCAGAAGCTTTAGCAAGTCTACAGCCTATTATAACGCCATCAGCACCACAGGAAGACCAGCATACAAATGGCGACTCGTCAACACCGGTCGCGCCGATCGCCACGGCCGCCAGCACGTGGAGAATCAAGGTGTGGAACCTCTACATCACCCTCCTCAGCGCAATAGTCGATCTTGGAGCCGAGGAAGGAAAGAAGCAATTTGGACAGAAGGAATGGAAAGGAATTGCATCACAAGTGAGAGAAGGCGGGATTTGGGAGACAGTGGTCGAGGTCGGATACCAAAACCGAGAGGGTTCGGTGGATGCCGAAGTCGTCTACAACTTGTCAGTCTTCACACCTCAGCTTTTCCAACTCGGGCATATCAGCTAATATAGTGACAGAGCTACACTACTTCTCACGCATTCCTCCTCGCAATCCCTGAACCAACAACGCCTCGAGACGTACCTCTCCTCATACGGACAGCCCAACCTCGACCTTGCAGATCGCCTACAAGATGCAGCCAACGATTTCCAGCAGCGCCCCATGCCAACAAGCGGCGCCGATACCCCGAAGGATCTAACCTCCAGAGTGAGGATCATCGAGCTCTTCACCCTACATGTCCTTCCCCGCAATGACGAGTGGGAATACGCAACCGAGTTCATCAATCTGAGCGAAGTCCTCGACGAGGAACGGAAAGACCTATTCCTTCAGACCCTTGAGGGATTGAAAGAAGAGAAGGAGCGTGGCGAAATGCGCGCTGCTGAACTACAGCGTTCCAAAGACGAAGAACTCGAGCGGCAACGAGAGGACGAACGCCGAGAAGCCGAGGAAGCAGCGACAGCAGCAGCGCGATCGCAATCCAATGGCCACAAGCGCAATACCAGCGAAGTTGACTATGGGATTGAGAAAAGCCGCCCACAAAACTCACCCAAGGGCAAAGGGGGTATTTCGACAGACAAGTCGCCGAATGGGAAGTCTACACAACGGACCACACTTTCATCGTCTGGATCTAAGAATGTCAAGAAGAATGACAAGGTTCAACCCCGGGGCCGTCCATCCCAGGCAGTGACAACTGCCCTGCGCAATCTTTTCCGTCATATCATCCAGACCGTGTCTGGTAACCCCATGTCATTAGTGCGCACTTTACTCTTCGTGATTGGTATTCTTATGGCGATGACCCGACAAGATGTCCGCGAACGTGTGCGGAGGGTTACGGACTCTGCTTGGCAGAAGGTCAAAGGCACAGTCGGAATGGGCGTCAAAGTGAGCTACATTTGAGGGATCGACAGATTCCTGTTTTCATGTACATGGTGTATGATGTATATTTCGATCTTGTTCCTGTTACGGTCATCAAGAGGCTATCGTCGCATACATATTTGCAATTGTGATTTTCTATATCTCTGTGTATCATACTTCACGCATATACACCGGATCAAGGGCATCTTTGATGTATTTTTCTTTCCATCTTCCTACTTTTTGACAGAACATTTGCTATTTATAGTCTTAAGTTGAGCAGCATCTATCGAGGTAGGCAGGTGAGCTACCTATCTTCATTTACAACCCCAGGCATTTGCTAGGAGGTTTCCGTTGAGATACTTCAGGCCAGTGTCGACAGCGACAGTAACCACGGTCTTGTCAGGGCCTAGCTCCTTCGCAAGAGCAATAGCAGCAACGACATTCAAACCCGTTGAAGTCCCAACAAAGATTCCTTCTTCCCGAGCAAGTCGTCGACACATGGCATGTCTTCTTCTGAAATCCCTCGTGCCTCATCATACAAGTTGGAATCAAGATGCGGGGGCACACACCCGGCCCCGATTCCCTCGACACCATGAGGTCCAGCGTGACCTTTCTTAACAAAGGAGAAGAAGTAGGCTCAAGAGCCACGATACGTGTTTCCGGCCACTTCGCCTTCAAAATCCGTGATGCCGCCTGATCATACCGGCAGTTCGAAAAGCCCCACAGAAAGATCAAGGTCACCAGGGAATTGAGCCCTCAATTCTTCCCCGATCATCTTATAGCCAGGCCCGCATTATTTAACTGATCAGGACTGTATACCAACAACCATGGGATCTAGGTCGGAGATAACCGTGGCTCAATGAAGGCAGAGTTCCATCTGCCTCTGGGTAAGGGGAGGGACAAGCTCACGGTCGTGAATAATCACCACGTTCCACCCCACCAGCCCTCTGTCGACTGTCTCGTTCCAGCACAATCGGGATATTGTGCGATGTGCAATAGATTTTTTGTATAAAGTAGAACAGTTTCTTAAAAGGGAAATCCGCCAGTTACGCTACGTACTTGGCAGATCAGCCGAGAAACCAAAAGACATTTAATACCATCTGTAATGTACTACTTCGTTTGGAAAAAGCGGTTGCAGGCTGCTGTGAGTGTAGTCGGCTCGAAGCAGTCAATCTCTAGATCTGTAATATCTTATACCAACCTCATAGACCGAACTGACATGCCCGCCAGATATACAAGATTGGTAATGTCTGTCTCAGCTGCTTAGACCAGCGCAAATTTAACAGGAAAATCCTGTGCGAAGATCTCCACAGAGAATTTGACTGATCAAGACCCTGATCTATATTGATTAGATTAGATTAGATTAGAATATTGTCCTCCTATTCGCTAGCCTTTACTTTGCCTTAGAGACCCATCGCTATGTGTGCCGTCTCCTCATAAGGCTTATAAGAAGCTCCCGAGCCACGCACATGGCTTCCCTGCATCTTGACATACAACGTTGAATTGTTGACGGACAGAGTCACCTATTTTCTCGGACCAAGTCCCCTGCCAAAATTACGAGCGTGGCCACGCCCGCCCGAGAAGAGACCAAAGCCCCATCCCTAGCCCCTCTGCATCGCCGGTCCAATAGTAGGCCTTCTATAACGATGGACATACCGCTACAAAATAATCCAAATAGCAAGCATACTAATCAAAATACTCGGCATGGGCGTATGCTTGACGGCAACAAAGCCACATTCAGCACAGCAGCAATGGTCTTAGTAATGATCCTAATCGGCTTCAGCGGCTCAATGTCCGTCGTCGGTCCACGCGTTGCATCACAGAGATCCGTTCCAGACCAGGATGTCGCGCTCGTCATTTCTCTGTTATCTCTTTGGTCTAAGATCTGTAGTGGTATTGGATCGGCGATTGTTGTTGTTATTTGGTCGGATCAGATGCCTAAGTAGTTGCGCGAGCATTTGGCTGGGACTGCTACGGAGAACGATGTTAAGAAGCTGTTTCGTAGTTTGACCTATTCGGAAGCATTATGCTTTTGATGATCCTATGCGTGTTGGAGCTATTCTTGCTTATCGTCGTCCGTTATGTCATTGTTTGGCGCCTGCGTTGGTTCCGTTTGTTGCGGCTCTCCTTCAGACTAATTATATCTTGAGAAAGTCACAGAATACTGTTACTAATGTTGGGAATGATGGCTTGACTCTTCCGGAGAAAGATTTGGTTCCTGAGCCGGGAATAAGAAAGAGGTTTTCTTGGCTTTTGGGCTGGGAAGTAGGTTGTGATGGGGTGTTTGGTATAAAAGTGTTTCTGAAGAAGAAGGTCCAGACATTAATAACAGGAGGGGGATATCGCCAGAGGATGCCAAATGCAGTCTTGTCTCATATAGTCGTTAATAACAGTTCGTGATAGAAAAGGACAACCAACTCTCAATGGGGAATCAAATAGTGGCATTATCGCATGTAATGTGATTTTCGCGCGCAACCTCAGTCATCCCAGCCTCAGCATCACCCGCATACTCGACATGCTCCTTCTCGACAACCCTCGCATGCCACCTTCGGAAAAGCTGCACAAAGAAATGCGCAACACAGATCTGTTCTGTGGTATAAAGCAACACTGGTACAGAAGTCTTGGCTTTCGTAAAGAGATCAATCGGCTGCCACATTGCATACAGCAGCGGGATACCGAGTGCCGTGCTCTTCGCCGGCCCACAGAAACATACTGCAATGGTTTCCTCAGGAGACATGCGCTTGAACATTGGCTCTGACCATTTCCGAGAGCTCAATATCCGCGGTGGTCTCGAGCCGAGGAAGCAGATTAGTGTTAGGAAGATGTAGAGGGCGATATTGAAGAGAACCACGAAGACCACGCTTTGCGCGGAGAGGGATTGAAGGGCTCCTGTTGCGAAGCAGGATGAGAAAGTCGACCTGGTATATGTCAGTAGTCTATTCCAAACGAGAAGTAGCATACTGCCAAACTCACCAAATCAACAAAAGCATACAGACAGTCGCCAATTTAGGCAACTTGGTTTTCAACAAAACCCAAGCAGTCCGATCTGGCCAAGTCCAACGTACAAGCTGCCCAACAAACAAAGGTAACAAAACACTCAACCCAAGCTGCTGAAACACATCCTTATACATACTCCCCAATCCCCCACCCCCAAACCTCCACAAATCAAATTCGGCCGTCTTAGGAATCAACGAAACAGTCCAAGCAGCCGTAACAAACGGCCCAAGGATATTAGCAATCAAAACCTCCACAAGCGCAGCGGCATCATCACCCCCAGCAGCACGCGTCATAACAACATTCGAAGCAATCGTGGTCGGAATACACGCGGTAAAAATATACCCAGCCAAGACAGCGCGATCAATCTTACCGCCTGGATCCCCAGCTAGGATGATATGCACGACAGCCAAGACCAGCGCAGGAATGAATAAGAATGAAATCACCTGTACAACGAGGTGTAGTCGCCAATTCAGGAATTGGGAAAATAGTTTCTGGCGTGGGATGCTCAGGCCGGAGATTAGGAAGATTATCGCTATCACGCCGTACATGATGCTGTATTCTGAGCGGATTGTTCCGCCGTGTTTGGCGACGTTTGGGAAGAAGTAGGCTAGGACGCAGACAACCCCGATGCCTATTAGGAGCCATTGATGGAGGAGGAGTTTTACTATGCATTTTGTCGCTTGGATCCAGGGGTTTGGGGGGTCTGGGGATGTTTCTTCCATCCTTGGTTGTTTAGGTTGCTATTAGAGGCATTGAAATGAGTCGTGGTGGTCTGGACGTGTGGGATGGATTGTAGTGGTGGTTGATAAGGTGAGTTGGTGGGTTGAGAATTGTGCGGTCGGATTTGATCCGATCCATTGCGCATGAAGGAATCGCCTTTATCTTCAACCACGTGAAGTTATACTAGTGCATATTTTGATGAAATATAGAGTAGACAGGGCCGAGATCGGCTACCCGATAATAATTTATCATCGGGTCGACTGATCCCGTGTATATTAAGTTAGGTGGGCATGTGAAGATATGATGCCCCTGAAGTATATTAAAACGAGTAACTTATGAACGATAACTTTAATAACGTTAGATGTATAAATGAACATGTAGATCAATTCGCATCATCATACATCCATCTCCATCTCTAACCGATTATACGGAGCTTGGTAAAACGTTCAACCGGCTAATAACGGAGCCACTCTAATAACCCCGGACTCGTCAGAGGAACACAAAGGACAGCAACTCTAAGTCTCATATGAACATAGTGAATAGTCTAATTGTCCACCTGACTCAGAGAAAGTAAGTCCCATGACCTATTCCTCCTATAACAGCCACCGCGCTGAACCTCGGCTGAGGGGAGCTATTGCGTTGGCCCGAGATCACCCGCAGCAAAAGGTGCGGAAATCGCTACTTTATTTCGGAGCTGGAGTGCAAGTCCCGAAATGAGGATTCTCTATACCGGAGTAATCTTACTACCTGGAATCTAGTTAGATAACGTAGGGGTGATGGTGCCTCTGGTGCCACTGTAGGTAAGGTAGGGCCGGGTTATAAAGACTAAATAGCTAAGTAATATAGAGTGTAGATAGAGTATAGAATCACAAGCCTTTTTTGTTCTTCCTATGACGACAAGAAACATGTGAAGTCAGATCAATCCGGGGGTGAATCATAGAGCCGCCCTTGTTCCCGAAGGCCTCGGGATTGTCGACTCTCTGTACTCGGAACGCTGTGCGGTATTTCGAACTTATAAGAGATCTCCCTCGGCTGATATTCGTGGACTGTACTCTTCTCTTTTCTCTTTTTCTCTCTTGTGGTTGCCGAGATCTATACTTCCGCTCGTCCAGCTTCCTCCGCTTCCCCGTCATAGCTCCCCACAAAAGTTTGGCACTGCCGCCACTTCGAGCCGACGTCAATCATAGCCAACAGTCCTGCTTTGTGAAATTAAAGCCTTTTGCAATTGATCTGTTCTCTTCAATTGATATCTTTATCTCGAGACTATTTGGAAGGATCTGCGAAAAAGGGCACCCCAAGTAATTGCATTCGCCGCTTATTCCCCGGGATTGTATACATCCGCTTCTCCGCAATCTCGGTATTCGCTCGCGACAATCGGAACAAACTCGATTTCGTGCCATTCCGGGGGTGTTAGATTAAAGACCCAATTGGAGGTTTTCCTTTGACAATCTCCTCAAATACGCATTCTTTACACCTTACCTTTCTCACAAACAATGTCCGCAAAAACCGCCAATTCGAAGCGCACATCGCCTGCGGTCAACTTGATCGGTAGAGTAAACTCCATCCTCGAGATTGTGGACGGCTATTGACTTCATCCTAGCTGGTGGTGGTGCCGGTATGATGGAGGCCCTCGTGTGCCACCCTCTAGACACGATCAAGGTCCGCATGCAGCTGTCAAGGAGAGCCACAGCACCCGGGGTGAGTTATGAATACCCATAGACCATGAAACATTGCTAACCATGTGGTCTGGATAGGCTAAGCCGCGCGGGTTCGTGGCCACCGGTGCCCAGATTGTACGCAAGGAGACTGCCCTGGGTCTGTACAAGGGTTTGGGAGCCGTGCTGGGCGGAATCATTCCAAAAATGGCCATCCGGTTCACCTCATACGAGTCATACAAGGGAATGCTGGCCGACAAGGAAACGGGTCAGGTTACCAGCAAGGCCACCTTCCTGGGTACGTGAAGACAATCCACACAGAGCAGATCACAACCTACAACAGCGGCTAACATGTTGATAGCTGGTCTCGCTGCCGGTGTAACCGAAGCCGTGGCCGTCGTAAACCCAATGGAAGTCATCAAGATCCGCCTGCAAGCGCAGCACCACAGCATGGCCGACCCACTCGACGTCCCCAAGTACCGCAGCGCCCCACACGCACTCTTCACCGTCGTCAAGGAGGAGGGCCTGAGCGTGCTGTACCGCGGTGTCTCACTGACAGCCCTCCGCCAGGGAACCAACCAGGCCGCCAACTTCACCGCGTACACCGAACTCAAGGCTGCCCTGCAGCGCTGGCAACCCGAGTACAGCAACAGCCAGCTGCCCTCCTACCAGACCACCGTGATCGGTTTGATCTCCGGTGCTGTCGGTCCCTTCTCCAACGCCCCCATCGATACCATCAAGACTCGTTTGCAGAAGACCCGTGCTGAGCCCGGCCAGTCGGCTATCACTCGTATCATGGTTATCGCTAAGGACATGTTCAAGACTGAGGGCGCGCGCGCTTTCTACAAGGGTATCACTCCCCGTGTCATGCGTGTCGCCCCTGGTCAGGCTGTTACTTTCACTGTGTATGAGTTCCTCAAGGGTAAACTCGAGGGTTCGAACTGGGCTTTCGTTGGTGGTGCGTATGAAGAGTAAACCCAAAATGTTTTGTTTTTGAAGCATTGTGATACCTGATCATAGTGGGCGTTGTGTTGGCTCTCGATATCTCGAGGACTGTTCAATTGCTGGCCGGTCGCGTCGGCTTTCTTTTTGTATATATTGTGTGCTTTGCGTTAGTTTCTTTGTATACCACTTTTGGTGCGCCTTGAGCAGAATAGAGTTTCTTCAAACGGCTGTGAGAAGAGAAGTAGGCTATACTATGTCAGTAACCTGGTTATATCCTTGACAATGGAATCGTCGCAAGTCGAGATGAAAGAGGACAGTGTATGGAGTAGAACAGGAGATGTGGAGGCTACTTGGAAGCCAACGCTGACACGCCCCTCAATTCACCGCTCCCTCCCCTCATAAACAACCCAACCACCACAACAGGTGAACAAGCATCACCATGCAGTCCGGAATTACAGGTAAGGGATACATCCATGTACCCCATATAGTCTCCAATTGGAACAACTAACAACCTCCCAGTCTCCTCGGAGCTGCACGATGCCTTCACCCGCTTCAACTCCGACCCCTCAACCTTCTGCCTGCCAGTAACCATAACATCCGAAAGCCTCACTCCCCTCCCAGCCCTGTCTTTCCAAGGCGAGCCAACCAAGGAATCGTTCATCACCTCCCTCCCCCAGCTGTCAACAATCCTCCAGCCCAAAACACCCCTCTACCTCCTTCTCCGACGCCCCACCGCCGCGGGTGCCGCAACCCTCATCGCTCTAACCTACATACCGTCCAATGCGCCCGTGCGGGCCAAGACGCTCTTTGCGTCGACTCGCTCGACCCTGACTCGCGAGCTTGGCACGGAGAAGTTTGGTTCGACTGTCTTTGCTACTGAGGAGGAGGAGATCCTCGGTGTTGAGGCCTGGAAGGAGCGTGATGGGGAGGGCGCTGGGGGTGTTAGTCGTGAGGATATGATGGGTGAGAAGGAGCGGGAGCTCGAGGCTGTTAGACGGGCTGAGGCTGAGGCTAGGAATGGTACTCCAGGGCGGGATATTGGTATTGGGGGCACTTTTGGTCCTGGGTCTGGCTCTGGCATGAAGATCTCTATGCCTGTTGATGAAGGGGCTAAGACTGCCCTGCGAGATCTACAGGATGGTGGATTGGTGCAGCTGGTACGTCCTTGTTACGGAGATTACGGGGGTTGATTGTGGAAGGACCTGTGAGATTGATATGCTAACTTCCTCAAGACGATTGATATCCCCACGGAGAAGATCACGCTGGCCGATTCCCAGTCTAGTGTTGAGCCAAGCTCCGTTGCCACACATATCTCCTCGACTTCGCCGCGCTATTCCTTCTACCACTACCCTGGGTCTGATGTCGTGGTCTTTGTGTACACCTGCCCGACCGGATCGTCTATCAAGGAGCGCATGCTGCACGCCAGCTCGCGGAGGAACGCCATCGCGGTTGCTGAACAGGAAGGACTCAAAATCTTGAAGAAGGTATGTGCACCCGAGTTGTGAATCGTTCCGTTTCGATGCTCACTATTTGCAGATTGAGGCTTCAGGCCCTGACGAAATCACCGCCGTGCGTTTGCAAGAGGAAGTAAACCCGCCACAAAACCAGGGCTCTGCGCGAGGATTCGCCAGACCCCGTCGCCCTGGCAGGTAAATCGCCACCGTATAGATAGAGCGAATGAACCAGTTCGGAGTGGGCCAAGACAGTCCAACACGATAAATTGAACTCGCGTCGTATTGTAGATTCGTAAAGTCGTCTGTCGTCGCTAGGCTGAACATTGTAAAACGCCGAGCTCACGCTTAGCTCCCTCCGCCCGGACACAACACCAAGCCAAGACCAAGGGAGCGAGAAGCGTGATCATTGATTCCTGAAACTTTTCTTCTGGTAGAATAAATCTGTCCTGGAGCTTCCCAGATTGATAATCTTCGGACACCCATCGCGGTCCTTCTCCAGACGCGTACATTCAAAGCAGTAGAATGCATCACTGATTCCCTCGCCGCCGCAGACGACACACTTGTTCTGGTAGTTTCCGAACGAGCACTCGTCACAGATGCGGACTAGAGTCGTGGGGCGCACGTAGGAATCGCACACGGGGCATTTGCCGTCGCATTTGTCACACAGGCGGCCGATGGAGATGCCTGGTTGCTTGCGGCACATGACGAGATCGGGGTGGTGGCGAGACATAGTTAAGTAGGAGAGAAGGTGACCAAAGTAAAAGCTTGAAATGCAACTGAAGAGGTTGGAGAGAGAAGTGAAGTTGAAGAGAAGAAAAGCCGAGCACGAGGAATGGGGTGGTCCGTGCACGTGCCCCCAAGCAGTCCGTTCTGTTCTTTCTTTGACCCCAGACACCAAGTCCAAGTGGCAGTTTTGTGGCAAACGTCGATTTACTTCGATCATATTCTTACTCTTTAAGCAAGTCAACACTGCGCCTGCATTGGTGTCGTCCACAGTACAGCATGTCGGAACAGTACGGCTACCTTCCCTCCCATAACAACCCGTACCCGCAAACGAGGAATTACTGTAGCTGACCCTCTGTCTCTTCCCTATAGCATGCTTGCCTCGGCAGTCGCCGTACCCGAACAAGAACCCCTTCACCAATCCCCGGAATTGACAACCAAGCGACGCCAGTCCTCGGTATCAGAACACGATACCAAGCGCCGGCGACTAAGCTCCCAAAGCAACCGTTCCCCGCAAACCCAGCGCCGACGCTCATCCCCTCAGCCCGCTGCGCCAGATGCATCCCCGGAAAGCAAACCTGTGCGGCCACGCGGAGGCCGCGAGGAAGATCGCAAGCGCGGTCAGCGGTTATTCGGTGGACTTCTAGGTACTCTTTCGCAGAGCTCGAGCTCTGCAGCGCAGAAAAGGCGCGCGGATATTGAGCGGAAACAGCAGGATAAGCTTAAGTCTCAGGATTTGCAGTATGATGAGTTGAAGAAGCAGCGGAAGGAACAGCGTGAGGCTATTCGCAGGAAGGAGACGCCTTTGTATGAGCGTGAGGCGGTATGTTTCCTCTGATATTCTGGAGTGGGGAATCCATCTGACCTTTCTTTTCAGATGAATACACGGCATGCGAATATAATTGCCGTGGCGCATTTCCTTAAGACACGGGCGGAACCGGTTCTTGTGAGTGGTCTTCCTCTGATTGTTCTACGTGATTGGAAGCTAACTAGTTCGAACAGTACTACAAGCCATGGCAACCACGACCTGGCGACGAATCAGTGATACAGAAGCAGATTGAAGAAGCAGAAGCGATAGTTGCACGTGAAGTTGCCGAGTTTGAAGCACGATACCCACCAGAGGCCTTTGTGCCCCAGCCAGATAAAAGCATCAAGGAAGAGCCAGCAGCGAAACCAGAAGAAACACAAGGCGAGAAGATGCAGCAGACAGATACACCCTCGGACCAACCATCTGCTCCAGAGCCTGTAAACTTAGGAGAGTCTGACTCCAAGGAAGCAGCCCAGGACGCCCCCGAAGCGGTGAAAACAGACCCTAACGGGAAAGGAGCTGTTTCAGCGACAATGGGTCGTTCTGCTGATGTGGACACTGCTGTACATGATCAGAGTGATGCCCATCGGGATGACGACGGTGGTGAAGTCGTGGAGGATAACGAGGACACTGTGATTTATTAGATTACAGTCGACCTTGGAAGCCTGATGTCAATTATCTGGAGATACGAATTACAATACCCGGCCTTGATTTACAGTTTGGAAGTAAAATCCAGGCATTTGAATATCCATGGAATCTTTGGCTGGAACATGCTTATTAGGGCAGCGAAATACATGTCCTCTCGATATGGCGACATACCCCATCTCTATTCCATGTCTATAACTATGGCATATATCCCTGTCTATTGTTTTGGGAAACCGCCGGCGATAGCAGCCAGAATAGCTTATCTCTTGGCTCTATAGCCCTAACTCGCTTCCTTATATAGTCGAGCAGAGTAGGCTTGTATACAGTTGCACTCTGGCTTTTACCTGGCATTCTCAAAATGACAATCCCTTCAAATGACAACAAAACCGATAAACTCCCCTAAGTTACCTCAATCTACACACCCGACTCAATTGAATGCGCCTCATCAAAATACAACATAACCCTACGAGCCCTCTCATCCCGCCATGCCCATTTCATCACCCCAGGAGGCGCAATAGGAACAGGTCTATTCGTCAGTACAGGCGCAACACTAGCAAAAGGCGGCCCAGCCTTCCTAGTCGGCAGTTACGTCCTGATGTCCGCCTTAGTATACCTTGACCCTAACGGGCGTCACGGAGATATTCGCCTACCTCTTCCGGCGGAACGAAGTATTACTACGGTAGTCGATATGTACCGGGCTACTTTGTCTGTTCAATGCGTATACGGTCTTCTTTCCATCACAGTGTCGGTTGCTGATTTCCTATCTGCTTGTATTTCACAAGAATTAGTTGTACATTGTTGGCAATTTGGTCGCGTTTTAATCACACTTCAATCGCACCTGAGTCGCACTTTGGGCAACATCAGCCGAACTCTGCTCCTCGATATCGGAGTAGTCGCTCAGCTGATTCGTGCCACTTCCTCTGACCATAATTCAGAATTATGATAGCTCTCCTACTACCGCCCCATCTCTGTAGTTTGGCAAGCATCAAAATGACGGAACGTGGAGATCTTAAACACTAGCGTCTTGGCATTCAATGGGCCGAGGCAGAAGCTCTGAGGGGTTCGGCCTGTTTAGAAATCCGATCTTTGGTGTAGTCTGTCACTGTTTCTGCATAATTCATAACCTAGTTCAGGGCGTAGGTCTGGACTGTGCAAGTTGCTATTGACCGAGTTGCAACACTCACACCGCAACCTGTGGGACCTGCGGCTATATATATCAACCTCGGAGCTGCGTCGTCAGAGCTTACAACATACCATCACCCTTTCGGTTTTCTGAAATCAAGACTCTTCGAAAACCTCAACTCCAATTTGAAGCTCTTCACTATGCCTATCGATAAAATCCAAGTATCAGGCGACCCCCGCATCGAGTACAAAACCGCGACTCTCAACGGCCACAACTACTGTCAGTATCGCACAACAGCACGACCAAGATCCTCAAAATACAGTGAAGAACCACAATCTAACATATAAAAGCTTATATCCTGAGCCAGCCCAAATCAGGCCAATACAAAGCAACAGTATTCCTGGTGAGCATCTCGACACGCATACATAACACGAAGAGACATAAACCAACCCCCCCCACAGATCCATGGCTTCCCCGACATCTCAATGGGCTGGCGATACCAGATCCCCATGCTAGTGAACATGGGCCTGCGAGTGGTAGCCCCAGATTGTCTAGGCTACGGACGAACAGTATGTAAACCTCCCTACTGCACTATCAAAACCACCAACCCGTACCCCAAGAAACAACCTACTAACAACAAACCCAGGACGCGCCAGCCGACCCTACTCCCTACGCACACAAGAGCTGTGCAGCAGATATAAAAGCACTAGCAACACATCTAGGCGAAACGAAAATCATCCTGGGTGGACATGACTGGCACGTCCCTCCCCATCTTCCACGCAAACCAGAACGAAACTAACACCCGAACAGGGGCGCCGGTCTAGCGTACCGCATCGCCCTCTGGCACCCAGAGCTAGTCTCGTACCTTTTCACAGTCTGTGTGCCGTACGCAAGACCAATGGAAAAGGAAGTTCAGCTAGAAGACCTCGTCCGCACAGCGGCCCCGCATTTCGCATACCAGCTCCAATTCGCGAGTGGGGAGTTGGAGAAGGTTATCCAATCTGAGGATGATATTCGCCAATTCCTGTTGGCGCTTTATGGGGGACGGAACGATCGCGGTGAGGTTGGTTTTGATGCGCATCATGGTGTGCTTGTTGATCGGCTTGGGGGGCTGAAGAGGTCAAAGCTTTTAGCGGAGGACGAGGTTGAGTTTTATGTTAGGGAGTTTGGGAGGAGTGGGGTTCGAGGGCCACGTATGATATCTCTCTTTTCCTCTTTTTGTGATGTGGTGGAGTTGCTAATTGTTGCAGTGAACTGGTACCGGACTCGGCAGATCAATTATCGGGATGAGCTTGCTATTCTTGATCGGAAGATTGAGGTTCCTACGTTGTTTATTCAGGCTTTGAGGGATCAGGCTTTGCCCCCGCATTTGGGTAAGTCGATGGCTAAGCACATCCCCAGCTTGACTGTGAAGCAGGTTAATACTTCGCACTGGGCTTTGTGGGAGAAACCTCAGGAGGTGAATGAGATTATTGAGGGTTGGTTGAGGGAGAAGGCTTTTACTGAGGCTAGAGCTGAGAAGCTGTAGCCAAGAGACAGCGGGGGCAATGGCAAATGTGCAGGGTAGGGTAGCAAATATTGATTCATTATTGCATATGCATACATATCGTATCTTGGAATCAAGGATGTGGCATCATAGCAAATTGCAAGCAATCAGAAAAGGACTTGAGTTAGGGCCTAGCACAACAACTGATGAGCAGGTACTGTAACCCCTGTTTAATACTGGTACACCTTAGTCTCGATATTGCAGCCAACCTTCTCCAGACGATCGACAAAGGTCTGTCCCATAGTAGCAGGAGTTACAATACCACCACGTGAGACCTTCCTAATGGTTTCCTCGTCATTGAGAATAACCATAGCAGCCTCAGCAAGCAACAACCCAGTGAAAAGGTACATGCTACCCTCGTAGGTAATCTTACCAAAGACCCGCTTAGTCTGCTCACCCTCCGGCGTAGCAATAGCATGGTACTCCAGACGATCATTCATCGAATCCTCCCGACGCGGGCCGCTACCAGGCGCGAAGATGAATTTCCGCAGGAGCCAGCGCACAGGCGGGAGGGCGAGGAGCATCACACCAACCGTGAAACCGATGTGCACGGCTAGACCGACGAGGGCGTTGCGTACAGACAGGAATTGTCTGAAGTAGAAGGATTTGCCGTACAGCTCCGGCATCAGGGTGCTGCTGCGGTGCACGAGGGTGATGTCGGCCATTCCGGAAGGGGATGTTGTTACCGTTCCCAGATCGCGGATTGAGCGGAAACCGAGGATCTTGTTGAGGATTGAGTCGCTGGGGATGGTCTTTGGTGGGGCTGAGGCTGCTAGGGCGAAGGGGGTCATTGATTTCATTAGCTCCGATGTTGGGAGCCAGTCGAAGATTGAGAGGATAGTGTCGAGGGTGCCGCCGCTTGGCCCGGAGGATCTGTTTGGGTTGGTTAGATTGGAGGTGATGGTGGGATTTGAGAGTGGGTGTGGGTGTTATATACTTCATTTCCTTGATGGTGCCATTGATCTCGCGCGTTTGCGAGGATAGGTCCTCTCGGACTCGCTTGACGAGGGACCATGCCAGGATATCAGCCGGCGCACTCTCAACCCCAGCCGAGGGGATCATCTGTATGCAGTTAGTATATGCGATTATAAGGATAGATAGTGGAACGGACAATTGCGCCATTGGCTTTGGCGGTCTCATGGTACTTCTCGATGATCAATTTGATCCATGGCGTTTCTCCAGTTCTGTAACGATCAGCCAATGTCGGAAACCCCAGATCAAAAGATTGTAAAAACATACGCATCGACGTAGTGAGTCCCGTTGGTAGCGCATGCCTCCACCACTGGGGTCGAGTACAAGTGGTAGGGACCCACACAGTTGATAACGAGCCGCGTCTTCTGGGCAAGCTCATTGAGCTCAGTCGCATTCAGCTGAACGACCAGGACATCTATGCAAAGCCAGTAAGCTTGGATACATAGCAGTTAGAGACATATTCGTAACGGGGCTAGGTACCTGGCTCAGCGCGGTCGGGGTTGAGAGCCTTGAGCTGTTGGGCGATGGGCTCCATCTTCTGCAAGGAGCGGCCAGCAATGGCCCATTTCAGGTCGGTGGGGTGGTTCTGCACAATGTGCTCAGCGCAGAACTGGCCCGTGTAGCCCGTTGGGCCCAATAGGACCAGGTCATATTGGCGGTTGGAAGTCATTGTTGTTGCTGGGGATAGATGTAGGTTCTGCAGAATGGGAGCTCGCGGATCACAAGCCTCGGCAAGCTAGTCCAAGATGTGGTATGTGCTTAAGCAGAGGAATTTGGCCGTGAAATAGGAGATGAACGTTCTGCACACAACTAAAGCTATTGAAATTACACAAATTCCCCTTAGCTACTTCTAACGCGTATACATATGTTGTTTCGAATTCACGTGACCGGATAGATCGATGACCCGACTGCCCTTGTTTCCGTCTCGAACAAAACCAGGCCGATTGAAGTATCCGAGGCACCTGTGATTTTGGTGATCTTGACACACCTGAATTCAACGGCATCGACATCATTATGGAGCCACTGTAAAAAGTGTATAAAAAAGCAATAAAAAGAGGAGCCAACTGACATCATGGAGCCCCGGAGAAGCCCAAAGTAAGCATTGTTGCCGCCTAAGGCCACAACACTACCGCATTGGGCACCATGACATAAGCCCACACAAGTCAGGTGACCCACTGAGCCAAGAGCCCTAAGCGAGAATCCACAGCACAACCCGCTCATTCAAAGCGTCGTTTTCGATCTCCTGTTCAGTACCCATCTTCATCCTCTACCACCAGCCAAGATGACGAAGCGCACCAAGAGTATGTTTCTCTCACGATACCTCAACACATCGCATGTCGGATCCCTTTGATTTTTCAATGCTAACTGTTCTCTCCAGAGGTCGGCATCACCGGTAAATACGGTACCAGGTATGGCACACTCGAACTCCGCGCACACACATGAATTCCTCAATCGACGGACAACGAACAACAAACATTCTCACAACACGACCACGATTCTAACAAGTGCTTCAACAGATATGGTGCTTCCCTGCGTAAGCAGGTGAAGAAGATGGAAGTCACCCAGCACGCCCGCTACGTCTGCACTTTCTGCGGAAAGAACACCGTCAAGCGCAAGGCTGTCGGTATCTGGGAGTGCAAGGGCTGCGACAAGGTTGTTGCCGGCGGTGCCTACGCCGTCTCGTAAGTCGCCCATTCAGAACACTTAGCCGTCGTCCTGGGAACTGGACTGGACCGGACCCAGGCGCGCGCGCTCCTTGAACACAAGGAAGACGTTTACTGACCATTGCCTCGCTTATAGCACCCCCGCTGCTGCCGCCACCCGCTCCACCATCCGTCGTCTCCGTGAGATCGCCGAGGTTTAAACGGGAGGATTATGTGGTTTCCTATTTCTTCTACGGTTACGTCTGAATACCAAAAATGAATGAAAAAATTCGGGATTCGAATTCAATTATTGTGCTTGCGCCAATCTTCGTACGATGTGACGGACGAGCTCTAAGCTTTCGGTTGCTTCCACTTTCCATCTGATAGACACTCGACTTCTTCCTGCCTTTTCTTCTGTTTGCGACCGGGTGAATCATGGATTGACTGCGAACTGTGGTCTTTTGATGTGGTTCTCCGAAATTGGACAGTCACGTAGACTTGACTTGGGTTCTGAAGTAGTGACCTGGTCATGTTGAGTCAGAGCATGTTCTGATGAGGACCTTGTATGCGCTGGGTGCCTGGCATATGGCCCACCTGACGCAGGTCAGCCACAGATTTTCGCCATTATGACTAAGATGAGAACTCTGCCGCCTTTGTGTCATCAGCTGCGATTCAGCCCAAAAATAGGTTCATTGTAGACTTGGAAATACCTAGCAATTTTCGTAGTGTCCAGATGTTCACATCCACATTGACGTTCATATACAAGTTAAGCGTTGAACCCAGACCTACTCAATCTCGTTCGAATATGCCGTCCGCTATTAGAAGAATACCGTGAACGTCAGTCGTAGACAACTTCACATTTTCTATGTGCTACCAGCCGTCAAGTGAAGACCATAACTTATTCGTAGGCAATACGCTATAATAATCGAATATGAAGCCAACCTAAGCCGCTGTGGTCAGCTCCAATCCAGGGCATCAGTCGCCTCTGTCACGTTCCTGTTTTGCGTTAGTCCGGCAATCCGGCCCACCTTCAAAAGGCGCTCCCCACACCTTCTTCGCTTCTACACTTCGCTCTTCATGGACTTCGCCTCCAACTTCTTTGTCCATGTCCGACGTGTGTATTGTCTGTTTAGGAGACCTTGGTGAAGGCGCTGGCGATCCTCTTGAGCCTGTGAGCCTCGATGGGGATGGCGACTTCAAGGATGGGCTCGAGGATTCAAGCCAGATCGCCCAGCTACTTCCCTGTGGTCATATCCTACATAATAATTGCTTGAAGCCTTGGGTGGAAAGGGCAAATAGTTGCCCGATATGTCGTCGCAGTTTCAATATGGTTGAGTTGAGTGACCAGGTAGGAGGTATGACCCCCTTCCTGGAGTATGATGATGATGAATGTCTATACTAACTAAAGCCTTTTCGCTGATAGGAGCGGTTACTTCATCATACGCTGTTCAAGACCGGACGCAAGTCGCCGATGTTGACCCTTCTATGGTCATCGAAGATGACCCGGCCGACTTCCAACCCTGTACACTTTGCGGTAGCGCGGATCATGAGGATGTCTTACTTCTTTGTGATGGATGTGATGCTGCATCGCATCTATTTTGCCTAGGACTGGACGAAATACCCTCGGGAGCATGGTACTGTCAGCGATGCGAATCACAACGGACATCGGTGGCGGCTGAGGTGTCGGCGCCGCCGTCGCGCCCGGTCGAGCAAAGGAGTCGACGAACGAGGGCGCAGCAGAGGCGACTGCAGAATACCAATCAGACAAATTCGCAGCACTGGGCCAGGGTCTGGCAGTCTGTCTGGGATCATCTGAACCTCGATCTGGACTTCCCATTCGATGACGATCGCTCCGCCGAACGGGTTATGCAGCAGCGTCGTCGCGAAGAGGCCAACCAACGCGAGTTTCAGGCCTGGCAACGTCGCTTTGAGATCGCTGAACGCCAGGGTAGTGGTAATCGGTTCCGCGACACAGCGTCGCTATTTGATCTTGAACCTACCCGACCATCCCGTCCCCGCGTACCCAGAGTGCCTACGCCCGAGCCCGAGTCTTTAGAGGAAATGCGAGCATGGAATGCTTTTGAGAGAGCTCGGGAGATCGAAAACAACCCGAGCGCTGCTCGAAAGCGCAAAGAACCCACTATGTCGCCGTCCCCCGAACCCACCGAGCCTCAGCGCAAGTTAAAACGTCCTCGCACGAGGCGGCCGCAAGAACTAGCAGCACTCGCCCAACAAAACCAAACCGGGGAATCATCGAGAGCTGCAAGTGCTAACGCGCGACTAAATGGTGAAAGCTCCGGCGGCCCAAGCTTCTTATCGTCGCTATTAAAGGAGGTTGAAGATGCACCTAGCCGCAACTCATACGGACCGTCCGCTGCTACATCTGTCGTCCTCACCGATGGCGCGTCCCCTGGCCCATCGTCTCCATCAATATCGCCTGCTTCTTCTAGTCATTCCTCTCCCATCATGGCCTCTACCACCCCACCTCCTTTCCCACGAAGCCGCCCCATCTCCCCTCTCCAACTATCCTCCCCGGCCGAACCCTCATCACCACCCTTCTCCCCCGAAGTCTCATTTTCGGGCAGTCCATCCAACGGCGCCAACGGCACAACAGAAGATACAACACCTCGTCCAACTGGTCGGCCCCGATCTCGTATCCCCCAACGAGCACTCCATGCACTCCAGACATCACACTCCCGCTCAGCAGACTCATCCCCAACCCGCGCGGGTCCAAGCCTAGCCCTCAAATCCGACATCCAGAGAATGGTCGGCACAGCCTTGAAACCCCACTATCGAAAGAAAACCATTTCCAAAGATCAATATACGAACATCAACCGCACCATCTCTCGAATGCTATACGATCGAGTCGGCGACAAGCAAACCCTCGAATCAGACGAACGCACCAACCTCGAAACAGAGGCCCGATACGAAGTGCAGAATACCGTCGACGCCCTCAAACGAAAAAGCAAAGAGAAGCAGCGCATGCTAACCGCCGACTCGGACGGTGATCCTTAATCCTTAATGACTATACGAACCCGAGGCATTTGTGGCGTTCTCAGCGATTCAATATTCAGTGGATTTCTTGGTCATGGAATGGATCCTGTATAACTGGCGTTTTGACCGTCTATCGAGACTGGTTCTTGTTTGTACTTTTTACTCTTTGTTTCTGTTTCTGAGCGTGGCATCTTGTGGCGATAATTGCTGTTTCTTCTTTATACATACCCTCAGATGGGATTGATTTCGACTGCTATACTTCTTGTAGAGCTTCTCTGGTTTTTTTCTTCGACTTATATACTATGTTTCAAATATCTATTTTGCGGATTGGACATTGCTAACGTGGATGAGAGCATAGAGCCTGGGTATTTCGTAGATTACTGCCCAAAAAAGGTCGAAATATCGTGAGTTATGAGGCGAGAAGCTCATGAAAAAGAGGGCTTGTAGCAAATGAGGTAGCATTGATAGTGTGTGGGAAGAAAAGCCGATCCCTGTTCTCTGGGAATGTAGATCATGTTGAACTGATCTGCGCTAAATGCAATTGTACCGCACGTCTAGGTAAGGGATCTCAATAATTCGGCAATACGCGCTGTAGTTTGCAGGTCTGATCTGGGATGTCACTTGTTTGTCATGATGAGACCCGGATCAATATATGCGACGCAGTCTTGGAAATTAGATAGAATTCTTAGCTCTCCTTCACAGCCATACATGTATACCTATGTGGCTCCACAAGAATCTCATGATATAATTGGGATTGGTAGCTCTTCTCTCTTTCTGGAAATTGATATGTTTACATGTACGTGGTCATAACAACCCACATGTGCTACCTCTTGATTCTATTCTTCAGATATTCGACTCTTGCAATATCTCTGATTTTACATAGAAGCCATGGGATCTCACATGGATGCAATGGAAGATGACCAGCTTGCTGCCATTCTGGCCGAAGATGGAGGTTTTCCCAATGACGAGATCTTCAATACTCTTCTCACTCTCGCTCGGGAGGTCAAGCATGTTATTGTCCATGACCCGCAAGCCGAATTGAATGCAACATATGATAATTTCATCACGGATCTTATTCATGCGCGCCACAGCCTCAAGAAGCAATTGTCTGCACATCTCAACGCCGAGGGATCGATGCTGGAAGAAGGCTCCCTTGTTTGCCTTATAGCGCCGGCAAGCTACGAGATTGCAGTAGCTGCTTTCGCAATTCTTGCGCTAGGTGGCACGATCGCCCCTCTTTGTGTGTTCCAATGTTCCTTCTACAATTTACCAAGAGGAATTTACCAAGAGGAATTTACCAAGAGGAAAGGCACAACTAACGTCGATCTAGTAATGTCTCTTCCTCCAGAGGATGTTTCTGACATGCTGCGAAATAGCCCGGTCAAGTGTATTTTAGCTGGTACAGGGTACCTGCAACAGGCCATAGATATACAGTCCTATGCAGCTTCCAATTCACTCCCTGCAATCCAGGTCGCCCCCATTAAAGTGCACCACGCCTGCCCCGAAGCACTATGGGACCTACCCATTCAGATAGATGAGAGGTTTATCATCCCCGAGACACATTCAGGGATTGTAATGGCCTCTTCTGGCACCTCTGGAACTACCAAAGGAGTCATACGCAGCCGTGGCTTCTTCTACAACCATCCGCGCGCAGCAGCAGACGAATCAATGCTAGTCCACCGCCCGGCGACTTGGATTGCAGGGATAAAGCCCTTGACCTTTTCTATTTTGATGGGGTGCAGAGCGGAGATCATTGATCCAGCAGCCGGAATGGATTTATTGTGGGAAAGGCTGCGAGCTCGCCGCGTGACGAGCATATGTTCAGGTCCCTTGCTGTGGACACAGCTTGCTCAGTATTATAGGGAACATCTCTCGCATCTTCCAGAGAAGGATGAATATATCCAAGGAGCTAGGCATATACGTGATGCTTCAACGGGGTCATGTGTTGTTCTGCAATCTTTGCTGAAGTTTTGGAGGGATGAGATTGGAATACGCTTGGCGCTTTGCTATGGTAGCACCGAAGCAGGTGTGCCTATCACCGCGGTTTATCCAGAGGAAGAAGAGTATAACGAGCAGGTATGGCATTCTAGTTGCCGATAGTCTTTCGTCCAGGATCTAATCTTGTCATATGATAGCGATGCATTGGCAAGCAGCTATTTGCCAATATGCCAGTCAAGCTTTCAAATGGTGACCATGGAGAGATACTCGTGGGAGGTGTTACTACCTTCTTAGGGTAAGTTATGTTACTCACACGAAACAATCTCTGAACATATGCAGCATGTACTGACAGATAGCAGGTACCTCGATGATGAGGTTCCCTCAACAACTTACTTCGACGACGAAGGATTCTTCAAGACTGGAGACCTTGCTCATAAACTGAATGATCACTTCATCTTCGACGGTCGAGCATCCATTGATTGTGAGTTCACCCAGGCCTTCAATTGCCATATCTTCTTTTCTTCTTCTTTTCTAATGAGAGCAGTTATCTGCAACTCTGGCGGCACCGTCTCTGTTCTGAAGCTGGAAGAAGCACTGAATGGGCTTTCATGCATAGAGGAGGCATATGTCGTTCCTGTGCAAGATCAGAAACTCGCAGAACGAGCTGGTGCTCTTGTTCGATTCGTCGACCAGGATCTCACTCTGCAGCAGCTTCGGGCTAGGCTGGCCCCTCATGTCCGTCCTGCGATGCTTCCCACTGCATTGCGAGTCTTGCGGATAAAGGATACATTGCCCAGAACGCATAGTGGTAAGATTTCAAAGAGAGCTCTCCAAAAGCAGTTCTTCCTGTTCACCCCAGGTGTTGGATTGCCAAACGATGTTGAATTGTGCAATCTTGACTTTGATTGAACAAAAGGATTGAACCTTTTTTTACTATAGGAGACAGTGTTTTCCCTACTTAGGTCTATTAATATGGTCCCCGAATCTGTCAAACCCCCTAATCTTGAAGCAGTAGCCAGTCAAACGCGTACTGAATAAAGCATGCAACAAAATTGTACATATGCTAGGCATTAACACTCGCACTCTTTGTCATCCCAATTCCAACTGCTGCAGTAGTCCCTGCATCAACAGGGAGAATGACACCAGTCATCCACCGAGCATGAGGCCCCGAGAGAAAGACAACTGCACCAGCACAATCCCATCCATTTCCTTCGGTCCCTAATAGACTTCGCTTTCGACGAGCTTCCCGCGCCTCTTCACTCATGCCGTTCCCATACATCATGGGCGTATACAGCATCTGATAACAATTAGCTTTAGCACTTCAGTAAAAGGATGCTGAGAAACATACACCCGGACACACACAATTCACACGAATCCCCTCTGGTGCATGGTGAGCGGCCATAGCACGAGTCATATTGACAATCGCTCCCTTGGCAGTGGGATACAGCAGGTGAGGTGTGCCGCCTTTCAAGCCAGCAACACTTCCCATGTTCACAATGCTTCCTTTGATCTCGCCATCATTCTGGATCATTCTTGGAATTGCATACTTGGCCATAAGAACCATACTTGCAACATTGATATCCATACTCTTTGCCCACTGCGTCATATCGACCTCAACTGCAGTACCCGCTGCACCTCCAATCCCGACATTGTTGATCAAGATATCTAGTCGTTCGAATTGCTCTATGGCGCGCTGTACTGCTGCTTGGCAATCCTCTTCTGAGGTGACATCTGCGCGAAATGCAAGTGCCCGTCCACGACCAGGCTTGGAGTTGATCATTTCTACCGTCTTGTTGGCCCACTCTAGATTGAGGTCGATGCAAATCACATCGCAGCCATCATCTGCGAGAAGTATTGAAATTGCACGCCCGTTTCCAATGCCATCGCCTAGACAGCCTGCGCCAGTGACAATGGCAGCTTTCCCGGCTAAGGATCGTGATGGGGGATCTGATGGGATGCCGGCATCCATAGTTGGCGTTTCCGGGATCTTGGAACTGAGTTTGAACGGACCTGCTCGAAAACATATAACTGTCACCTACATATGGATTCGTAAATTCATACTGATATTTCATTAGGTGAGTCGATCATGCGGGGTACTGACCATCGCAAGTAGCCGAACCGAGGCCTGTGGAGTAGTGATGATCCAAGTCTCCAACAAAGCTCCCAGTCAGTCACCATCAACCTCGACCAACTACATAACAATGGACTTCTCCGAATACACTGGTCCCAGCGCCGAATGGCTGGCCCTTGAACCAACGCTCCCGGCGGTCCCCAAGGACCTCTCGGTGGAGCAATTGAAGGCATTGCTAAACAAGGGCCGCGAGGAATCCGCCGCCCAAGACATGATCGACCAAGGCCTGAGCTCTCTCGTTCAAATGCATGATCATACGGTAATTGCTCGCGACGGCACAGCCCTTGAAGCACGCACCTATCGCCCCGCCGGCATCCCGATCTCCGAGCGCCTGCCGGTATACGTCCACCTTCACGGCGGCGGTTTCCTGTTTGGAACACTTGCCTCCGAGGATGCGACCTGCTCGCGCATTGTTGCATCGCGAGCTGAGAATGGCACACCTGTCGTGGTTTTCAATATCAACTACCGCCATACACCCGAGCATCGCTACCCCACCGCATGGAACGATACCGAAGACGCCTTCGTCTGGCTGCACGAACACATCGCTGAAGTCGGTGGTCTCGCCGATCAGGTTGTTGTCGGTGGTATCTCTGCCGGAGCATGGTTGACAGCCTCATTGGCGCTGGCGCAGCTGCGCGGCGATGATAAGCGCATCGCTGCCTGTCCGAAGATTGCGGGGCAGGTGCTCATGATACCTTGTCTTGTTCAATGGGATCACTATGCTCCCCGAACAGAAATGTTGAAGAGTCCTGATTTGTCGAGTTATGTGCAGTGTGCTGATGCGCCTATTCTGCCTGTTACTCGGATAAAGTTGTTTAGCGCCTTGCTTGGGATTGAGAATGCTAAGGATTCTGCCAAGGATCGTCGTATGGGCCCTGGTAATGCTACTGCTGAGGAGGTTAAGGGTTTACCTCCTACGACTCTTGGAATTGCTGGGAATGATCCGTTGAGA